ACTGTGTTTTATTGTGTGTGGTGTCAAATGATGTTACTGCTGAACTAAAATATTCCCACAGAAGTCCCTCAGGATTTTATAATTCTATTTTTATCAAGGTACTCTTGGACTATCAAATCGCAATAAAAAAACAGATAATTTCTTCATGTTGCACCTGAATGGTTAACAATCCGTTCAATGCGGTTTTTTATGCTCGAAAATTAATGTTATGTTATTCAATATTTTTAACTTTGATAAGTGACAGAATGCAGATGAATCTAACGCACTCTTCTTTCGTGTTAAAATAAGTATGTCTGCATCTCGTCGACGTTATCTTTTAACATTTTTTATCATGTCTAGAAAGGAGACAAAATTAACGGTGATATAAATAATGCTTTAATGCTTTAATGCTTAAATAATGCTTTAATGCCCAAAATCCATTGCAAGTTGCATATGTTGCCAGTGCTACAGTGCCAGTCAACAAGCTATGTTATACGAGAGAGAGAGAGAGAGAGAGACGGGGGAGTAGGGGTAACAAATGTGACTGACCTACGGCTCGCTATTTTTTCTTTTTTTCGGATATCATACAGAAACGTAATTAAGAGTATTTGTATTAACAGTCATGTACAAACATTTTGTCATTTTATGTGAAAAATGAAAGAGTTACCTTAAGAACTGCTCATTTTATTTCTACAATTGTCCATGTATACAAAAGTTACCTGAATTGTGTCAACACATTGACAAGCACAAATAAAACATTTAACAAAACTCATATTTATCCTTCTTGTATGTAGGGGTGAAACGAACGGTTCTATGATCCGCATAGATCACGTTTGGATATACTCATCAAGCAAACGCATAAATTACACGAAATTGATTATAAACAGTGTTTTTCTATTGAAATAGACCACTTTCAGGAATTCCTGCAAACATAGGGTTGAAAAAAAGCAGTCATTATACTGCATTTGTTGAAAATGTAATTTGTCTTATCTAGACGACAGTCTACTAAAATAATCGTTTCAATTTTCGTAATTGGTGGAAGCATTTTCTGAAAAATGGCCTTTTTAAGTGCCCTTTCAATTACAACATGCTCAGCGAATAATAGTTTTCATTTTACTTGCGTTTGACTTGATTATATACAGCCCAGAAGGGCTTTCACAACATCAACCCCTTAACATAAATTCAATACAATAGTTATTCCTTTGAATAATACAACAAATCGGTTTAATGAACTTCCTTGATAAAACCAAACAACAAGGAAAACAGTTAGCAGTTCTAAATTTAAGATTTGAAGTTAGTCATTTGATTAGTTAGTCAGTTGGTTACATGCATGTCATAGAAGGTTTTGAGGTTTTTGTAATATCTTCCTTAATAAAGAAAATAAGATATGGACGTTGTTCAGTGGCGAAATGCATACTATACACATTTCAAAAGGGCATATCTTTATGACTAAATATCCTGCAAAGCTATTTCTCCTCATTCAGACCATTAAAACGTTTTTAAAAACCCTCAAATAAAATATGTTGACATTTCCTTGTGAAATGTCAGGAAGACATGGTGGTTTTAATGACTCATTATTGGTTTAGAAATAAGTTACATAATTCGAAGTAGAGCCACATAATAAATCCAAATGCAGGGCGGGTGCAGCAATGAATAGGAAAAAATGCGTGTTTTCCGAGGAAAAATGGACTTGCAGCGAAAAAACCGAACAGAATACTTTTAAAATAAGAAGGTGAAGTGTGTTAGGTGAGACCGTATCTCAACCGACTCTATCATCATTTTCATGGACGAGATCAATACCTTCTTTTATTTAGTTTCTATTTCCCACGATTCTGACATTTGAGAAGTTTGATAATTGTAAGCTTACTGTAAGCTTGCGTTAATTCGACATTCTCTGTGAGGATTACAGCACATTCCAGTAGTGCCGTTTTACGCAGCTTTTCGTGTATTATCATGGTTTAAACAAATTAAATTAAAAACGCATCTATACCAATAATTACTCCGGAACTTACATTTATTGAATAGCAGTACATGGAACACATTTATTCCTTTTAAACATTACACTGAAATTGACCCCAAAAAAGTTTTTGTTTTTTTAATATTAAACTCTTGATAAATTTTTTTAAAGCGTTTTTAAGCTGAAACATGATCACGCATCAAATTTCATCGATATTTTTTAAGAATGCACACAAGTCTTAAGCTCAGGTGCTTTATATCAATTATTGTTGATTTTAGTAGATGCGTTTTCAATTCATTTAATTTTTTTTAATAAGATAAACACAGTGATCATAATGAATTCTTTTCATGATTTGAAAACGGATCCACTTATATCACATACCAAAACAAATAGTATTACTCAGTATAATGTTTATTCATAATTATATTCCAGACTGAGCTGGTGAGAGTATAGCGCGAAATAATACATATTTATACATATTACGTCAAGGCTGTATCTTGTCCCCAATTCTCTTCCTTGTAACCATCGACTGGGTCATGAGAAAAACAACATCCGACAAACCCAGAGGCATCCAATGGACTCTTCTATCCCAGCTAGAAGACCTTGACTTTGCTGAAGACCTTGCCCTCCTGTCCCCCAAACACAGCCATCTCCAGGAGAAGACTGACCGTCTGAGTAGCTTTGCTGCACAAGCGGGACTTGCCATCAGCACCACCAAAACCCAGGTCATGTGCATTAACAACAGTACGACAGCACCTATCACCGTCAGTGGGAAACCACTTGAGTCTGTCGATGACTTCACATATCTGGGCAGTCTAATCAGCAAAGACAACGGGGCTCAGAAGGACATCAGGGCAAGACTTGGCAAGGCCCAGAGTTCATTCACTAGACTCCGCACAATCTGGAAGTCAGAGCAGTACAGCTTACACACCAAAGTCCATCTTTACAACAGCAATGTGAAGTCTGTTCTGCTCTACGGGTCTGAATGTTGGAGAGTTACAAAGTCTGACATGAGCAGAGCAGAGTCCTTCCATAACAGGTGTCTCCGCAGGATCTGCCGCATATTCTGGCCAAATAAGATCTCCAATCATGACCTGTACATACTGACAGGGAGCCAGAGTATTGTAGGGCAGATCAAGCGACGGCGATTTAAATGGCTCGGCCATGTACTTAGGATGGACGAGAACAGAGTACCAAAGGTAGCTCGGAGATGGACACCACCCGGAAAAAGAAAGAGAGGAAGGCCCAAGACCACCTGGCGCCGAACAATGATGGCAGAGCTGAGGGAGGGGGACCTTACATGGGGACAGGCCCAGCACGTAGCCAGAGACAGGGCCAAGTGGAAAGAAGTGACTGTGGCCTTATGTCCCACGCGGGACGAAGAGCAATGATGATGATGATACATATTACACTAACAGTGACACAAATATACAATTTATCAAAATTTTAATTTCTAGTTAACTGAAACAATCCTTGGCATGAAAGAATTATTCAGAATTGTTATTGGATGGAAGATAAATAAACGATATATTGCTTATCAATCTTTGTATTTGCCAATATTACTTCACAAAGAACATTAATCTCCACTAACATAAAGAATCCTAGTGTCTACATTAGCCAAAAAGATACATTCCAGCAGACAGCAATTTTTTACAGTAAATTATACACATTTCTACGCAGTATACATAAAAATTAATTCAGGAACTGTACTCATAATTATGATAATATCTTTTACAAAAGTAATGGAGTTCCCCCCCCCCAAGTTTAATTACAACAAAATAAAACATACAGTTAAAAGGCTGATATTTGAAAAAATCCAAAGGAAATCTTTAATGCAATACATCAATTCCCATTCACTCCTTATTTTTTTTTTACCTGATTATCCAGCCAAATCTTATTTTCCTAGAGAAAGAGAGATCAATTTCTCTCCTCCCCATTAATTATTGCTGCACCAGTGCCTACATTTGGATTCAAGATTCTTATTTTTTCTAATTAAATAATGCAGTTCTTAACAAATCACAAATAACTTCTTGAAATGTCTTCCTGACATTTCAGAGGGAAATATCGGCATCATGTACTTTGGTTAGGGGGTTTATCGTTTCTAAGATCTGAAGTGGAAAAGGAAGTCTGCAGGAAATAAACATAAAGATGCGTAAAGAATATTAAACTATCCTAGTTTTCTGCAACATTTGAAAATGTAACACAGTGACATTTTCAATGAAAGCGAATTGCACTTCACATTCTAATTCCTCATAAAAAAACATAGTATAATTCAACAAATTTACACACAATAGCTTCCACAACATGGTATTGTCTTCAGCACATAGATTTTTGAGTTTATGGCTTTTAATAAAATTTTCTTCTTTCAGGCTGCAGCAGATAATCTTTCTGGCTGTTTTTGTCATACTAGGCAGTGTTCAAAGTTAGAAGCAGTGTCACTACATGTAACAACTTCTTTCATGGCAGACTCTACCAATGTTTGACTGACAGAGTCAGCCACAGTGTTGGCAAGGAAGGGAGATATCATCCAGTAATGAGGCAGCCTGGGCATCGAGTTTCTGGCATCACCTTTTGCAGCCTGTATCCAGTCGATAATAATTTTCAGTTTGGATGGGGCATCGTTCCATGAATGCTACTAAGTGGACTTAGGCACAATTTGTGTCTAAATCATAAAGAATCTAGGCAGTCTTCAGTAGTGTACAAAATTAGGAGTTGTGTATCTCAAAACTTACAACTTCTTTCATGGAGGATTCTACCAATGTTTGAACAACAGACGCATCCCAGTCTTGGCAAGGGAGATGTCATCCAGTGATGGGGCAGCCAGAGCATTGAGTTTCTTTCATCGCATTTTGCAGCCTATATCCAGTCGATAATAATTTTCAGTTAGGCTGGGGCATCGTTCCATGCATGCCACTAAGTGCACTTATTAGAACAAGATGAGTCTAAGGGTGCATTCCCAGAGATTTAGATCGATCCAGAGATTAAGATTTAGATCTACCCAACTCCCTGGGGGTTCAAGCTAAATTGCAGTTAGCCGAGCGCGCACCAGTAGGCAGGACAGACATGTTTAAGCTGGCTAAGCTGACAGTAATCTAGTGAGACTCCCCACAGGGATAGATCGATCTAAAATCTATGGAAATGGAGTCTTAATCACTCTGAGAGATTCAGCACTACCTGATTACCATTTTGCCTTTGTAACGTAAATACTAATACCATTTTGATGACAAGAAGTACATGTATGATTTCTAAAAAAACTAGTCGGTGGAAATATTCAACACTTACATACCTTAACACAAAACAAATCCTGTAAGATCATTTGATTCATTTTCTCAAAGGAAGAGGTGTATTGTATAAAGAATAAACATTTGTCTTCCAAATTTTAGGGCTCCATTGATTTCAAGAGATTTCTATTAAAGCTATGTAAAAAATATGCGTTTCCTCAAGGTGAACATTGGAGCAGGACTCTGCTTATATCTGCCATCTCGAAGTTCTGCATTTGCCTTCCCAACCTCTTCATTTACACGCGTCATTATGCTAACAAGGTCATACCTAGGTCATAAGAAAAAATAAATCATATTTTCTGCATATTTAGAATCTATGTATTTTGTACATGATTAAGCTTACTTTTTCTCTTTCAAAATCAATACATTTTTTCATATTTTACATTATGATAATTTTAAAAGACTTGTCTTAAAATGTGTTTACAAAACGAGTGATTTTTCTAAAATTAAACTACCTCTGCCTATAGAAAAAAGCTGTAAAATACATAAAATTCAACAAATCAAAATGAAAAGCATCATAAATATATTTACCTTTCTCCATATCTATCCAGCATTTCCACCAGTTTTGTGATGTACCATGAGCCATGGGTCCTGCTCCTGTAGGAAACAAAGCCTGGGATGGTGGCATAGCCCATCAGGAAGTCCGCCTCATTAGGAATGGTCTCCTGTTCACCGGGGGCATCCTCTTCCACCTGCTGCCTGCCTGGCATGGCACTATCCATTTCCAGCGGAGACCCTGATAGCAGGCAGACAAACAAACATTTGTACTGAGGTTATGTTACTGGCAATTTGAGCATTTTACAAGATTTTACAGAACAACAAAGTGTCATGAGAACTATGTATAAAGCTGGTACTGGAACTTATGTAAGCAACTGACCAACATCAGGGACGGATCCAGACATATTTTCTGACAGTCTTCCAAATTATCTTTATTGGTCCATCCTTCATTTTTGACCGTCTTCCGACAGAAAAAAATTAGATACCCGTCAATGTAAACTTGAAAATCTGACCGTCTTCCGGAAGACTCAAAAGACGGCCTCAATCCGCCCCTGAACATTATGGTCTCAACCTGGGACATTTCGCTAGGTAATGACCTGGATGGACTGGTCACTTGATCTATTGTCATATGGCATAAGTAACAGTCTCCACCGCCCCATCCCATATGTGCTCAAAGTTTAACTCCAGGCCTCCTTTCTTGTTGAGTTTTGGGCTTTCTGCCTACTCCCAGATAGCTTCTTTGATGTCATGTTTCTATTCTAAAGACTATTGCTAGTCTTATGACAATAGATCAGGTGACTAGTTGGCTGTCAGTTAGATTGGTCATTTGCTAATGTAAGTTACACTATGATCAGAGTTATACACAGTTCTCATTCTAATTCTACTCGAAGACTCAAAACATTCACTCATTCAGCAAAGCTTTATCCTACCTTCCTGCTTGTCTTTGCCTTGGCAAGCCTGGATAAAGAAGAGTTTTGGTTTGCCTGCTAATGAGGTGCACAGATTGGCCTTAAAACAGTTGGTAATATCCTTGATTAGCACCAGCCTTCCATTTACACCATACACACTCCCTGGGCAAAGAAAATTTGGTGATTAATAAAAAGATATAATAATAATAATAATAATAATAATAATAATAATAATAATAATTATATATATATATATATATATATATATATATATATATATATATATAATATACACAAATAAGTAATACTCTAAAACAAAATATTAGTTATATTTAATATGGATTTAATGATGCCGCAACTTAACATTTTGATATTCTAAATGTCACCTTACGATCACCATGCTTTGCTCAGGCTCAATGGAAGTTGACCAAAAAGAGATAATTTCTTAAATTAAAGAAAATGTATTAAAATGGATAACAGCAAAAATTTGAAATACAGGGTACCATGTTATTACTAGAATGTGCTCCAATACCAATACCTTTTTTGAATACTGTGAAGACAATGACTGGGTTCCCAAAAATTTAGACCAATCTATCTGGATCAACTTAACTCCCTGGTGTTCACGCTAAACTGCTGTCAGGTTCTGGGAGCCGAGCATGCACAAAAGTTAATTACCCCTTTACAGCTTTTAGTAGGCGGGACAGACATTTAAGCCAGTTAAGCTGACAGCAATCTAGAGAGACTCCCCAGGAGGATAGATCGATCTAAATATCTGTGGGAATGGTCTTAAAGATACACTTACCTAATTGACCATGACTGAGGATGCAGCAAACAAAACAGTCATAAGTGCTGTGGTCAATGTTGTAAGCAGCATCAACCATGGTTCTTGTTATTTCTTGGTCTGTTAGGTCTTTATACACTTTTACTGTGAATTTCAGCTTGCTAAACACATAATGCAGATTACCTGGTGAGAGAAATCAAAATGTATTTCTTGTGTCAAAACTGAACATAAGGCATAAGAAAGCATACTACTGCACATATAGTACATTCACCTGTTACTGACAGTAATCATTGCCAAGTACACATTACTGTATATAATTACCATAGCACATTATAACAATTGTACAAATACCATAAGCAATATGTAAATTGGTACTTTTTGAGAACATCTTTTACAATATTCTTGTAGGGTAGAATTTTGCAGTTACTGTAAAGATTCCTACCACAGTCAACATCTGTGCCTGTTCTATCAGGCATCTTCTTGCTGGCTTGGTCACCTTCAATTTTATAAAATTTCTCATTATTGATGATGAAGCACATACCTGTAAAACAAAAAAATATATATATGTATGTAGTATAAAAAACCACACAAAACAAAATACCCCATCCAAATATAATACAATCTTGTAGGGAAATGGAATTCCATTTCTGTAAATAAAAATAAAATCACTCAGCAATATATATTTTTTACAGATTTTCATATTATTGAAAATAACTTACTTCTATTGATGCAGATATTCAAGCTAAAATCATTTCATCTATCAAGGTAGCTATATTAATGTGCATGTAAGATTAAAACAGCGAACAGAAACCAAATTCCACTGATATTCCATCTAAATCTCACCCCTTGGATTACTGTCCATTTTATAGGAAGGTAAGTCCATGTGATCATCTCGTATTGTAATCCTTTCAAGCCTCTGTGCAACATGTTGTGCATCTAACAAAATGTAACAAAAAAACAAATATACATATATATATATATATTTTCATAAAAGTATCATTCATCTTAACATGATGACTTGGAAAAAAGCGTGAAGATCTGGATGGGTCAATTTGACTATTTTACCCCCGTCACACTAGAGGCAGAATGAGCAAGAATGCCGTTGGAAAGACAATTCTTTCTGAGTTCCTGGATATTCGAAGAGCATTCTAAAAATTCCTAGTACATTCCAAATATTTTTACACATTTTTGTGGCCAGTCTGAATGTTTTGTTTAAAACTTTTGAAGTGCATTCCAAGCGGAAAATTTTCGAATGGCATTTGAATAGTATTCTAACTGCACCATGACTGCATTCTAAATAATTTCACGGCATTCCAAAAGCATTTGAAACATTCTGATCATATTTGAAAGCTAGAATAAGCCATAATGCAACTCAAATGCATCTCGATCCTATTTCAGCCAGCAATTGAACTACACTCGTACGGCATTCGAAGTGTATTCTAAATATTCTGACTGCATTCTGACAGCATTAATGATATTCCTAGTTTTTCAACTACATTTGAGCTGCATTTGAGAGCTAATACAGCCGAAATATGCACAAATCATTCCAGGCAGATTCAAGTGCATTCTGAGTATTCCAACGGCATTCTTACAAGAATTTAGGTCAATTTGAAATTTCTTTCCGAATGTAGTAAGAATTTAAAAATTTTAGCCATTCCGGCTGGTTCTGCTTGATTCCTGCTGATTCCAAATAAGTGCCATGGGGGCTTTAGATTCTTTTAGTAGCTAAGACATGGATGCAGTGGTTGCCTAAGCAGGACATTCTAATAGCATATATCACAGGTAAGTGAAAGTGTTGCCCATGTCACATAATCTTCATTTTCTAGCTCTGCATCACAACTGTATCATATACACTCATGAATTTGGATCCTGGGGTTCTTTTGGTTCAACCTCCTACCTGCATGTCCTGCCTTGGGATTGTAGAACTGATCCCTGGCCTCCGTTGCTTCTTGATCGTGCACTGCAATATTAGGTTCTGAAGCTGTATCTCCTACAAATCACAAAATACAGGTTACACTGAAACTGATTTTATAAAAGATGTTCAGGAATACGTACAGGATTTTGCAGCAAAACTATTGAAATAAACAGAAATAACAGAATGCTTCAGTATCTTTTTTCCTTTTTTTTAAAAAAAGCTTTGTGCTAAAAAAAGCACATGTGTATGGTCTGTTCTGTTTTTCCAAAGAATGTCTTAGTAATTAGTGAAATTAAAGCAATGTGTACTGGGTATATTACAACTTACCCTGTCCTACTAGCTGCCTTCTATTATTGTCAGTGTTCTGTGGTGTTTGCTGCGACCTGCCTGGGGGTGGGGGATTGGGCCTTAATACTGGCTCTGGCCTCTTGGGCATCATGGGTACTTTTGGGGGCACCACCACTGGCTCCCTCCTTTTAAGGTCAATCACATTTCCATGGCGACTTAGTGCTGAAAGTGAATAAAACTGGCTAAATATGTCATATTGTGCCGCTGCTGTACATATTTCTAATGAGCACATGCCACATATCAACAGACACATAATGTACATGTACAATAATGATTATAATACATTGAAAACTTATATGATACCAAGCATGCCATTAAAAGAATCTTTTTGGCAAATAGCTCTTCTTAATATATTTATTCCTGACTGACAATTTTGGCCAGGCAAAATGGATAGATTAAGTTGGTAAAAGAGCATAACATATCTTTTTCTGTCTGGTCTAAATAAAAAGATATGATTATGAACAGACTAATAAATAAAATAACTGACTTTTATAAGAATCAATCTTTGTCAGCAAATCCTTCCTGTCTATGCATTGAACCATCTCCACTAGAACATCAAGGTCATCTGGGGTCAGCAAATTCTGCTGTTCCAAAGCTACAAATAATGTCTGTAGATCCTTGGCATTTTCTGTCTTGTATCTAGGAACATGTGCTTGAGCAATAAACTTCATGGATTCTACTTCACTTTTAGATACATCTTCTGCAATGTCATGCAGTAGAACCCTGTAACAAAGCACAGATATAATAGAACTGTGTTGCCATTTGATAATTAGGTAAGGTGGTTGTCTTAGGCTGTGTTCAGATTAAAAGTTATCTGTCCAGCAGGATCGATCTGGAATAAAACAGCAAATTCAACAAAGAATCATCAAAGATGATATGAGCAATCTGATTGTCAATCACCTATCACTCCTAGTTTGTAGTTAACTGCAAGCAGATATCCAATATAATTCCTTGCTGAAAGCATGTGATATGCCATCCCAAGGTATCAAATTCAGTCTCACCATCTAGGGAAGCAGTGAAACTTCCCAGTACACTGAAATGCTAACCAATGTGCAGAGGCCACTGCTCTAATAAGAGTTTTAACATAGGAAACTTAAAGTTGTTTGACATGAATCCATGTTTTACCACTGGAAAGCTTTAGTTTTTTAATTGTTTACACTAGTGGACTAGATTTGATCTTAAAGTGCAATTTAAGATCACAAGTGATCTTACACCATCTTAATCATTACAGTACAGCAGTAGTCTTAAAATGGACTGAATCTGCTTTTAAGATCAAAAATGATCTAACATCTACTTAAGTGGTCAAGCAGTTTCCTCCCATCACAATGAGGGATACCTCCCCTCACAATAGAGGACACCTCTGATCACAATAGGAGAATGTGTAAGAGGAGACAACTTAATTGGGTGTCAGATCAGAAATGGTCTTTCTCATGTTTTAAGATCATGTAAGACTATTTGTGATCTTAAATTGCACTTTAAGGCCAAATCAAGCCCACTAGTGTTAACAGTCTGCATCTATTTATGTACCCACCTAAATGGACTCAGTTGTTCTCCATGCTGCTCTATTTTATTTTTCATATCACGTAGTGAGAATCCCATTTGCTTCAACAAGTCTGCTCTTTGTATCCTAAAAAGACATTCCTCTAATAGTTTCAAATTATTTGGGCTTAGCAACCCTTTATATTCTAACTCTGTGAACAGTGCTAAACCTCTGTTGATTTTCTCTAGTTTTGAGTGTGGCAGTACATCACGGCAGAGGAATTTGATGGCATTTAAGTCCCGTGAAACAAGTTGTTCATCCACTTTCTTGAGCAACATTCGGAAATATGAAGCTTGGGCTGGCTGTACTGCATCTGTTTCAATCATTGTGGAAGAAGTGTTGATTTTAAGGTTTAAAACATAATGCTTCCAGTCCTACAACTTCCAAACCTGAAAAAAAGTAAATGTAAATAATGATGATAATAATAGCAATTATAATAATAATAGCATGGCTATCTCGATGTAAAAATACTTAATGACTTTAAAATGTAAATAGCATCATTCACCTCCAAGGGTAACCCCACCTACAAGTGCACTGAAATTTTAAAGTGATAGGTCAATCATTCCCCAAATTTCAAGGGGTGTGAAAAATTAGAATCATCCCTCTCCTCCAATTTTATATGCCTTGGGTGGGTTGTCCTTTTTTTTTTTTGAAAAGTTTAATGCTATCGTCCCCTATTCAATGCCAAAAAATGCCAACTTAGTTTAGTGTCCAATGTCTTCTAGAAATGGGAAGTGCATGAACAAGTATAGGTATCTACTATGTGTTTGGTGTCTCACTGATCTACAGATACAGAGTACATTGTGACAGACATATTAAATATTGGATTCTCACCTTTATGCCCTATGCAAATCAAATTCTGCCTTGCTAGACAATATTTTTAGGTACTATTATAACTTTCTAATTCCAGGACAATTACATGTATAAAATAGGGCCCTGTTGGGTTTCTTCTTTACCAGTGAAAGCCACTTTTTATTTTGGAAATTCCCCGAGATGTGTAAAACATTCATATTATTTAGCATGATCCACGAAGCACCCTATTCCCATGACTCATGAATGCAGCTTTTTGTTTCTTGTCCTTTGTGAATACTCAGTGATTTGTGATTTTCAACTCCCAGGACTCACATTATCAATGAAATATGAATAAAGTTTTCTTTACTGTCATTTGTGATTTGATGATCGCTACATCCCTCCAATGGGACCCTCATGAAACAAACACCGTTTCAGACATATAATAAGTAAATGAAAGAAACCTACCAGTACTGTGTAGCTAACACCACTACATCAAGGAGTTTCTGTTGAAACTCCTTGATAACTGTACATGTAGTAAGACTACTAGTACAATGAACTATTGTAGCATATTTATAAACTTACATATATGCTGAATCATGTCAATAATCCATCTTTTAAAACCCTTCTGTTCAATTAGCAGATATTGCTAAAATTTTGTTCCAATGTAGTACACTAGTACTTGTAAGAATTTTAAGTGACAATTAACTGTAGAATTCGGTAGAATTCATACCAGTACATGTAATTATTGATACTGTACTAATAGAAAAATCCGTAGCTACCCCTTATGTTGTGTTAGCATTTTGGAATATGGTTACTTCTCCTCTGGAATTTTCAAAGTGAAAAATACCATAATGGAAACTGGAGTTTCCCTTGTCATTTCAACATTCCAGACATGAATCATCGTGTAAACTTGAAAAGTTCCTATTTCCCTGTACCAATAGGCTTCCTTTCTTTGAAATATTGATCAAGTTTTTAAAAACCTCTCTGTATTAATATCTAGACGTTCTTACCTGTTCTTCAATCGAACTAAAAAATACAAAGTCAAATCAAATTAACAAGACCTTGTTCCAAGTTAAGACATAGTTTTAGAAAGAAAAATATCATGGGGAATTCCCTCGGTATCACACTTTCAAATATGGAAGTATAGAATGAAACACTCGGCATCGAGACTCTTGTTTGGATAAACTGGGCATATATATTGATGACGTCATGAAAATATGCGCAGAAGCTACACGGCCATTTTGTGTTGACTAACGCATCTCATCTCGTTGATACAACCACGGTAAAAAGTGGTCAGCGTCATTGTAAAAGCAATTGACAGCTATGGGTGGATCTGCGACACCCGAGGTTCCGGATTACCGAAGATATAAAGCAGACCATGGTATAAAGGAACTACAAGCCCACGAGGCAAGACTTGCAAAAATGGGTTTGAAAGATCCATGGGTCAGGTAATGTTAACAGGTAAAGGAGTAATTGCTCCTTTCTCTGAGCAGCGATCACTTCGTAAGCATCTTTGTGGGATATCTACTAATGTTCAAGTGGGATTTAAAAATGAAGAATGGGATGGTGTAGCATAGGGCATTTAAATGTGAGATAATGCACTGTCACCTTGAAGGCTTCATCACTTCACTTCGTTTTGTTCTTAAGACAAGAATACATCATGAATTCAGTAAGTGAAAGGTTTTAGGAAACCTATAATCATATTTGAATCATCATTTGGGTCAGGTTTTTGCAAATAAAATCCAGGGCATTGGTCCAGTATTTTTGGATTGATCTTAAGACCAGCATGGGTTCTAAGGATGAAGCTGATGGGATTTGAGTTAGCTATTTAAATCGATTTTATGAGGCGATTTTATGAAATTTGATTGAAAATACTCAACTATTTTTTAGTATTTTTTTTTAATATGTTAGACTTATAGAGTGGCATTCTTAAGTTGCTTATATCTGTGGTTTTAAGGTTTTATTATAATTGATCAATGTGACAGCCAAGCGTGGGTGGCCTGGGGGAAGACTGCAAAATACATGTAATAAGATAAATATGATGTGAAGAAAGCAGCAGTTAGCCTGTCTCAAGTGACAACTGCTTTAATTGAACATGTCTTTATAACCTCTACCAAGGAGGTTATGTCTTTGGTTCCATTTGCTTTTTTGTTAGACTGTCTGTCTGTTGGATATTGCAAACAGACAAACGAACAAACTAATGGAACCAAAAACATAACCTCCATGGTTGAGGTAATTAAAAAATAATAACGAGAATGGCCATGCCTTGGTAGAGGTCAGCACTTTTTTTGTGTTTTACTAGCTATTTGTTTTGTGGATCTAAAAGTACCCTTGTGCCTCTTTCTCTCTCTCAATCTGTTTATCAATCTCTCAACCAATTTTTTAGTAAGAGTTAATTGCAGAATGCTTTGTTTGCTTTCAGAAATGAGATATGGCGATATCACAAAGCGAAACACTCTCCAATGAGATGGCACATGGCTGTTCCTATTTTGCTGGGTTGTGTTCTAACGACAGCGTTCATAAAAACTCAGGAATATTTGGGATTCAGGAAGTCACATGATGACCATCACTAAGCTTTATGAAAACTTAAGAAATGTCACGCTTTGTCCAATACATTCATTGGAAATATGCTTGATGTGGTATGTGGAAATCACCATGGTAACTATGTTCTTGTAGATTATATCACAAAGTGTGAAATCGGATACAACAGATAAGCAGAAGGACACATGTAGATTGTAGAACAATGCATGGAGGAAAGTTACAGGATTATGTTGCCCATGAAGTTAATCATTGTATGACTTGTTTGATGTATAAACTGGAATTGTTAAATAATAAAATGTTTTGTTAAAAAGAACTTATGTTTTATTTTGTTTCAAAGGGAATTTGTTCAGTAATGAAAGTGATACATCATACTCATCATCAATGCTAGCTGAAGATCTACAGTACCACAGGGTTCATACAGCCTTAAATAGTGCTTGGATTTAGCCGTCTTGAAGTCGGCTTGTGACCTTGAGAAGTATTTGGAATTGCAATTAGCCTTGAAAAGCATTTGAATTTGATCACTAAGCAATTTGTCAGAAATTATTTCAAATCTTGTCATTTTAACCTGAATGTAGACAATAACTATCAGAAGGGGAGAATACCCTTTTTGAACAACATTTAATTGTATTCTTTTAATGTTTCAACATTGATGTGTTGCTCTCATTTGCTTTCATGAATTCCTTGAAAAGCATGTGAATTACAGCCTCAAAAGTCCTTAAATTTGTTCTTAGTTTCCCTGCACAAACCCTGGACCAAGTGGTGAAAAAATAAGCCCCACACCTAAGTTAAAATTTTTTTTAAATCAAAGACTTGAGTGAAGTGTATTTTGTGAATGATAAGCAATTAAGCATTATAATATATATTGGCAGACTGAAATGATGAAAAAATTTTTGAAATGAAATGGTCTTTGATTAAAGAATAGATATTTTGAAGACATTTTAATGCTTGGATATCCTCATGAAGTCAAACATTTTCCTCTAAACCAAACCGAATGCCACCATATAGTTTCAAATAATATAGCTTAAAGATACAAAGGGCATTGTTCATATTTCCAAATTATATTATAAGATATTTTCTGCTTTCTTGTGCTATAAATGAAACATTTCAAACTAAATTTAATTAAAAATGGTATAAAATGTGGAATCCAAGCAATGGTTTGTGAAAAGAGTAAAATTTTCTCTTTTAAGAAAATAGCAAATCTCAGATAAGGTACCCTTAACTGTGCTTTTCCTAAATATAATGATGAAGCTGTTACAAAAGGGGTTTTTGCATGGACCGTTTGGGCACACAATGAGTGGGCAAAAAACAATTGTGTTAAATTTGCAACACAACCTCATATGCTTTAAACCTTTTTTTATTTGTAATATAAAGAAATAAGGGGAATAGTTTCAGCGAAACAATTACATTTGTGTGCAGTCGTCTCAGTACAATAAAAAAAAAACATTCCTTATTTATCACTTAATTTATAAATCCAACAACAAAATGCAATAGAAAAGGCTTGCCTTTACAGTATTTCTTTTAAGAAATTTTCATATACCATTTGGAAGGAATATCATTTAGACTTACCAATGTATGAATGCACTCAAATACTTCAAATTTATTCAATTAAGTACTAATATTTTAGTTGCTTAAACACATCTTCAAAAAATTATGAAAATGTGAACTGCCAAGAATACATTCACACTAAGCCAAACCACAAGAATTGCCTCTTTCCCTACCTTAGCCATAGCTAAGCTGAAGAAGGCAAGGACCTTACTTTGTCTTACACTTCCAGATTCCTAGCATCACTAACACAATTCCAATGCCTTAGTGTCACACAGATAAGGCATTCACATTTGGTTTTACTCAAAACATTTTTGTCCAAAAATGCAAATCCAAGGAATTTAAATACATAGCTTCTTCCATGCAAACTTCCACAAATCTGATAGCTGTCATATAAATATAAAACAGTGTCAATAGCAAAAACATCTGAAATTTAAAATATCTATCATCTCAATGAAAAATTTACTTCTACAGTTCCAAGCTGTGGAAACTAAAGGGATTGTCCAAACACAAAAAGAAAATACTTCTTTAAGAGGGGAATAGAAGGTAGTTCAGGTGATTTCATAAAAGAAGTGATATTTAAATTGGCAAAACAAGCCATGTGTTACATTAAAGTTCTTTCATCCAATTTTGAAATCCAAAGCCATTATCCTTTTCAACCAAACTAAAATCTATGGAACTATATAAAAGATCCATTATCTACATAATTCACCACCAATATTCATTAATAGTAATTACATGCATGTTAACAAGAAAAATATTCTTTATGTAAAGAACACATAGTATCATCTCATGAAGCATATATCACACACTGGCAGCCACAGAAGCATTACTTGGAATATTACGTATTGTTGTCATTTTTGAGATGCAGAGCGTCAAGTAAAATAAAACCTTCAGAAAGTAAGAAATAAAGGATTAAAAAATAAACCTTTTATTGCTAAAGGATAGCAAAAATAGGAAACAAAAATGGTCTCCCAACAACCCTTAAGACATCCAGTTCACCACGTCTTTATTACCTTGAAGTAAAACATACAATACCACTGCAACAACAAGCATTTTATTCTAGCTTGTAAGCACATGCTACAGCTTACAAACAAGTATTTACAAGCTGTAACCAGCTTAACAGTTAAACATCTACAAAGGTATCCACAAGCTATTTTCCAGCATATTCTCCATTATCTTACTTTTTTTTTAATCAGTAAGAAATGGCTAATTATTTTGTTAACATTAAAGTAGGAAAATGATCAGAGGTTTTTAAGGGAAAAAATAAAAATATCTCCAAAATTAAGAAAAAAGAAATAGGAACTTGACGCCCTGCTTGTGACAAATCTTCAAAAATTCATTTTTGAAGATGGAAACAGGATCCCAAAGTTCTTTGTGGTGAGTAGAAAAAAAACAAAAAAACAAAAAAAAAACTGATCTCAAATTTTTGCAAAATAAAGCAACTAGTGCATAATTACTGTGCACCTTGTGACCTTAAAATGTTTTTTTTAACCAAGACATAAGTTGTTTATAATGTAAGCTTGACCACATCTTGCTTTTTATCACACTTCGAATAATAATCCTCTGCATGTTTTCATTACTCTCTGGTAATGGGGGGAAAACAACCTAGAGGTGTCTAATCTGTCTCCTGAGTATTTTCCTCTGATTTTATAACCTTTTCTGTTTGCTCTTGTTCACCTTCACAGTCAACAGGCTGTTTATTATCATCATCACCCAGGTGATGACTGGTAAGGTCCGATGTTTTTTCATCTTGCATATTGCTGCTTAAACTTCCCTGTTCTTGCTGTTGCAATGCCTGTTCATTTGGGTATTCACTGCCATCTGTAACCTCGTCTGTTTGACTGAAGTCTTCGTACTCGGCATTTTCATATTCATGCTGCTCTACATCCTCTCCAGACTTACTCAGTTCCTGAACACAGAACATAAAATCTCATTTTTCATTTCAGTTGAGTGAAAGTCTTTTATCACTTATAGATAATGTATTTTCTATCTTAAACTAAACAAACTGAAAACTTAAGGAAATAAAACCCACATGCTCAAGCTTTTTTAAAAATCTGTATAAAAATGAAAATATAAATGTTTTCACAATCTTCTATTTTGGCTGTCTGCAACAAATCAAACACCACAAACCTGCTGCGTATATTTATGATTCTCTAAAAAAAAAATAAATAAATAAATAACTGAAAGAAGACTTAAATCAGTTAGTATTTGACTAGTTTTTATTAAAGCCATGTACCTCTGGATGTATGATAGGTAAGGGCACCTTGGGTCTACGGACAGGTGACCTGTTCAGACTGTGTTGCTGTTGAACCTCAGGATTGTAGTAGATGGTGCCACTGCGCCTGGGGGTGACAGGCTGCTGAGATTCAGGATTATAGTAAGTGACGCCCCCTGCTGTATATAACTCTTGCTGAGGAACCTAAAAATATCAGGCAATACATGCCAATCAACACTAAGTGTAGACTACAACATTTCATAGTAAGATGCTATGGCTTATCTTTTATGGGTCTGATTCTTTTGAATTTTATTCTCAAAGATTTCTTCCAACAGGATCACCCCTATCGTCTTCTGCTACACAAAAGTAACCCAATTTTTCTTTGAATATAAAAAAAAGTGCACAAATTAGCAACAGCTAAGTACATGTTAACGAAACTGAAATCACTTACTGGTGCTTGTTGTGGGGGTGCAGGTGGAGACGGGAATCCTTGGAGTGGGATGTGCCCTGCTATTTGGTAGTGGGGCGGTGGTGGTCCAGCAAAGTTCACCACTCCCTGCTGAATGAAAGCTGGCTGCATTAAGGACTGGGTTGACAGACCTGTTGCCATGGTAGCCACAGGAGGGGTCAGCAAACGAGGAGGGCTCTGGATTTGAGGTGTGGGGCCTGCAAATGGTAGCAGTAGAACCATATATCAAATACAAAATGTTTAAAATATAATAAAAAAAGGGCATCTACAGTGCCAAGTTTCCTGACCCGAACAACAGCTTTTTAAAATTAATTTTTCTTTGAATTCCAAGAACCATCTCCCATAATCACTCTACATAATGCCTTTATGTGCATATTCTTTAAAGAAAAAGTTGTCCTGTACCTGGTATGGTATATGCCACCTGCGGCCGTACAACATGCTGTGGTACTTGGTGACGTGGAAGTGGCGCCCTTGGTTCAGGATACATGTTACCACCATGAGTGGAGGGAGGCTGATAACCTACACAAATATCAAAAAGTTATCAGAGCAAGGAAGAAACAATAAAGATTCAAACCTAAACCCTGACATATAGACTTACTTGATCTACAAAAAAACTCCTGTAATTTCTTTTTCCATTTTAGCCATTGTTTACAGATACTCCAACCTACCACTCTGAGGGCTAGTGTTATAAAACTGCTGGCCCTGTTCTCCTCCACCTTCCTGATAGCTGGACTCCGGCATATTCCTCTGCCTCTGAGAGGAGTATCTCTTGGGACGGTTTTGTGATGCATCCACTTTTGGCGGGGCAGGGAATCCTCCCCGTCCACCTGCAGCAGACCAATTTCCCTTGTTTTGGGCATTCCCTGGGGAAGGGGCTTGTTGCTGAAGTGGGCCTCCTAAAAGGCGAAAAAAGTTTAACCACTCGTTTACTTTTTAATTGATAGTTTTCCAATCTCAAGTCTATGTATACTGCATGTTTAATTTTTTGACTGATTTTGTATTACACCTTACTCAGCTCCAGTTATTACATTTCTATATTACATAAATGATTTCACATGTAATGTTCACTGATACAAGTAAAATTGAAAAGAAAGCTATAACTTTGGAGTGTTTTCACCCAAAAAAAATACCTTGCTTTGGTTTATTTTGCTCCTCTGTGACTGAAAGTTGTTCCATGCCTTGCTCGATTGCAGAACTTGAACTATCCTGAGACCTTGTATGGCCTGCCCCTCCCTTAAACCTCCTGTCCCTTGCATAAGACTTCCTATCACTACCCCCTCCTCCTTCAGAGCTGGACACAGTGCTCGTTCTGTTGTCACTTTGGGCCATAACTTTCCTAGAATCTTCTTTCAATTCAATTCTGATATCTGGGCGCTGAACATCTTGATATTCTTTCCTAGGGGAAGGTTCCGAGTTGTTGTTGCTATTTTCAGTATTATTATCCTGATCATAATTCTGATCTCGATTACTTTTCCTGAAATTTGCATTAGTCCACTGTCTCTGAGGGACAGGAGGATTTTTAAATTCATTACTTCTTCCTTGAGTGTTATTCTGTAAGTCACTGTATGTCCTTGATTCTCGCCAACCAGAATCTTCTGGTCTTCTACGTTCCCCTCTGCCACGCCCTGCCACGCCCACCACGCCCACGTGGTGGACCACGTCTCTGCCTTGGCATGTCTTCTTCATTCACAAAATCACTAAGCTTTGTATTTCTCTTCCTGTAGCCTCCATCCCTTGAATAAAATTTGACATGCTGTTAAGGGATTAAAAAATCATTAAATCAAAAAATTAAGAACAAGGTCTTGTCACTTTTTAAATGACTAAAACAATTTAACTAAAAGGGTTTTACAATGTTCTTGCTAATTAAAGCAACAAGTTCATTAGCTTGTTAAAGAAAATCACAAATGGTATTTTGTCACAAACAACAGTGGGAGAAAGCATCTACATTTGTCTCTTATTGATGTAACACTGTCTTCCCTATATAAACTGGGGGACACAACCAATGAGGTCACCAAGTAACACCTAGTGACATCAGTGCAGACTGAAGATGTCTGAGTGACATCAAAACATATCTGCACTGTAAAATACCAGTTGGTGACAAAAGGACATTTGTAACCTAATTCACTTGCTATTATGAAACACAAACCAGGAACAGATTCCTAGAGACTCACCCCAGACTCTCCAGAGTGAAAGTCGGTTATTTCAGAAGCAGTAGCAAATGAGAGTTGAGCACACAATTGAACATAATGTTGAGACATTTGTACCTTGAGCTATTAAATCTCCTGGGAGCTTCAGGGGGCTTATCATAGGCCCTTATGTCATATCCATACATGGCAATGATTTCTTCTTTGCTTTTTGGAGCCTGCATATCATCATAAAATTTGTCATGTAGCCATTTGCCCTCATCTTTCCATAATGTCTTCTTTGGCCTGAAAACACGAAACAAAAAATATATCTTTTATACCTGCCAATCAGATCTATAGAACATAGTTCTTTTTCTTTTTATTCTTAAACTTCTAATATTTTGTACACTTTAACATAATTTCAATGATTTTCTAAGAAAAGTTCTTGTAAACATTACACAGAAGGCAGTAAATGGATTTTATTATAAATGTATACATATATATCAAGATATATCAAGATAACTGCTTAAAAAAAAGAATACAAGCAGCTGAAACCTTACATAATTAGCAGAATGCACATGATATTCTAACAACTTGACTCATCATCTACTCTACCTGTCTTCTTCTTCCTTGATCTCCTCTGACCCCATCCTGCTATCATGCTCATAGAAATTACCCTTTCTAGGAACAAATGCTGGATTTTTGCGGTCCTCATCATCATCAAGCTCTCTGGAAGATGCTGGTTGTTCCTGAGACAAGGAAATATGAAGACAAATTAACTCACTTGGAAGGAAATTTTCTTTCTCTGAGAAACTTGGTAGCAAGAAATTAGAAACTGTTTAATACTTGCAACCATTTCTTTTTCATATATTCAAAAATTAGAAAAAAAGGGGTTATGAAGAATATTCTCCAATTTTACATGGGAGTTTAATATAAAAAAATGGTAAAGGAATTTAGCTTGCCAAATAGAAAAAAAAAACACCAAGAACATAAATCCTGAAAGTAACTGATACTAGTGGTTCAGGGTCCTTTTTATGTTAAACAAACCTCCCCATCTCCACTCTGTCGCTCTTCTCCAAGCTCCTCCCCATCTTCATCTTCAATTATCACACTGTCCTCGTCATCATACTCTTCTTCATCCTGGCATAAATTAACATATTTTATATGTAACAACAATCACACACTAAATATGTGATAAATTACTGAACAGCAAATATGTGTGGCATATGTTATGTCAGATCACGTGTAAGAAATATTTCTTTATCATCTAAATAATTTAAGAAGTTTACTAAAAAAAAAAGAAATAGAAAAACCTCTTCTTCTTCATCCTCCTCTTCGTCTTGATCTTCTTCTGCACTTTCATATTCCGAATCTTCTCCTACAAAAAAGTTGTCAAGTCATTAAAGAGGTAAACAACTGCATTGAGAATGTATTCAAAAAAAAAAAAAAAAAAAAAAAAGAAAAAAGTTTAAGTGAGTAAATGTTTCCACAAGTCAGATGATGAATGTCAATCAATGCTGAGAACTGAGTGTACAAAATATAAATTACCTTCTCCAGTAACTTCTACACCTTCTCCTTCACTTAACTGAAATGCAAAATTTATAAAAAACATAAGTATGCTATTTGAAGCAGTTATCCTTTCTGCAGCTTTAATAATTGATAATTATGAAAGTAAGGCATCATAGCACAATTAACTTAGAAAATCAAGAAGCAGTTCATCGTGCCCTAAACAGTTGCTTTGAAGTGTATCAATTAGTTAGTCCTTTTATATCAATTAATGAACCAGTTAAATAAAAATGATTTTCCTTTTTTTTCAGAAATGGGACAGAACTACCATTTCCGCATGCAATTTTCACTCATAACTTCTCTTTTGTTTGAAATGAGATGTTGATACTAAGACAAATAAGCCTCCACAAAGAAAATCAAAATTTAGTAGTTCTGTCACGTCTGGAAAAAATGGATATAGATTATCATCTGGGTTTATTCAGCATGCCTCCCAATCTTATAATTCTGTGATTTTCAATGATCTTTTTCTAAATCAGTTGTTGTGATTTTGATGAATGTCTTTGCTTTTCAAATAAATTTGTTTGGCAGTTGACATCATGATTTAAGATGTTTTTACAAGAAACCTTTTCAAATATAATGAGAACTGAGATCATTTAGAAAATATGTAAGTAAATTGCAAAATTGAATTTACTTGAAAACCATAGATAGAATTTATGAACACTGAAAATCACACTTAAATGTAAAAAGCGAAGAGAACATAACTGCGGCATTATTACACTGGAGAATGAATTGATACAAAAGGGCAATGATCAAAATTTATAGTTTTCCAAGCAAATGGGCAGGGAACACCATTGGAACTTTACTGGTTTTTTTTTTTCATAACTTATTTTTAGCCAAGCATTCTTAGAGTTATTTTTACCTGTAGTAAGTTCAGGGTAGAGGTACATGTAAGACATTAACCTTAGTTGCAGTACTTAAGCAAAATTATGGGTGCAAAATCAATGACAAACATTTCATAATAAATATTTCCTTTTAGCCTTCTAGTGGTTTTCACGCCAGGTTATTGGGGTTTTGATTCCAATACAAATATGTGAATGTTGCGATCAACTTTGGTTCAAGTTGAAATTCAAGCAATTATGGAATTAACTCCAGTCTTAGTTACTTAGTAGGCACGTGTTGTCATGATTACTAAATGTAAGTAGCACTCCTTAGTTTTCTTCTTTGCTGATTAATAACATTTAACTCTATAAAATGCGTCTTACACATTCTGAATCTTTTCTTAATTCTTTTTTATTCTTCTGAAGTGTGGGTATTTCCGTGGCTTCGTCTGCGCTGGCTTCTGACTCTGAATGAGAAGATTCATCACTACGCCTTCGTCTCCTATCCGCCATTTTCATTGAACTGAATGATAAGTGCTGCCACCTTTCGTTTATATCCAAGACACAACCAACATAATACCTTTCTCTCGGTAAATATCATATTTTTGCTGGTGAGTTTCAGTTCCAAGGAAGAATATTATATAAATATTTTCTCTTGCATATGTTTTCAACTACTTCAAGAGACTTATTCACCACACTAACTGCTGACGTTGATGGCTTGTCTGTCTTGTGGAGACTTTCATTTTCATATTTATATTTCTGCACGTCCACGATACTGAGTAACAGCAGTGGGTGATGTGCTTTGAAAGTCTGTCAAAATATTCCTATGTGTTGGATTACAATGGGGGTGCTTTCATATGAAAGGGGGTAGATTTGTCTTATAACAACAAACAATTTTGTTTCCAAACATTGCTGTGTATTTTAAACTTTTTAATTCTTAGCCGAAAATGACACTAAAACAGCGCTTAAATCTGGGCCACAGACATACCATTATTTCTTTTAATATACGTGTATAAAATTTGTTTTATAAACATTTACAAATCATTTACAGTATGTACCATACCGTTGCTACACGTTTCCAGTGACTGGCATTGGACGCGTTTACAAAAAGCTGTTACCTTTGCTATTTGTTCTTGTTTGTTTCCGTGGCATTGCTACATAGAAGCTGAGTACACCTGTAAGAACCATTCACAGACCCTATCACACTAACTGTGAATCGATCTATCTCCGAGGGGATTCTCGCTAAATTGCAATCAACTTAAGCCGCTTAGATGTCCGTTTGTTTAGCAGCTTCAGTAGGCGTGCCAGACATCTAAGCCGCTTATTAGCTGAAAACAATTTAGCGAGAAACCCCTCGGAGATGGATTGATCATGTCAGATCGATCTAGTTATGGGAACTCAGTCAAAATGGCATCAATTTTTTTATTGATAGCCAACAAATGAAGATGATTCCGATATGTTTTCTGCATTTAAATTGCTGTGCAATAAGCATAGATATCACGCACTTAAAAGTCTCTTTTACAATGGAGAAAGGCTCTTTTACAATGGCTAATGATAGAAATGAATCTCATATTCCCGACCAATATTCATACTTGAATTGGTCTCCACAGCGTTGGATACATATATATATTTTCCATTACACAGATAATGCTGACATTTAATTGGTTGGTTTTAAATAGCATGAATCGAAAACACCACCAAAGTCCTTTAAAAAGTAATGTAGTAGGCCTATTTCGTGCCAAAAACTCACCCTTATGCGAAAAACTCGCTGAACATAAGCCAGCACATTATGAGCATGTATTGCTGTAGAGAAGCAGTGCGCGGTGGTACTTCTGTTCAAATACGTCGGTTCTTTTCAGATAAATTACGTGGGGAAGCGAGAACCCAGTCAACCAATGTCCAAGCAGGGCCCCGTATCTCGAAATCATCGCGTATTGCGAATAGCTATATCAAATAGAGGCTACAATGTATTACATGGGACGAGTATGGGCGAGTTATGGAATCGAGACGCTTGCGCACGATCGAAATGCGCGATGCTTTCGAGATACGGGGCCCAGGGCAACATTTTTTTGCGTTCACCCTTCCCTCTTCCACATCGTTATTTTTTTCTGAATTGTCACCCCTCCTCCCCCCCCCCCACCCCCAAAATAAAGGTGCTTCCTACGCGCCTGTTTGAACAAATATCTTGATAGCATCTTTTGTGAGATTATCAGTGATAACATGTTACGAGGCTTCAGGACTTTGCCCATTGGTTCCCATCGTTTTTCATTTGTCATTCTGTATTGAATATAATCTCATACAAAGATCTACGGAAATAATTTCAAATACGGCAATGTTTTTTCTAGCAGATAATCAACAAATATGATTGAACGTAAAACTTAAGAAAATTGCTTTGACGCAGGAAAATTTTGTAGGCTTATACAACGCGACATCACACACCTTTTTGAATTTTAACATTGGCTTGGTGAATTTTGTGACATTTTGCTAAAATAGCATTATGCTTTTTTATTTTGGTAGCGTGTACATATACTGTGTGAAACAATCTAATGTTGACGTTGATTCAACAATGACAATATACATACTGTAATGAATATAAGCCTAGTGTGTGTGTGAGTGTGTGTGTGTGTGTGTGCGTGCGTGCGTGCGTGTGTGTGTGTGATTTTGTCCTTATTAAAGAACAGTTGCAATCAGTCATTATTCAGTCACGTTATATTTTAATTCTCCAGTTAGGCAGTGTTTTAAATAGAACTTTTTGCCAATGGCTTTTCTTATATTTGCATAGCGTGTGCGCTGTAGCGGTTGAGCTTAGTACAGTATATACACACATTCCCTTACCATACATGCTGCACAGTACCGTTTTAAAATTGAAACGTCAATGATTCGTTTAGATATTTTACTTTTGCTTTCGCGAGGACTATATAGTTGCTTTACTGTTGCGCAGAGGCAATAAGCGGAACGTATATTTTTCTAGTTTCATTATCTATATCGTTACATTTAAATATTTGTAGTTTATTTTTCTGCACACGCATCAACTTTCATATGGAATACTAAAGAGCTCTTAAAGGGATAGCACCTGTTTACTTTGATATAAACTGGATTCCTATACTTACCAATGATTATTGAGTCCGTTCCAATATTCATAGTTACTCCATGTTTTTAAAGGATTTTTGTAGAAATCTTTTAAAAGATAAGTAAAGAGAATGGCCTATTATGGAGGTCACATTGTCTGATGACAAGCACAGATTCCAAAATGTATTGGGATAACCGCCGTTTTGGTGATAAAAGAGAACTTATTATATTTCTATGTATTTGTGAAAATGAATTTCATGCGAAGATTTGTTATCCCTTTAAAGATAATATCGGTGTCTACGTTAACCAGAATGCATGCTCACTGAAATCTTTCTATTTTTCCTGCCTGCTTGCTTGTTTGTCTGTCTGGCCGGATAGATTCGTTTGTCATACACTTTGAACAAGGCCGTAGCTCTGTCCCAAGTAATCACCTTATCAACTGAAGCTGCAATTGCCTTTTTTTCTAAGGTTTTGAGTGTTACGCAATCACAAATGTTTTTGTCGGAAATATTGAAAACCGCCACCAGGGCAAAATCAATATACAACTGGGATACTGACGAATTAAAACGTCACCAGCAGCAATGAGACTTGGGCACCAAGCGAAACCATGGGATATGAGAGTGCGTGTTCAAATAGATAGTTCTCTAGCTCATATACAGCTGAATAGCGGTACAAACATAAGTAGGATATTGCTCTGTTTGCTGTGTTACGTTCAATAAAGAGGAGTTATCACAACGCATGAGAGCTACAAAGCTGAGCGGGCTATGGACGAATTCCCGTTTGTCGCAGCTTGCAGAGACGACGACGTCGCGGCGCTTGTCAGATTGCTGAGCAGCGAATATTTGACTCCGTACACACTCAATCAAACTGATAAAACAGGCAGGGTAAGTAAATTGAATACTGTCGGTCATCTTTATGTAGTTCTGGCCAAGTCATGTCACAGCACTCGACAGATTAAACACAGGGTAAGTGGCCGTGAAGATTGCATGCGTTGCTTCACCAATTATACATGTACAACAGAGCGTAGTCCAGCACGTACTCAGATTTAATGTTTTATGAACGAAGGGAACTGACAGGAAATATAGTCATAGAGGATCAGTCAGCCTACTGCAAATATTTAAAAACAAAACCATATGTTTTTTGTTAAAAACTCGAAACTAAATGTTATTGAAGGCAATGCTTCTTATCTTCTGTTATCCAACTGATACGGTAACTCTCACTGGTGCACGCTTTGATATAATGCATTTGCCTAGTGATTGAAGGGGACTAGGGGTTCGCTTCCACATCTGCCTCGTCTTAAACCCAAGACTTCCCTTATCATCAAAGTTTTCATATGTATTTTGTCCACAAAAATAATGAGTCGCTTTTATTAATTTTTGAAATAACAATCTCTCTCTCTCTCTCTCTCTCTCTCTCTCTCTCTCTCTCATGTTTTGGACCTCGATCTTTGCTATCTGCCATCAGCGTATCTATTGTGGCTTCTGCAACCAATTTATTGTACAGATGAATATTTCTTAAAATTACTCCTTGTAGATTTCTGAAATCTGCATAAATAGTCATTGTGTAGTAGGTACATGTACATACGTTTTTCTTAGATATATTTAGATATTCGGATATGCTCCACAACTCGTTTTGTTTTTGTTTTCTTAATGTTTTGTTTAATATTTCATTATTTTAATTCATCTCTTCGTCACCCTTTAATACTTATTATTCTGTCATTGTATCAATGTTTTACTTAATTGGGTTAAATGATTATTATGGATAGGAGATTCCATAAAAGAACAAACATTTGTATCATTGTGAATTGTGTTGATACGTTTATAACGTAACCATTGTTGCTAAGGACGCCAATTAAAACCAACCAAGTTATCATTTTCCCACATCAAAGTAAATGTAACAAATGGCTTAAACCTTTTCATGACAAAATGTTTTATAATCATTCTTCTAACTCGTCTTCTGGGAATTCAGAGCTTTTATTGGAAAAAACAAACAGTAAGGCAATCATTTGAATTATTCATAAAAACGCGTTTGGCAATGTGTGGCATGGTAAAAATGATATTCAAAATATGCCTCATGGCGTTTCCCAGAAATAATACGATTAAAGCAACAAAATTCAACAAAAACGCGTTTACCTTGTAAAATACATTTACATACTGCTCTCCGGTGGTCATTTCTCAAGCACATGGTCAACCTAAAGCTACAAATGAACCAGTAGACTAGTCCCATTTATCGGATATCCAATAATTGCCACCCAAAGCAAAAGATCCTCTGAAAGAGCATCATTGCAGTCTTTAGTTGATTAATCTGTGCTAGCGCTTATTCTAGACTGGCACCCAATATTGGATCCTAGTTCTAAGCATTTGTCAATAATGTTAGACGTCAAGTCATTAATGCATGGGCGATCGCAGGAATCGTAGAGATGGCCACTTATCCATGGTTTACTCTGTGATTGTTTGTCCAGATAATCTATGTGCGAGACTTAAGAATTCAGCGACTATGGAGTTAATTTGCTCCATATAAAATCGCAAATTTTGTTTTTTATTTCAAACCTCCACTTTTTCGCAGTCAGAGTAGGCCTATTTCTTGTTACAAAATTATCAGGATGATTTTGGTGAAAAGACTCACAGGGATTAAACAAAAAGGGATTAACTGTTTTGTCACGGAAATTAAATAAACGTATTAGAATCTGATTCCATTATGGTCACATTGCACATATAGTTTTCCTTCCGATCGATTGGTACCATTTTATAAACATAAAACTCACACAGTTGTTTATTGACACACGGAAGTAGAAGGTATCAGATTTGTTGCGACAATAATGATATTTCGAAATGTTAATAAAAATTTGATTACGTGTCTTTCATCGAAATTATCTGGTTACAGAAACATAAGAAAAAAATGTTGATAAAAAGTTGATTAAATTGGTTGGCATTTAAAGTGATCAGTAGAAAGAGATGGAAATGCTTCAACGCCCCCCGTCTTATTCAATACAAACTACACTTATACATAGAAGTATACTTGACGCGGATATTAAAGACGGATGAACATTTTTTCGATTAATTAGGTTCAAAAGATGATCAACTAAACACGTAGTTTGTCACGCAGCCTGACAGGTTTGAGTCAACCATGGCAAGAGCCATATAGGCAATGTTCCCCAGAGAGGAATAAAGACACTGATACCTACGTCATCCTTGTAATCTGACATTTCGAGAAATCTGAGCTGCCTACTGAGAATTTAAGCAATTCCCGACGTGCTACAGAATAAACCTATTTTCGTCTTTCGTGAACGGAAATCCTGTACTTTCCGTTCTTCCAAATTAAGGGCATACAAATACGAATTTTATTGTATGAATAACCTCTTTTCAGATTAATATCTCACTGTGTGATTTTGACGTAGCAGGTGGAAGAGCACATTTCACTACTATGCATTTATATTTACGAAAACTTAGGAAGTTTAAGGGTGAACTCTGCAGTGTTTTGTTAAGGGTATGCTTAGGAACCGTATTGACTTTATTTTTATTGCCACATAGTATCATCAACGTTGTAGTTGCGGTCCTGTGAAGTCGTTTAATGTAAGTGTATGGAAACAGCCAAACCATGGACATAATCTCTTATTATGTCCATGGCCAAACATAAAAGTCAAACCAGGATATAACAGGGTCATTTTTTAGTTATGTGTTTGTTCTGATTTAAATATCTAAAAACTGGCTTCGATAGTTGACAAGTAGACACCACTGTGTGATATGATTCAATATATATGTATACTTACAAATTTTCCATAGCTTTCATTTCTCTAAGACTCAAAGCACGACCGTATGGATAACGTAATACTAACAGTGGCGTTTATGAGGTATCGGATGTTATCATAAAATTGTTCTCCTTTACATATAATTCTTTCCGTACTTTTTTAAAAACCAATGGCCAATGTTGCGTGGCGTGGGCTTTGTGCACTGTAAGATTATTATGTGGGAAGATGAAAGGATAATGACGATGATCTCAACTTGTTTTCAACCGATGACGAGAGATTGTGACGCAGAACGTCGACATAATTATCGGGATTCGTGAACGTTTCCCGAAACCAACAAAAAGTCTGAAGTTTTGTCATAGCCAATGCTTCCCTCAAAAGGACTCCGATTTTCTAGTGGTGAACCGCGTATTTTCGGCATAATAAAACTCTTGCCATGACGTATACCCTGACATACCGGTCAGAAAATAAAACATGCCTCCAGTGTTGCTTGGTTCTTGTCTCTGTGTTCTTGTTGTCTGTAAGGTCGCATTCGGGCACCCTGAGCTTCAGAGATAACTTGACACTAACCTCTTCACTATAGCCTATCTTCATCGTGTCATTGGGGCCGTTCAGAATGGATGATCCGAGTACTAACTGACCCGCCGACTAAATATGGCATACCCCACTTCAAAAGCGATACCGCTAATTCCATGATGGTCTCCCCGCCTCCACACGAGCCGTCCCTGCAGGGGCCTAGCAATTAAACCTAGGAGCCGAGATTTAATACGTTTTATGGCGCGTGTGGAGGCGGGGTAGGGAGGCCATTGGGAATCAGCGGCATCGCTTGTGAAGTGGGGTCGGCCATATTTAGTCGGCAGATCAGTTAGTACTTGGATCATATATTCTGAATGGCCCCATTCAGAACAGATGATCCTCAGATCTACCGATTCTCGGATCAAATATGGCTGACCCTACATGAAAGTAAAACTGCTTAATTTCGTAATGGTCTCTCCGCCACCCACACGCCTCTCACGCGTCGTTCCTGAAGGGGCACAGTAATTAATTAATTAATTAATTAATTAATTAATTAATCTCGACGCCATTCGACAGGTAGCTTTAATTACTGTGCCCCTGTAGGGACAACGCGCGTAAGAGGCGTGTGGTAGGCGGAGGGACTATTACGGGATTAAGTGATCTTGCTTTCTTGTAAGGTCCGCCACATTTGATCCGCGGATCAATCTTTTCCGAATGCAACCTAAGACTCGCTACAACTAAGATAGAAAAGATCTTGGGTTCTAGGCCACAACCTTGAAACTCGCCTTTCTCTATAGATTGGCTTCCCGAACAAAGCATACGAACTATTCTTTACTCTGAAAAAGACTTCTCCCTTTGGGAGTGAATTTCCTGTCGTTTCTGTTTTGAATAAGCTTGTCATTTTTCACAGTGATCGCTTCTTCAGCTAATAACAGTGTGTAATATGTTAGAGGGGACCTTTCAGATGGGCGTGGCAAAGACAAAAAAACAGCAAAAAGGGCATCCGTGCACTCCTCTGTTGTAAATGCTCTTTTATAGGTCACGAACCCCGAAGGTGGGTGAAGCCTTTGCTTAAATCTTTAAGTCCCGAAGGTAATATTAACCACAAAACATGAATGATCATGTCTCACGCAAACATTTTACAAAAAACACCAAGTGAAAGTCAATGTTAGACTCAATAACGTCTGTTCTCGTCTCTTGCGTTCCCTTGTGACTGATAATCATGAGATTTCAGACCACACGTATCAGTCTAACCACAAACCGTGTATGTGCTCGTGGAAAATGGTCTGCTTTATGTTATTTGAACAACAATTACTAATATCTACTAAAATGATGCCATATTACAAAGGGCACTACCTAATAAGTACGCTTTCTATTATTACCTTTTGTTGTCATGAGGAAGAAAGTATTAAAGGAATGGTGGGGAACGGCTGTTATGGGATCTCTAATAGAAAGTTGGTCAACAGATACAGATAGATAATGAAATACATCACTAACACGGTGATTTAGTATGCCATATAACAGAAAAAAATACACTACACTACACTACACTTATACTACACTACACTACACTACACTACAGAGGATAAAGTATGATAATATAATGTAAGAAATGGTTTATACTTCAAAGCATCACTGCATGGTTCAAAATATATTTCGACTTACATATAGCGGTTTGTCACATTGCCTCAAATTGCAGACTGGCTTGAGCCATGCTAGCGAGCAAGGGTTCATGGACATATTGCGACCCCTAGGCAGCTTGGAAGGGATGGATGTCAATATCCCCGATAACGAGGGAAATACACCCCTGATCTTCGCAGCAGAGGCAGGTAAAAGAAACTGTTTTATTTATAGTATTTATTACATGGAAATATACTCCCCTAGCAAAAAAGCGTCACCAGCAATGCAATGCGTAAAATTATCTACAAAAAAATCAAGTCACAAACCAATGTTTGTTATTCATCTTCTAAAATGATTTTTTCACCAGGAAGGCTGAGTAGCATAATCATGCTGAAACATATAACTGGGTAGTCACGACCCCCAAAGATATTCTCGACAGAGTTTCTGAAGTTCCTTTCCAGTACTTGGATGCATTGCTCTGCGTTAAGTTTTCCGTTGACCACCACCGGCTCACCTAAACCATGGTAACCAATACACTTCATGCCATGACTGATATGCGCCCTGTCGACCAGAGGCAGAAAATTGGGAAGATACCCTTCTTACCCTTACCAGCTGTTCTCCAAAACCTTCAGCAGGCGTCACTTCTGACAAAAACTGAACCTCCTTTCATATGATAACAGTATCATAGCCAAGTTGCTGGCTGGTGTCTTCTGACGGTAAACTCAGAAACATGGTTTTGCCTGATTTTGGTTAAATGTTGCAGTCAAGTTCCTTGATGTCATGAAACGTTTTCAAAGTAGAAGGCGTCCCAGCATTCTCTTTTCTTTGGGTGCGGTGTCCTTCGATCGGCCTTACCTAGGCAATCTTGCCCATGTGGCCCCTTGGTTATGATGTTGTGTAACCCTCTGGATGGTTCTTATGGTACAACCCAACTTTCATGGTGAAAAAGTATCCCTCTCACTTACTCCAATGGTCACGCTAGGTAGGTCAGTTGTTTTACTACTCACATCTCAAATTTGAACGATGATCGGTTGTCTAGTTTTTACGTAATAGTAAAACGATGGGGACCCTGCAAGCAGTGTAAAAAATGCCGTAGTGGTGACACTTTTTTGATAGGAGAGTATATAATGCATTAAATTGGGTCTCCATTTGCACTGATAATTTCAATACGGTATGTTGAAGACTTTTGGAAGCGGTGAGAATACATTACGCCAATTTATGAAAGGATTAAGGTTACATACACCCATAGCAGATTAAATGCTTTATATTGAACTTTTTTTCTGTAATATTATTATATAATGCTCATGGTCATTATTTGTCTTCAGAAAAGGTTGTGAACGCCCGGCAGATAATTCATTGTGTGGGCTCTATTTCTACATTTACAGGTCAGCCGGAAGCCGTCAAGTTTTTAATTCAAAATTTTCCGGATATCAATATTGACCAAGAGAACGAGAATGGTTTAACTGCGCTCATCAAGGCCGCCATTCAAGGGCAAAGCCAGACTGCAAGTCTTCTCTTGGAAGCAGGTAAGGAATTCATTGTTTACAGGCATTGTACAACAGAAGTATTGGATTGTTTGTACGTCTTTACTGATGCCATGTGGCAATGAATAAGAAAATACTGTTTCTACAAAAAGTTTTTTTTCTCCTAGATTGAAGGTAATTTTACAAGGTAGCTGTTTGTCTTCTTCATTTGCGATAACTAGTTGCAAAGACCTGGTATGTTCAGTGTAACATGCAATTAGGAGATAAGATATAAATGCCAGAAGGCATGTACATCCACGAGCTATCTTTACCAAGCACCTACTTGACGACGGTAAATGTGGAAACTTATTCTTTTTTACCATTTTCCAAAACTTGGCTTATCACACCTAGTGCTGTAAATTTGCCAAACACGTGCAGTATTTAATTTTTTACAATAAAGATTCTTCTTTATTTATATTTCTCTGTTTTACAGGTGCATCGGTTCTTCACAAAGACAAAATGCGAGGGATGAACGCCCAAGAATGGGCGCTTTATTGTGGCCGAAAAGACTGTGCGGACAGTATAGCAAAGTTCCTAAAAACTAAAAAGACGTGGTTCAAAAAACATGGAACGCCACCATGTATAAGACAAAAACAGCAGCACCGACAATCAATCAGCGAACCAGACCTAATTTATGCAGTAAAGAACAATGATCGCGGATTGAAAGTCAACTTCCAGCAAACTTTCAGGAGAATATTCAGTCGTTGTACGGGAAACAAGAAACGGGAACTAACCCCGAATAAACAAGCATTCCAGCCACTCGTGCAGGCGGCGCGTTGCGCTTCATCTCCACTTCTCCCAGATATTGTGAGTCCGCCTAACTCACCAATGATCTTTAAGAGAGAATGCGTCAATCAAAGACCAATAATGATTGTTCCCAAGGTGAACATTTCGCCTTAATGTTATCTTTACATATATATTTTACACACAACATCATAAATGGATTTTCACTGAAACAAAATAGGAGTGCTGGCTAGAAAATGTTGAATGCCCAATTTTGCTACAGGGCGGGAGAATCACTAAATACCAATCGATATTTTAACAATGCGGTAATTTATGGTACACTTCATTGCCTCTAATATGGTATCTAGTCAAAGATTCCGAATTGAGAGAGAGAGTCGTTTATTTCCACAAAACAACGCTGAGATATTACTGAGATGTTCAAAGGGAAATAGAAGAGTTTAAATCAACACTGATTCTACAATACATTACGTTTGTGCTGTGGCCTTTTTTTTATTTGTATTTTAAATGTCAAGTCCTTTGTGCGTTCTCAGTTGACGGAGCATTGCACGGCGACGGAAATAAATCAGAGGGATAACCTCCATGTCGTGATCCTGAATCTCAACGTGAGGTCAATTAATGTCCAGGGACAAATGTGCCAGTATAATTGATCTCCGGCAGAGGTTACTTGGCCGTATTATACATACACTTTTACGACTGGGCAGCAGAACTGTCAGATGGACAGGCAATGTGATTGGAATTCATGAAACAAATCTGCACCAAAGATATGACTCTTACGTAGGGCATTTTTTTTATATGCGTGAACCACTGGAGCACCTAACTAGACAATACATTGCTTTTCTCGGCAACGCGACTACCTTCTTGGCTGGCATTTTTTAAATTACTAGATAACAAATTGGAAGCTGTGGGGGGCATTACAAAGTTGTCAGTTTTCAACACGAACACATTCATAAAACTTCAATTCATTTATTTATATGTTGTATATTTAAGTAGCATGTCGTAACTTCTTTTAAATATAAACTTGTTATAATCTATAAAGATCATGTGTGAGATTCAAGATTTGGCATATTCTTCTCTATTCTGGATTAAGATCATCTGTCATTCATCTGTTAAAACCATTCTTTAATACATTAAAATGTGATGTTCAAAGTATTTGTGACATACCTTTACAATAAAACACCTTGCAAAATTGTGTGTTGTGTCACATAAAAAAGACGGTTGTATGTAATGTGAAAAGATGAAAAAATTACACAATTCACATTTGGATCGAAATCTATCCACTATACCTTGCTCTATTACTCTTTCATAAGTTAAAACTTTATTCAGCAGCAACCAGGCAGGTAAATTTGGAAATCAAAGTTCCAAGTTAAAATATCAGGTAAATAATGCCTGGAGTGTTTGATTACACCTGATAAAATATCTTAAACTAAAAAAAAATAATAATAATAATAAAAATTAAAACCTACATCAAAGCAGNAAATAATAATAATAATTAAAACCTACATCAAAGCAGTCTGTATTTTGCATTTTCTTAATTTTCTGGCAAAAATCATCCTTACAGAAAAAAGAAATACTTTTTAAAAAATTACATAATAGTTTAAAACAGTAATATTAAAGTTTTAAACATTTGCTCCATACTTTTAATATACTTAGCAGTCTTTGTACTTGACGAGATAACTTTTAAAACATACAGTATATCTGAATACACATTTTAAAAAATCTGACGTAAAATTTCTCACCTTTTGAAGCACTTTATTAATCTCCTTTTGAAGCACTTCATCTTTTTTCTCACATTTAGCTGAGCATGTATTTACCACAATTAATAGGATCTTGAAAGTGTACAATGGCACGTTTCCTGCATGGTTTTCAGGATTTGTCACTGATGCATAGATGCACTTTCAGCACATTCACATACTTTTAGACATTCTCTAATGCTAAAATAATGAGGTTTGTAATGATCCAGCAGTGTTCTTAGACAAGACCATTTGCCAGCATTTCATCTCAGCCTCCATAATGAGCCAACAGTAGGTCATTGAAGAAATTAATTGGACTATTATACACCTTATAATTGTCAATGTATATAATAATATAGATATAACCTGCATAATCTCCATTGCGACTCAGCAGTATTTTTGAGACAATGCATACAGAGGTTGAACATTGTGTCTTATTCAACCTTCAAATGTATACTACTCAGCAGCAACACACATGAAGAAATGCAGTTGGCAACTGTCAATTTTTTTCTGTGATTGCTGTTCTAAGAGGAATTTCATGAACATTAATTTGCAGTGTGTGGCTGTCAACAACAATCAACTGAAGCCACTGGAGTGCTTTTATGGCCAGGTTCTGTAAGGATAGCAACAGCTAAAAAACACGGCGCCCTGGAGTTAAAAGTGCCTGTCCTCGCTTGCTTTTGTTAATAAACCATTAGAAAACCTGTTCATCATACTTCATACATGTTGTAGGAGAAGTGCTGTGGGTTTCCAGATAAATGAATATTCCGAAAGTCCTCTGGAAAAGGAGAAAAGTCTAATGTTAAGAAAAATTGACTTGGTATCTCTCATTTCTTCAAATTTAAAATATAAAAGTCTATCATTTTGACAGCAGTGTACTTTGATGACAAGATAAACATTACTGGCTTCTGTTAGCATTTTAACAAATAGGAAAATGGTGATAAAGTTGTAGTCATGAACTTTTAACATACCTTGTAAGCCAAAAGGCAAGTCATCTTCAAACTCCATCTGGGTCTTAGATCTCTCCAACAGCTCTGGGTCATACTGATCCACAGCAAAATTGAAGGACAGAGCTGAAAGTAGACAAACACACTTAAGTAGGAAATCTATTACGACTGAAAAATATATAATGTAATAAATTTCATATCAAATTGTTATATGTGACCAACTGCCTAAATGTGAAAATATAACATTTTAAGATTTGCCACATATTGAAATGTGGATTATATAAATGTGCAAACAGACACCACTGTCAGTAAACTTCAGTTTCTAAAGAAAGGTGTCTTCAGTAGGCTGCATATTTAATAATGTGAGGACAGACGGACTCTTGGCATTTCAGTGTCATCCACAGCCAGAGATGGCTAATTTACAAGAAGTTTCAGACTACTGTGTCATTTTGAAAAACCTCTGGATAACTGTAAGGAAATACTACATTGTTTTCTTTTTCCTAGAGTCTTTCACTTCTTAATGGATATTTACTTAAGGATCTATGGCTGTACAAAAAAAAAAAAACAAAAACAAATATACAGACATTTGTCCTAATGTAAAAAGTTATACAGGATTACTGTAAATTCCTACCAATAAACATATAGTAAATCTTGAGAAAATTCTGTTTGGAAAAAAAGCAAAGCATTTAGGTACTTTCTCCTGGAAATAGACGCCATCATGGCAATTAAAACTTTCTGATCACCATGAAGTAGACGGCTTAACATGTATTCTCTATTAACTGAACAGTGAGCGGATTAACTATGGGATTTGAAAGGCCACACAGGGTGAGACAACTGTAGAATTGCCAAGATTCTCAGTCACATACTCTTGGTAGTTGAATCTTAAAGATATTCTATACAGGATTTACCCACCAAAATGAATTTTCCTCTGTAGGGTGGTGGTGGTGGGGGAGGGGGGGGGGGGGAGTGGAGCAATTTTCTTCTGCTCATAAATCATTGCTCAACCCATTTTTACACTTCGATTCGATGTTTTATTCCATTTCTAATTCAATAATTTAGTTTGATAGGACTGGCCAGTCATTTAGAATGCCATGTTGTTCATTGTACATTTTAGAAAGAACTATTGACACCAGGCACTTTGACCGGTTTTATAGTTTTAAGGTCTAAATTGGAAAAGAATGCAGGATACGTAGAGACAGAAAATATGACTCTGGGAATTTTTCAAATGCATGCAGTACACCTTTAAACATTTTATTAAGGACATTTTTGGATGCGGATGCAGTTTTGCACACACTAACAACACAAACAAGCCAATGCAATAAATTTACCACAAGTTAAATTATTCAAGAACATGATTAGCACTGTTTATACATGTACCATAAAGAGAATTGAAAGTGGAGCCACATGTGTACTTGAATGCTTTGTAAGGAATTATAAAGCTAATACCCGGGTCTTATACATGAATTGTACAGATTATTTCCATTTTGAAATTCATTCTCATATATTATTTATCAAACTGCTATTTCACACAATTAAATAAAAATATCCAAACNTAATAATAATAATAAAAATTAAAACCTACATCAAAGCAGTCTGTATTTTGCATTTTCTTAATTTTCTGGCAAAAATCATCCTTACAGAAAAAAGAAATACTTTTTAAAAAATTACATAATAGTTTAAAACAGTAATATTAAAGTTTTAAACATTTGCTCCATACTTTTTATATACTTAGCAGTCTTTGTACTTGACAACTTTTAAAATATACAGTATATCTGAATACACATTTAAAAAAATCTGACGTAAAATTTCTCACCTTTTGAAGCACTTTATTAATCTCCTTTTGAAGCACTTCATCTTTTTTCTCACATTTAGCTGAGCATGTATTTACCACAATTAATAGGATCTTGAAAGTGTACAATGGCACTTTTCCTGCATGGTTTCAGGATTTGTCACTGATGCATAGATGCACTTTCAACACATTCACATACTTTTAGACATTCTCTAATGCTAAAATAATGAGGTTTGTAATGATCCAGCAGTGTTCTTAGACAAGACCATTTGCCAGCATTTCATCTCAGCCTCCATAATGAGCCAACAGTAGGTCATCAAAGAAATTAATTGGACTATTATACACCTTATAATTGTCAATGTATATAATAATATAGATATAACCTGCATAATCTCCATCGTGACTCAGCAGTATTTTTGAGACAATGCATACAGAGGTTGAACATTGTGTCTTATTCAACCTTCAAATGTATATTACTCAGCAGCAACACACATGAAGAAATGCAGTTGGCAACTGTCAATTTTTTTCTGTGATTGCTGTTCCAAGAGGAATTTCATGAACATTAATTTGCAGTGTGTGGCTGTCGACAACAATCAACTGAAGCCACTGGAGTGCTTTTATGTCCAGGTTCTGTAAGGATAGCAACAGCTAAAAAACATGGCGCCCTGGAGTTAAAAGTGCCTGTCCTCACTTGCTTTTGTTAATAAACCATTAGAAAACCTGTTCATCATACTTCATACATGTTGTAGGAGAAGTGCTGTGGGTTTCCAGATAAATGAATATTCCGAAAGTCCTCTGGAAAATCAGAAAAGTCTAATGTTAAGAAAAATTGACTTGGTATCTCTCATTTCTTCAACTTTATACTATAAAAGTCTATCATTTTGACAGCAGCGTACTTTGATGACAAGATAAACATTACTTGCTTCTGTTAGCATTTTAACAAATAGGAAAATGGTGATAAAGTTGTAGTCATGAACTGTTAACATACCTTGTAAGCCAAAAGGCAAGTCATCTTCAAACTCCATCTGGGTCTTAGATCTCTCCAGCAGCTCTGGGTCATACTGATCCACAGCAAAATTGAAGGACAGAGCTGTAAGTAGAAAAACACACTTAAGTAGAAAATCTATTGCGACTGAAAAATATATAATGTAATAAATTTCATATCAAATTGTTATATGTGACCAACTGCCTAAATGTGAAAATATAACATTTTAAGATTTGCCACGTATTGAAATGTGGATTATATAAATGTGCAAACAGACACCACTGTCAGTAAACTTCAGTTTCTAAAGAAAGGTGTCTTCAGTAGGCTGCATATTTAATAATGTGAGGACAGACGGACTCTTGGCATTTCAGTGTCATCCACAGCCAGAGATGGCTAATTTACAAGAAGTTTCAGACTACTGTGTCATTTTGAAAAACCTCTGGATAACTGTAAGGAAATACTACATTGTTTTCTTTTTCCTAGAGTCTTTCACTTCTTAATGGATATTTACATAAGGATCTATGGCTGTACAAAAACAAAACACAAAGATACAGACATTTGTCATAATGTAAAAAGTTATACAGGATTACTGTAAATTCCTACCAATAAACATCTAGTAAATCTTGAGAAAATTCTGTTTGGAAAAAAAGCAAAGCATTCAGGTACCTTCTCCTGGAAATAGACGCCATCATGGCAATTAAAACTTTCTGATCACCATGAAGTAGACGGCTTAACATGTATTCTCTATTAACTGAACAGTGAGCGGATTAACTATGGGATTTGAAAGGCCACACAGGGTGAGACAACTGTAGAATTGCCAAGATTCTCAGTCACATACTCTTGGTAGTTGAATCTTAAAGATATTCTATACAGGATTTACCCACCAAAATTAATTTTCCTCTGTAGGGTGGTGGTGGTGGTGGTGGGGGATGGGGGGAGAGTGGAGCAATTTTCTTCTACTCATAAATCATTGCTCAACCCATTTTTACACTTCGATTCGATGTTTTATTCCATTTCTAATTCAATAATTTAGTTTGATAGGACTGGCCAGTCATTTAGAATGACATGTTGTTCATTGTACATTTTAGAAAGAACTATTGACACCAGGTACTTTTACTTGACCGGTTTTATAGTTTTAAGGTCTAAATTGGAAAAGAATGCAGGATACGTAGAGACAGAAAATATGACTTAGGGAATTTTTTAAATGCATGCAGTACACCTTTAAACATCTTATTTAAGGACATTTTTAGATGCGGATGCAGTTTTGCACACACTAACAACACAAACAAGCCAATGCAATAAATTTACCACAAGTTAAATTATTCAAGAACATGATTAGCACTGTTTATACATGTACCATAAAGAGAATTGAAAGTGGAGCCACGTGTGTACTCGAATGCTTTGTAAGGAATTTATAAAGCTAATACCCGTGTCTTATACATGAATTGTACAGATTATTTCCATTTTGAAATTCATTCTTATATATTATTTATCAAACTGCTATTTCACACAATTAAATAAAAATATCCAAATAACTAACAACAGCTTCTGAAGACAGACATTAGTCCCATAGGACAGGCTGTATAAAGAGAGGTAATGACACCCTTAGCCACTAACATAGTGTCAGAAAACAAAGATGGTATCAGGACATTCCGTTGCATTTCATATAATGTGACAATTTTTGGACCTTGATATGAAATAATACCTGTCAATATTGCATGGATTCTTATATATAAGTATACATTATAAAGTGTACTCGAGTAGTTTTAACAAAAGTATAGATATCTTCCTTCGTTTTTTTCGGCTGTTTAAGGTAAAAAGAAAAAAAGACTTCACTTGCGTATGTCAGCCTATTGAAGTACATGTTAAGTAAAGATACACTGGTCATGAAGCACTTGTGACATCAAACCCTTTAATGAAATGACCACCAGTTTATACATGCACATGTTTTAGCTGTCAGGTGATCCAGGTGTAGACCTTAATGACAAAACCAATCATCTAGCATGTATATGGACCACCATATGATGCCTTACAGCAAATATCAACTGAAAGTGTTCAAGTGGAAAAAATTTCCTTTGGGGTCTTAAATGGTTTGACCCTGGCAGAAAGATTGAACAAGCTAACAGGCACATCAAAAAGGTGCTCATCGGCTTTTTCAGACAGACCACCCAAACAAGGTACCATTATCCAATATTTGCTACAGGAGGCAATAAAACAGTACACCTATGTAAGAACTATCACTTCTCCTGGAGAAAAATGTTTAGATTATACCTCCTCCCAAANCGCAGGTGATGGCAATATGTACAGACACATCTGTGTCTGTACATAAAAAGTAAATGAAAAATAAATAAATAAATACGACATTTTATAAGTGAGACACAGATAAAGGCCAGTGCTTACCTGCTGCTGATGGCATATACTTGAACCAAAGAGGTCTGACAGGTGCCTCCAACCTTGGAAACCACTGAACAGCCTCTATATGCTCAGCTGAAAATGTAAATAATAATAATAATAATAATAATAATAATAATAATAATAATAATAATAATAGGGAATTTATCACTGTAAGAACAAGTGATAAAAAGTTGTAGGTGTGACAAACAGCTTTGTGGTTAGGTAACATAGCAAAATTATCACTTATAAGTGATTCTCTGCCCACGAACCATGCACTGCTGTCGTCATTGCAATTCTACAAGCCTAGTTTTACATCACACAATGCTGTGGATCAATCAACACCTCTTTCTGTCCTTATTTCTTTTTTTAAGATGAGGGGTCAATAAAATTCAGCAGGTGATAAGTTATTTAAGCATGATGAGATAGTGACGTCTGCAGGCTGTTTTCCATGTACTAATCTGTCAGGAAATAAATTGAGGGGAACCTACTGTAAATTTGTTCCATCAACATCCGCTGTTTAGCTGCTACCACTTCTGGATCCCACATATGCAGCACACGTTTGCTCTTGCCGGTCAAGGATGTCAGTAACTTCTTTCTAAAAACAATTGGTTTATTCATAAAATGAATACCAAGGTTTTAAGTTGAAATTATAGGTGTTTTAATAGGAAAGAGCCATTTCCATTAATCAAATGAGAAAGCTAAGTTAAAGGCTTCCTCAACCACTTAAGAAAATTGATGTGTCTTTAAGAAAATACAAAAAAAATGTTTCTGACTTGACAAAGTGTATCGAGTGCAAAAAAAAAATATGTTCAGTGCTAAATTTGTTTTTAAGTTTTCACAAAGGAGCTGTCAATGAAACATTTTACTGAAAGAACAGATCAGTCATCATTTAATTACACATTTCAAACTCACATATCTCTCAACCAAATAGAATAGAAGGATGAAAAAACTAAACCCTGGTAATAATTTTCATTATTCCCCATTGTCAAAAATATGTCATCTTCCCAAATCAAGTTCAGTGGACATGACACAGTTAAAAGTGCATCCCTATGAAGTTCTTTTATCTCTTCCCTTGTGCATATAGAGTTCTATAACAATCTTAATGTTAAATTGGGTTTTAGGTACATCAAAACTTTGAAATGACCACCAGTCAAAACTGTGCCCAATATTCTTTAAAAACTCAGCTCTTTCCTCATCATAATAACACAAGACTCAAACCTACCAAGATATTTCCATTCTATGCCCATTACATACAAGACAATTTACATCTGTAATCTGCAATGTGCATTACTGCAGTGTCTCGCAGGAGAAATCAGCACATAAGTAAGGATTCCAACTGGAATCCACTTATATCCTGCATTTTCTCTTAATGTGGCTCTCCTAGCTCACTTAATAACAGCCAATCTTTCCCTTAATGCATCAGGAAATCTCTATCTGATCTATCCACTTACCTGTAAAATTTTCTCCATGCTAACTGAATTGTGAGAGCTGCAATTTGTCGCTTCCACTCCTCTTCACCAGCTTTTAACCTCTTAGACTTAATGGCATCTGCAGCACTCTTCATGACTCCTTTGAAGCGAAACACATAACTGGAACAGAAATTTGTGATCAATTTAAATTTGCTTCGTGGTTTATTTTGGTAACAAAAGAAGAAGAAGCAAATAAACATCTTAACACAAATATTCTGCCATACTTTCTGGATTTCTTTATATTAAAATCATATGGGTACAGGTGGTAAAGTAAGGTTCCTTTACATAATACATTGAAAAAGAAGTTGGATACTGCATGTACAATCAAAATAAATAAATAAACATTTTGCTTCTTACTGTTTCCAAGCTCTCTGAATTACTCTAGCAGCATGTTCTTTCCTTCTGAATTCTGAAAGTCTATCTCTTTCTTTAGAGACAATCTGTCTGTTTTGTTTATTTAGTAATAAAATTCTCTCCTCCTCTGATAACTGAGGCTCTCTTTTCCTAGAAGAAAAATGAAAAGCATTATCTAGGTTTCAACAAGTTGCATTCCAGCATTCATAAATTAAGAGAAAAACAATTCCATAACCTTACTGGAAAAAAGCATTTTTTAAATGAACAATAATAACCCCACAACATCATTCTGTTTAACAGTTTTATGATGGTATCCATCCAAGATATATATAATACTAAACCTCCAAGTTATCTTCAACCACTGTAGAAAAAAAAAGCAAAAATTGCACTCGTTTTCAATCTGTGGATTTGAAAATCTTTAAATTCAATAGACAAGTACCTACGTTCTAATGCTGAAAATCAAAGGCTGAATGTGCTGTTTGCATTTTAAAATTGATTGGGCTGTTTGGATTTCATTGTGCTGCATACTAAATTGCCATTAAGAGTTTTGAAAAGGGTTTTATTGATCTGTTCCCATGAAATCTTGCCTTTTCAAAACAATTTGACTGGATTCTTGAATATTTTTTGTAAAGTTAAGGGCTTCTGATGTATTAGGATTTGATTATCAATGAGAAGAAAACCTACAAAATTTCATCTTTATGAAGAAGATTACACTTTCAATAATGAGAACATCAGATTATGCTACATAAGACAAGGCAATTAAATGTCAATCACCTCTGAAAATACCAACAACATGCTAAGTCTACATTGATTTAACCATCTCTACCCCCAAAAGGTTTTGCTACACTTTATCAGATATCCATGCAACATTCATAAAAATCAATTTTTCAAACATGCTTGAAATTAATATCCTTCATGCAGAAGTGGGCTGCAAATATTGTAAACTGAAACAACATGCAAAACTAGAACTGCTTGAATTGATGTACACTGTTGGGAATAAGCAGGCACGTGTTCACTCAATCTAACAAGTCTTAAAACATTTGTTCAAATATCCCTTGAGGCTTACAATGGTAATTAATTGTAATGAAACAGTTGTTTTGCTTGCAAATTGTTATTTTAAGGCCACTTGAACCTATGACTTATGAAAAGTTTACTTAATATGCTACCTTTATTCTAAATGATCTTTACTTTGCTCTAGGTTTTGGGTGCTAAACCAAAAACATCTTCAGCCACTAGTTACATTTTGATGCACTTTTAAAAGTTTTTCTGGGCTTTAATCTATTAGTATTCTAACATAGTTATTCAAATAAAAATCTGGCTTCTGTGAGTCAAAGATTGGCACACGATCTCACCAGACAAATGAAACTTGTCAGTCATCAGTGCAAAATATTGGTATCTTTGACAGAATTCTTATTCCATCATGTTATCCTTAAAAGAAACCCTATGAACACTTAGCAGTCTAATTTCCATTATACCTCAATCATTACTGCCATAACAGGAATATGGCACATTCGCCTTGGTGACAGAATTTCTACTGTAAAACAGTTGTGCTAAGACACCATATCTCAATTATTTCAGAAGAATATTAATATCTTTTACTTGTGTACTTTAAAAAAGACCCAGGGACTGCACATTGGGAGTCTTGCCTATCCTCCTGAAGCTAAAGCAGAGCAAGTACTTTATATGGAACCCATGCGGTTTTTGAGTGCTTTGACTCCTTTTTTTAATGGCAGGGGGGAAGAGTGGACTTGTATGAATAAAAATAGCCAAAATATAACTAAACAAAAGCATAATAGTCATACTCAAGTTTGAACTAAGATAGTAAAGAGATTTCAAATCTGTCCCTAAAAACATATTTAATAATAAAATAGTTAATTAAAAATAACCATTAAGTCATGTAAAATGTAATCACACTATTACAACATAAACGGTAATTGCCATATTGCGTTGCATAAATACATTAAACAGAAACCATCAAGTAGAAACAAAGCTGGTACATAGGGAAATGAAAATGGTAGGTATAATGCATTAATGGAAGCAAGCACTGACAACATATCCTAAAATCAATAGGCCCCTTCCTGGACCACCCCTCGCTTAGTTTCTAAGCTGGAGCTGGAGGCGAGAAGCCAATTAACATACGGAAATTAAACAAGAATGTTTGCGTGTGGATAGGGCACTCAACTGTGACTGTAAAAAAAAAAAAAAAAAAAGGATGACATTTTAATAATGTTCTCACAACAGTTCTCACAGGTCACAGGGAAGCAACATCAACAATTTTCAAGCAATGAGACAATAACACAGGGCCATTTTGACGAAACAAATACATCAGTTTCAATTAGAGAGAAATAAACTGTATTTAATAAGTTTCAAGTATTTTATTTGTAAATGGTAAACACCCAAAGCTTCTGTTCCAGAGGTGATTGATTTTCAGTCACTCAAACACTCATTCAGTTGCAAAAGCAATCCATCAATGGGAACACTTAAATCAAGTTATCTGAGAAAAATTTACAAAAAAAAAGGGTTCTTCAAATAGTAATTTGATGTCTAATACTTTCAAATAACATTTTTTTCAGGTAGGTACAAGATTTCCAATTTCTCAAATCCCATACCAGACAGAAATCATCCCTCTTGTCAGCTTAGTGTTGCCACACTGATTGTAATTCCAATCCTATGTGACATCTAGACATGACATCTAAACGTTATACATTGTGCCAAATGACACTTCTTTTCCACAGTGACATGTTAAATTACAAATCAATGTTCTATTCAACTGAAGTACATTACTCGTGGGTTTTTTTTATATACATACTGGAATGACTAATTTTTTTAAAGCGTGAGAGTGCATAATATGCAATTAATTATATCAAATTATCCCTTTTTGGTAGATTATGGAAGTCAATTCCTTAAAGAGAGGGCACTGGTATGGCAGGCTAAGTTACTCTTAATTTCCATCTGTAAGAATCACTGTAGAGAAATTTTATATTGTCTGCTGTCTAGGCACAATCGCATATGGAGTATTGTTTTGGTAAAGTGTAAGAAATAAGTACAAGGATACATTTTATGTTAAGGTCTCGTAATAAAAAGAACTAAAAACATTCCAATCAAGCAATCATTATTAAATAAAAAAAATTCTGAAACAAAACAAATCCTGCAACCTTGAAACAAAGAAAAACCCAACCACTCAGACCTGCAAGAATTCTGCAGTCAATATGTCATCACTCATGCTAAAAAGTATTTAATTGTTTCCGTGCATAATTCAACCACCCTAGTGCAATACCTAAAAGTTAGGTGACCACACATGACTTCTCACACTTGCCACTACCCACATTGTTAGTCATAAACCACTGCGTGAGTGTTAATAGTGACAATATGAAAACACCTGGTGGGGAAAAAAAAAACAAACATTCTTAGTAATAAGGCACTGATGGTGTGTTATTAAATAACAAATAAACACCAAGTTGTTCCATTTAGGAGCAATACCAACCCTGACGGCCCCATAATGTAGTTACATCCAACAATTAGTCCTGACGTCTGCTTCCAACCTTCAAATTAATGTGGAGTCATGGGTCATTTCTCTTTGTCATATATGGCAAAAGTACACTGTACCAAATGCCTTAATTTGTTCTTGTGCGATGCATGTCACAGAACTTACTTACTTGGTAATCTTTCATCATAAATGCAAGATTTTTTCCTTCAAATCTATTCATTTTGAAATAATAAGTACTATCTTATGTAAGGTGATGAATTGATACGTTTTTTACCTTTATCTTAAAAATATGTAACTGTCACATACATAAACATTCCCATGTGGACATACATATTTACAAAAAATGAATAACAATCACTCTTGATAGCATTACATACTTGTCACTTACTTCACAATAACAAAATAACATGTCACATGCATTTGCCAAAACAATATTTCATATTCAGTTGTCAATATATTCATCACTTCTCCCTTTGGATACACTGGAAACTTGAAAGTGAAGATGCTTACCTTCTTGATGATTTACTGTGTCCTTCCCCTAATTCAGTTTTCCTCCTTTCTTCTACTTCTCTCTTGTTTCTTATGTCTTCTTTTCTTCGATATTCTTCTTCAGCACGTTTTCTGAAAGACACAATTACTCTGGTGAGAAAACATTGTTCATACAAATTTTCATTAAGGTATCCTTTTACATCATTTACACTGCAGTCAAAACAATTCCAAAATTAAAATAACAAAACACTTATTACACCATTTAACTCAAGTGTGACTGGATAAAATATCAGTTTTTACTTAAAATCACTATGCACAAATCTACAGGGTATTTCCATGTCATGCAGACGAGTAATTCAAATGGCTCAAGAACAGCAGTTTCAATATCAAAGCCATCAGTGAAAAACAATGCTTTAATGAAAGGTAGAAAGCAGTGAGTAAAGCTATTCAAATTGAAATACTAACTTGGCAGCATCCTTCCTCAACTGTTCATGTTTCATTAACAACTTCTTCCTCTCCAGGAAAGTTTTGCGGACTCTATACCCTCGAAAATTGGACTGAAAGCACAACAGGGATATTAATATGCATAAAATATATCATGACAACAGGGGACTCTTAAAATAATATATAGACCAATGAGGGATATCACCCCCCTTTATTAGTTTAATAAGTACAAAGAAAAGATCACATCTCATAAATTTATCAACTGACTGGGGTTTTTTCTAGGTATTTTTTGTTATTTGTGGTCTTGACAGATTGCAAATAACAAAAGCAAGTATGCAACCAGTCAAAGTGTTAAAGCCAGGGAAAAATAGATAATTTAAAGCCCTATGTATAGGATATATTGATTCTAAAAGTGATTTTTCTCAAAGTCTAATTATCCAAAAAATTAGCCCAAATAATTAACACCTACATGAACAAGCACCAATTTTTAATGGATAGTGTGCTGCCTTAATTTGTACCAGTGTTGCTGTACAAGCTCTCCATGTTAAACCTTGAGCAATTAGATGGTCTTTCTCTTGGCAGCAAATCTACATGATATTGAGCTTTCCAAGAAAGGTATATCTATCATTTTTTTCTCTTCCTGTGACAGCAGCAAAAATGTCAATAAATTTTCATTTTTATCTGTCAAATGTGCTCCTTCATTTTTATTGATGATATTTAAACTGGATTTTTACTTTGTAGGGTATTTTATTTGAGAAGGACAGTTGGTAAATGGCCTTGAGTGGACAAAATTTTTTGCCTAGGAATGTGCCTGAGAAGACACCAGCTTCCCGACTCCTGAACAAATATAGATTTGACAAACTGGAGATAAAATAATTTTAAACACAGAATAATGATGAATACATGAGTGAAATATACAAAAAAAGAAATTACTTTAAAATATATATATTTACAGCATAAATTTATCTCCCTGTGTTGTTAACATGTAAATAAATTGGACATGTTTTACAAAGCTTGCCTTAAAAAAACATTTACAAATAACTGAAATACCATAATTATATTGCTTTCCTTCAAATGAAGTTAATGGATATTGGATACTGGTACAAAATCTATAACAATAATGCTAATGAAAAAAAACCTTTATAACAAAAACATCCTTTCTTAAATTGGCATGAAATCATTATTGATGGAACTGCTAATTCAGACATGCCTTACACTGCAAAACACTTATAAGCAATCAACCAACAACCTCAGAATAAAGTACCTGCTGTTGCCCAATAAAACCTGGATGACTACTTGATACAGCAACCATATGCATTGTCTTCCTGGTCAGACAGATTAAAGGTAATATACTTCAGAGTTTGAAGGGTTTGCTACTGCACTTGTAAAGATCCCATGGATAGTTTAAACTTGTGGGTTCTCTACATTAGACTATTTCTTAAAAACAATACAGAGAGGAAATTTCAAAATCTAATCAAAACTTCTTTATGAGATAAAAACTACTGAAAAACAGAAGTACATTTACAAATAAACTACTGAAAAAAACAAAAATTCCACCTAAAATCATCTCAGCAGTTTTTTAAAAGAGAGAAGGGCATTGTATTTAGTATTTAAATACAACACTATCAGCTAAGAGTGAATTAACTGCTCCTACAAAGAAGCAAGACGAGTGAGAAATGCTCATGAATTCATAGATTAAATCCTGATTGGACAAGACCTGGTACCCTGTCGTCTCTACGTAATTTTTATCCCTCCCCAAATAATTGAAAAGACAACCCATCACTCTCTCAGCAGAAGAGAATTGGAGACATCGAGCATAACAAAGAGATAACCCCAAGTGGAACTTTACACCAAACTGTAATCACTTGCCTTGAAATCAGATAAAAAGAAAGCCATTACTCCTACATACTCTGGTGGTATTTCCTGAAAACCTTCCTACCTACACAGATTCATTCCAAGGAAAAGATGGACGCCAAAAAAATTCCATTTAAATATCAAAATCATTCTGCCAATCAACGAGATCAGTATATGAGCAAAAATGTTCATTAGCTTGGTAGATTTTTACAATAATAGCAATTCATAAACAAAAATCTGTTGCTCAAGTCAATAACTGGCTTGCATAATTAAAATTTCCTGTCAGACAACCTACAATAAATCATGTTTTCTGGCAATGTTCACTAGCAAAGCAAATAAAGCTCATTCTGAATGTGAGGAAAAATTTAATTGCTCAAGAATCAGAGAAACACCAGTCATTAATGTTAAAAATACCTTTTTGTATTTTCCTAAGCAATGATACATTGTGTTAATAAGTTTTTGTACCTGTATTTTACAAGCAGCTAGTTCTTGTATTCCGTTGATAGACAATGCTCCTTGTTCAATCATAAACTGGGACACCTCACGATGCTCTCCCATCAACGCATAGTCCAGAGGAGTGTACCTGAAAGCAGAATATAAATATCAACAGTTACAGAACAATGCTGGCCTGTATGTTTTTACTTTTGATTTAATGTTTTCAAGAGACAGCAGAATGAGAAGTGAAATATGTGCAAAAACTTTCAGCCAGGGGTCTGGGACATAAAGTCCCCTATATATATATATATACACAGTCAGAGGAGCTCAGGGCATACCAGAATTCTGTGGAATTCTCTCAGCTCTGAAGAAATCTGACAAGCGAAAATAGCAATGATGTATTTTTATCATGTGCTTCTCTATCACAAAAACAGCAGGCGCTTTATGACTGAATAAGGTCATAGAGGATAGTGTAATCTTTCAGCAAAATAAACAGCTAATGACAGACTTAGGTGACAATGAAGAAAACCACAATAAAATAAGACATTATACTAATGTAACAACTAAGTTTTTTGTCTAAAACATAAAATATCAGAGAAACATTTTCCAAAACAGAGTTGACAAGAACCCCACAGAACCTGAATAATAGCTGCAATTCACAGAAAAAGTTGTTCTCCCTGCAATATCAGATATCAGGTTGTTTCAGCAAGTAATCAAATAATGACTGCCACCAATAATTCAATTACATTTCATGCTTTATCATTGTTCCAGTCACATCAGCACGAAGTGACTTCTTAGATCCTGCCACATATTATTAAGTGTTTCTGACACCAATCTGATGTCCATAACTCGCATCTAAACCTGGACTGCATCAGTATCTGCTTATTAAAAATAGTGAGTGGGAGTTTACCACTGGAAAATGACACTTCGAGATTGACTAAATTGCATTGTAATTATTTATGATTTACTTCAAAACCTTTTTCCCATATTCACCACCCCACCAAGAAATGTGCAAACAACGATCTAGAGATATTGCAGTATATATCAAATAAAATTGTTTTAAGAGAAACATCACAGAGTGCTATGACAGATGAGCACAAGCAGGAAAGGGAGGAGGTTCAGTTTTAAAGTCTAATTCCAAGTTATACTTTAGTTTTGATAAAAATGGGGCTAAATTTACTAAAATCAGTTGACTCACCCAGCTAGTTAGGGTACCAATCGACTATAGTGCTTTTTACACTTACAAGTAAACTGCCCTTAAAAAAAAAAAAAACTCAAGTGAACTGCGGTCAAAATCCACTTTCTTTGCATTCACACTGCTTAGGAGAACGATTGCTGTGAAATTAAATTGGCAGTGTGAATGGCCTTTATGTGATCCTCCAAAGCTGGTTTCCAACGTCAGGACAACCTGACACCCTGCTATCAATTTAAATGAAGCCTGTGCAATCTTTGATTTTACTGTATTGAATTCCTTGAGAAATCCATTGACATCGCTCACAACAGCCTCAGTATACTGATCAGATCTTAGAAGAAATAAGTACCAAAAAGTTAAATGTACTGACTTATCTCAAATTCTCCAGGCATATATCTGCCAGAACTTGAACACATCAATCTGCTGTAGTGAGGAGTCAGGAAAGTTCTATAGATTTATCATCAAGCATACAAACTGGTGTGAGATTTGATACATCACAGCAAGTCTAGGTAACATTGTAAATGACTGCCATGTTCTTAATAAGCCAAAACTGATAGTGAAGGCCTTTTGACTGGCAAAGGTTTCCTCTGGATAAAAATTTGACTTACATTCTATGACATTTCTCAAGTTGGATCAATTAAGAGGGTAAATAAGTCCGTTTTTTTTTTTTTAACTTTGAAATTTCTGGCTACATGCAGGGTAAAAGTTGAAAGAGGTAAGGGGGAAGTTGAGCCTGATATAAAATGGTCCAACTTGCCTAACACTGTGCACAGTGACATAAAAAGATGAGTAAATGCTGACTGGTTTTTAAGTGAGCATTGAACAGGTTATTACATGTAATATGTACGCGGGGAGTAATGTAGGAGTTTGAGAGAGCTTGACATTATCAAGCTTCATCCATTTCACACCCATTACAAGCCACAATTAATGAGGAAGCTGTATTGATCACCATGAGCAGAAAAACAAATAAAAGAGACGCATTCGCCATCAATAAATGTGAAAATTACTTATTAATGAAGACACTGAAACCCTGAAGATGAGGAAAATCCCAGGATACAACTGATTCCATTTAGATCCTGCCAACAACAAAGTGGTAATGCTACTGATGCAATGAACAATCCTATGGGAAACACGTTCTTGGGAAGAATCGGCTTTTTGATGAGAGAAAACCCTGCCAGCAATTAATTCAATACTCCCAACTCGCACTCTCCCTCTCATATGGACCTATCAATTGTTATTGAACACTGAGAATGACATTAATGGTCAAACTTCATCTTACTGCATAAAGCAGACATACAGTATCAAAATATTCTAAGCAGCACAAAAATGTGAATTTCAACTTCTTTTGAGTTCTACAAGATATATAATTTACATCAATCTAAGGTGGCTTTAGCCTTTAGGTATCAAACTCAATTTAAGGCACTACAAAATATCATATCTGTAATTATCAAATACCCATAACCACCCATCTGGGTAGAGAAATGTGAAAAGTTTTCATCCCAAATAGGGCAAATTGCTATTCTACTCACCTGTCCTCAGTAAATTCCATGTGATTTGGGAAGGCATGGAATTCTAGTAGCAGTTTAACAGCGTCTAGATGTCCTTTACTACAAGCCCAGTGTAGAGCTGTCATACCCTAAACAAACAATTCACAATAATAAAACCATCAAACTTACCATGTCTGTCAAAACATTTAATTTGATCCAAGGCAGGTAAATGTGAATATTCATGAATCAATAACAGATGAGGTAACTACTGTGATCTTTTCTGCCTAACTAAGATGGCTGCCAGCCTAGTAACCAAATCACCGCGATAAGGGGACTATACAGTCTCTAACACCCTCAATATGTAGTGAAATATTAGTGCCGGGCTGTAAGCCCTTTGTTCTCTTGTTTCAGAGACTGGTTTCGATTACAAGCACTCATAGAAAGGAACCTTTATTCTCATCCAAAGACTACAGCCCAAATAAAAATAAACAGCACCTTTTATGTGTACCTTTTCATGCAGAACAATAATCGCTAGTCACACATGTATGCAAGAACCTTGGTTAGGGAAGGCAAAGGAACTTTAAAATGGGTCTCAACTATTCATCATGATGCATTTGGCAGTTCATGAGAAAATCAATGTGTGCATTAGTCCGTTAATGATTTAGGAAGATAAATATTGGACAAATTACTAGCATCAATCTCTCTACTACCTGAGTCTGAGATTGTTTCTAGGTAGTAGCCATAAGAGAATACATGTATGTTGGTTCTCATTCGAAGACTGGTTAAATGATCAATATCACAAGGTTTCTTTTTTTTTCTTAGCAATACATGACAAACACAAAAAATAATTGTTTTGCTCAATATCAAAATGATCAGCAAATTTCATACAAAGTCCATTTGGAGCTCTATTTGTATTCTATTCATAGCTCTCTGTTTAGTTTGAAAATATAGTATAAAAGGATAGTTCCAATATAAAAAATTCTAGTCCCACATCAAAATACCTTTCCAAAACATATATTAATTTACACTTAACTATTCAATGCCACCATTTACAAATTCAATGGATAGAAGTCTGATATCAAAAGTACAGGCTTTGGCTGTAATGGTATAAAGTGTAAATAAAAATCTTAATGTGTTAGTTGTGACACATTGCTGATTCACTGATCCCAAAGCAATCCCAGTGTATTAGAACTTAGAATGAGAATTTTGAGAAATTTTTTGCCCCTTTCGCCCTTTTTTCCTTTTGTGATGGAAAGCTATAACTCAAGTATCTTATAAATATTCACATGATGTTCAATATTTTCAACAAATACATATCAATTCCATTGGCAATTCCAGTAGAAATCATTTCAGCAAAGCTAAAAAAATTTTCAAATTTTTATCTTTCCGAATGAGTACCACTGCATGTTCTATTAAGACGTGTTTCAATTTAGCTAATGATAGACAGTTAAGGCACAGGTGCCAGATATAGAAGGGCAAAATATTATCTTTTTTTTACCGTGCAGGACTCCAAACAATCTCTCTGATTATATTCCTCTTATTCAGTGTGCCAAGACTAGAGAGAGTAATATGCCCTTATGCTATGATGGGGGATAAAAAACATTTTTGTGCAATTTTCAAAATTGATGTCCTGACTTATTAGTAATAAATCATCCATGAAATTCCCCAATCGGTAGGCAACCATATGAATAGTGATTGGTAATGCACACATAACATGACTATTGGCAATACACAGAGTTTCTAGTCAGCCTTTGTGGGCTAAATTAGTCTGGCAATTATAAAAGCTCCTTGAACTTATGATTTAATCATATGTCATTGGGCTAATGTCAAGAACAATTATTCTGAAACTACTATATCATGTTGCAGATGATAAATTGCACTAAAAAAGGGGGGGGGGCATAGAGAACACAGGATTTGGAATATTAGTTAGTAACGACAAATGAAAAATTACCACATTCATTATCAATTTACTTCTCCATTTTTTAGAATCAATTTGTGCAGCATAGCATGTTTTGTGTTTCTTAATTAAATATCCTAAACACTGAATAAGAACTTCAACAATGTTGCAGATGATAAATTACACTCAAGAAGGGGAAAAAACACAGGGTTTGGAAAATCAGCCTGAAATGACAAGAGGAAATTGTGACATTCATCATCAATTTATCGCTCTGATTTTTAGACTCAATCTGTGCAGCGCAGCATGTTCTGTGTCCTTTAATGCAATACATTAAATACCGAATGAGAAATGGGCCAGATTATAACACAAACTAAATAACAGAATATCATATGGTGTTTCTTTCTTATCTTTTTTATCTTTTAGAATACATCCTGAGGAATATCATCAAAATTTTTGACCTATACTAGACATATCTTAACAACAACAAACAGGAAGAGGAAAGATAATGTAGCTTTATGAGTATTGTAATTCTCAGAAGGTATCACCCACCTCATTGTCTTGTGCGTTAGGATCTGCCTGGTTTTCTATTAACACAGACATACAGTTCACATAACCACCATAGGCAGCACACTGCAAGGGTGTACGCCTGAAATATATAATAATAATTACATAAAATACATATGAAAATCCCATAATCTTTAAAAGAAAATGTATGAAGTGTTTAAAGAACATACAACTGAAATTTCTCTTCACGCGAATATGATTCATTAAACTGATTACATGATATTAACCTTAAGTAGAAAACTTTTCACACCAAGGAGTTAAGTTAGCTGTACTTTGAGAGATAGAAAATGTAACAGCCTGGCTATTACATAGAGAGTCACCTATGCAGAGCCCCTATGCTGGACAAAATTAGCCAATTAAATAACTAAACAGCAGGAAGCAAACTTATGATGAACTTGTAGTAAATCCCACTGTGGAGTAATGACATGTAAGGAGGTTCCAAAGTGAATGGGTCTAGACTGGATCAGTTAAAGTATACTGCTTGACGTGAAATGGACCTTATAATCATCCAGCTTTCTATAAGGAAGTTATCTCTATATCTCAATTTCAGAAGCCATATCCCACTCACCCAGAGTGATCTCTGATGTTGGGATCAATGCCATACTTGATCACAGTCTGACAGATGTAGGCATGACCACCAAGAGCAGCCCTGGAACCAAAACATAATTATGGAAATAAAATTATAAAGATAAGAATGTACATATTTTGCATACAAAATATATAACATTCATTTATGAAAACATTCATCATGTCATAATGTTACCCCTTTTTTAACTGTGGATAAAATTAGGCACTCATATATTCTATATTCAATATTGTGGCAGAATTCCTCAAAAATATGAATCAGTTGAAATGAAAAATAAATTTTACAAAATCTGTAAGCCATTTCTGGTACAAGATACAAAATAGGTTAGCAACTGGCAGCATACCAGTGCAATGGAGATCTCCCATCCTGATCATAAATTTCTACTTTGGCACCATAGTCAATCAGTGTTTGGACCACATCTGTGTGTCCCATCTCGCATGCACGAAATAACGGGGTGTGCTTCACCAAGTCCTCTGCATCTATGGGGGCTTTGTACTCCAGCAACAGATTCACTGTGGTCACATGGCCTGATAGAGCAGCAGCGTGCATTGCTGTAAGAAAAAATAAATATAGATGAGACAAAATTAAGGTAAAAATATGAAAACTGGTCAAAGCACAATAGAGAGCCATTGGATAATTATACAAATTTTATCTTCCCCTTCTCAAACATTTCCTTTCATACCATTTTACTTTAAAAGATAATAAAAATACACTTCTTCTGAACTACTGTAGAAACAGAGACCCCTATTAGAGGTCCACATACTTCACAAATTGTAATATACAGGGAAAATACTGTGAATTGACCTAACTCACTGATATTTATATAAAATGAATCAACCCTTGCCTACCTTCTTTTTTTTTGTTAAGGGGCAAGGGCTTAAATGATGTATACTGTAATTCTATAAATTATATCAATCTATAAATTTTACAAATCTTATCATGCTCTGTATAATCTCAAAGCTCATAAAAAGACATACCAGTTCCTCCATTTTTATCCACCTGTTGTAGGTCAGCCCCATACTTGATAAAGACCTTGATCACATCATCTGCTCCCTTTCCAGAGGCCCACATGAAAGCTGTTCTTCTTTCGACATCAGGCTCATCAGTCACACCCTTGTGACGCAGGAACACTTCCACTGTATCCTATAGTTAAAAGAAATCACACATTTTCATTATAACTGACAAGGTGTTGTATTTGAATGATACCTTTAACCGAAATTTGATATATATATATCTTATAACTATGGATCGAAAAAAATTGAATTTATAATCAGCTGGCATGTAAAAACAGCCAAAGCTTTACACACATACAGTTGTGCCTTATCATGGCACCTACCGCAAAGTTGTTTTGTGCTGCATAGTGGAGAGGAGTGGCGCCATTAGAATCTGAACTGGCATAATCAGCCTTCTTTGACAGAAGAAGCTCCACAATTTTTGAATGACCTGTAACAAATTGTCCACGTTATAAAATGATTGTGTAATTCTTGTTCTCTTTTTGGCAATCTTAATATAGCTAAAATAACTGTTTGGAAAAAAAACAATTTAAGTAACACAGAAATAAGTGATAAATCATTTAATTAACCCCATGAGACAGTCTCAATATAATTTCACTATCACAAATACTGTATGCGAAAGCCATAGCAATCAAAACATCATTAAATGAGGTGAAGGTGTAACATCTTAAACATGTTCCCATAAATTTATTTCTTCTAAATGCTTCACCTAATACTGCTGCCCAATGCAGAGGCGTCCTGAACATGTTGTCTAAGGCAGAAACATTGCACTTCTCAAGGGAGATCTGAAAGCATGACAAATTGTTCCTAGCATTACACAAACTGCAAACCAATTTCAACCTACTGAGACAAAAACTTTAAGAAATTGGTTTCAAGTAGCAATACATCATGCAAACAATCACCTAGCTTATATAAAATCTATGAGGTGATTAGTGTTTACTGCCAAGATATTCAATTACAAAGAGGAAGTGACATTTCAAACAGGCACAGAAATATATGTACATAAGACATCAGTCTTACCAAAGCATCAACCACAGCATAGTTTCCATCTGCCACTGCCAAATGTAGTGCTGTTCTTCCCTCATAATCCTGCCAGTTGATGACACTCCCTGCCATGTCCTGCAAACATAACAAAACATCATCAAAGCTTACGCCTGAGTACTACACCATAGCTTACACTGATCAACTCTTCCATCACCTGAATTCACAGTTACTTACTTAAATGTTTTCAAACACTATAGCAGAATATTATCAACTGTTGACCAAAAGAAAAAAATAAAAATAAAAACATCTCACAGAGTTGGGTTTACTACCAATACTTACTAAGAGTAAGTTAACACAGCTGACAGCTTCAGCATCTCTACTGCTAGCTGCCCAGTGGAGGGGTGTCTTGCCTTCAACATCAGGAATACCAATGTTTGCATCCTGGGAAGTGAAAGGTGCAATTGTTGGAAAGTTCAATGTTTTGAGGTAAATTAGTACTCACTTTGATAATGATGATATGAAATGGACAACATTTTCAAAACAAAAGTCAATTCTTAGAAAAAAAATATTTAAATAAGGGACAACCTTACTGAATTTCTGAATTTTTATCTTCATTTTTTGAGCTTTAATGACACACCAAAAACTTTACTTAAGAGAGATATCCATCTGTATAACTAATAGATTAAATATGCAATTAATAGACCCTAAAATGCAAAATATATAAATTAACAAAAATCAAACTCATGAACAAACCTGCTTTATAAGCATCTTGATGTGCTCTAGATTTCCATAAGATGCACTCCAGTGAAGAGCTGTCCTCTGTGAGAAAAAAAAAAACATTATAAACCACAAAATCCCACATTCAAATCAGTGAGTGAAAAATAAATCTTAATGATGAAGTGTACAATCTTCATGTTTTTAAAAAATATATTTGGGTGCAGGCTATTTAGTTTTATCTTCTGGTTTTTAATATTTGAGAAGCCACATGTCAATTTTTAGGCTATTGTAATGAAGATAAGAGTTCCATTCCTTAAAAATTTTGAAACTATTTCTTTGCACCAATTTTTATGACATATGTAACAAAGCTCTAACAAATGCTACCACAACCCAATAGAAGTAAAGTAGCAGAACACTGTGTAGTATACAACTATTACTAACTGGGTAAAAATAAATAAAGAAATAAATCATTTCTAAAGAGACTTAGACTGGGTTCCCATACCCAGATCGATCTAACAAGATCGATCCATCTCCAAGGAGTTTCTCGCTGAGCGGCTTAGATGCCTGGCACACCTACTGAAGCTGCTAAACGATAATTAATTACCCCTTAGCAGCTTCAGTAGGCGTGGCGGTTGACTGCAATTTAGCAAGAATCTCCTCGGAGATAGATCGATCCACAGTTAGTACGACAGGGTTTAGGAATGGTCCCCAAATATATTTTACCTATAGGGCATGTGGTTTACACCTTTCATCAAAGGGCCTTGCTCACATGACTGACTCATCCATGTGAGCTTACCATACCTTATTTTTGTCCTGGTCATCTACCTCTCCAGGTGCCACTTGCTTCAAGAGCAGGGCCAAACATTTTGGAGACTTGTGTCGTGTGCACAGGTGAAGGGCAGTTTGACCTTCATTGTCCTTTTCCTTCCAGTTGGCATTTTTGGATAACAGCAGCTTCATGCATCGGAAGTTGCCCTAAATGATAGAACAGCAAAGATAATGTTTCATTGGACAACCATCTTAAAAGATTATAGAACCTTTAAATCATTTTTTTTGCAGCAACCCTGCCATTCATCAAAATGACTCCCACTTATATTCATGAAATAAGAAATTTCTTAAAGACGGTCAACAGTCTGATATCCAGGGGCAGATACAAGTCATCTTCTGGTTCTTCCGGAAGACAGTCAAAATTTTTAAGTTTACATTGACGGGCATCTTATTTTTTCTTTCAGAAGACAGTCAAAAATGGAGGATGAATCAACAAAGATAATTTTGAAGACTGTCAGATAATATCTCTGGATCCGCCCCTGATATCTAATCAAACAGTCTAAACTCCAAACTTGCTTCGTGTGCTCTAAGTTGAACCTACACAACATATTAATAAACCACTGTTGTCTTGAGTTACCTTATGAGCTGCCCAGTGTAAGGCTGATCTCCCTCCCTTGTCCTTCTTGTCCAGGTGAGCTCCAGCTTTTAACAACAACTCTGCACAGTCCAGTCTATCTGCCAGCACACAGAACATTAGAGGAGTACGGCCAAACTGATCTCCTGTGTCTATATCCTTTGCATTGGCTGGAAGCATAGAGCAAAATACCTTACTCATTCTGATTTAATATCATCTTGCCATGAAAAATGGCTGACAAAGTGGGCAATACTTCTGAATAAGAGATTGAGCACATGATAATGATTTCATTTTTTATTTTTTGATGAAAAATTGGGAATTTTACAAATAGTGTATTTTTTTCAAGTCAAGTCAAGTTTCTTAAAATTGGAAAATTCCCAAATCATCACGAGCTATAGAATCAAAACTAAAAATTTGGCTACCTTATAGTTTTATTCTGTATATTAAAAGCACCACAAACACCACACAGAAATATATATTTTTAATGATTCAAAAATTATGTGTCAGAAAGATAGATAACTTTTCCCCATTGAAAAGATTGAGTCATTACTGTACATTTTTTAGTGTCCAAAAAGTATATACTTACTTCCTTACACTTAAATCAAAATATATTTAAAACAACCATTATCACTTAAAGCTAAGACAATCTTGTGTACATACAAGTTAGTAATCTTGCTAGGGTAGCCTTGTCCCCATTCACTGCAGCAGCATGCATTTTAGTTGTCGAGCCCTCGGGCTGCACTGGGCTGGAGCGGTCAAATGGCCCAGCAGCCATCTATGACATAAAATATTCAACATAACAGTAAACTAAAGCAACTGAAAGCATTATTTTAAACCACACATCTCGTTTACATTCCCTTGAGATGCGTAAAATAGTCACAAAGTCATAAAATAGTCTGTAATCCATATTTTACAAAGTAAAGATTTAAAGATCAAAATGTTATGGGCCCATTCCATGTATCACCTGAACCATTTCTTTAATTTTTTCTGTCAAATGTGTCCCTGCCCTCATATCACACACAAAAACTTTTGCAGACTAAATCTACTGATAATAAAAAAAAGTAAATATACTCNGCAGCTTTTTGATGAGAGAAAACTCTGCCAGCAATTAATTCAATACTCCCAACTCGCACTCTCCGTCTCATATGGACCTACCAATTGTTATTGAACACCAAGAATGACATTAATGGTCAAACTTCATCTTACTGCATAAAGCAGACATACAGTATCAAAATATTCTAAGCAGCACAAAAATGTGAATTTCAACTTCTTTTGAGTTCTACAAGATATATAATTTACATCAATCTAAGGTGGCTTTAGCCTTTAGGTATCAAACTCAATTTAAGGCACTGCAAAATATCATATCTGAAATTATCAAATACCCATAACCACCCATCTGGGTAGAGAAATGTGAAAAGTTTTCATCCCAAATAGGGCAAATTGGTGCTCTACTCACCTGTCCTCAGTAAATTCCATGTGATTTGGGAAGGCATGGAATTCTAGTAGCAGTTTAACAGCGTCTAGATGTCCTTTACTACAAGCCCAGTGTAGAGCTGTCATACCCTAAACAAACAATTCACAATAATAAAACCATCAAACTTACCATGTCTGTCAAAACATTTAATTTGATCCAAGGCAGGTAAATGTGAATATTCATGAATCAATAACAGATGAGGTAACTACTGTGATCTTTTCTGCCTAACTAAGATGGCTGCCAGCCTAGTAACCAAATCACTGCGATAAGGGGACTATACAGTCTCTAACACCCTCAATATGTAGTGAAATATTAGTGCCGGGCTGTAAGCCCTTTGTTCTCTTGTTTCAGAGACTGGTTTCGATTACAAGCACTCATAGAAAGGAACCTTTATTCTCATCCAAAGACTACAGCCCAAATAAAAATAAACAGCACCTTTTATGTGTACCTTTTCATGCAGAACAATAATCGCTAGTCATACATGTATGCAAGAACCTTGGTTAGGGAAGGCAAAGGAACTTTAAAATGGGTCTCAACTATTCATCATGATGCATTTGGCAGTTCATGAGAAAATCAATGTGTGCATTAGTCCGTTAATGATTTAGGAAGATAAATATTGGACAAATTACTGGCATCAATCTCTCTACTACCTGAGACTGAGATTGTTTCTAGGTAGTATCCATAAGAGAATACATGTACGTTGGTTCTCATTCGAGGACTGGTTAAATGATCAATATCACAAGGTTCTTTTTTTTTTCTTAGCAATACATGACAAACACAAAAAATAATTGTTTTGCTCAATATCAAAATGATCAGCAAATTTCATACAAAGTCCATTTGGAGCTCTATTTGTATTCTATTCATAGCTCTCTGTTTAGTTTGAAAATATAGTATAATAGCAGAGTTCCAATATAAAAAAATTCTAGTCTCACATCAAAATACCTTTCCAAAACATATATTAATTTACACTTAAAGGGATAATAACTCTTAGTATGAGATCTATATTTCACAATAAAAAACCTTGTGAATAACTCATAGAAATATAATATATTCTGTTTTACCACAAAAACAGCAGTTATAGCTTTTATTCTGATATCTGAACTTGTCTTTAGACCACGTGACCTCCATTGATGTCTATACTCTGTTAAAATCTCTTAAGAGATTTTAACAAAAAACCAAACTTTTTAGAAAAAAACCAGGGACTAACTTTGAATGTAAAAATGGATTTATTAACCATTGGTAAGTATGGGAAAATTGTTGTTTACTCCAGGAAAATTCATTTTTTGGCCGAAACAAAGAGTTATTATTGCTTTAACTATTCAATGCCACCATTTACAAATTCAATGGATAGAAGTCTGATATCAAAAGTACAGGCTTTGGCTGTAATGGTATAAAGTGTAAATAAAGATCTGAATGTGTTAGTTGTGACACATTGCTGATTCACTGATTGCAAAGCAATCCCAGTGTATTACGACTTAGAATGAGAATTTTGAGAATTCTTTTGCCCCTTTCGCCCTTTTTTCCTTTTGTGATGGAAAGCTATAACTCAAATATCTTATAAATATTCACATGATGTTCAATATTTTCAACAAATACATATCAATTCCATTGGCAATTCCAGTAGAAATCATTTCAGCAAAGCACAAAAAATTTTCAAATTTTTATCTTTCCGAATGAGTACCACTGCGTGTTCTATTAAGACGTGTTTCAATTTAGCTAATGATAGATAGTTAAGGCACAGGTGCCAGATATACAAGGGCAAAATATTATCTTTTTTTCACCGTGCAGGACTCCAAACAATCTCTCTGATTATATTACTCTTATTCAGTGTGCCAAGACTAGAGAGAGTAATATGCCCTTATGCTATGATGGGGGATAAAAAACATTTTTGTGCAATTTTCAAAATTGATGTCCTGACTTATTAGTAATAAATCATCCATGAAATTCCCCAATCAGTAGGCAACCATATGAATAGTGATTGGTAATGCACACATAACATGACTATTGGCAATACACACAGTATCTAGTCAGCCTTTGTGGGCTAAATTAGTCTGGCAATTATAAAAGCTCCTTGAACTTATGACTTAATCATATGTCATTGGGCTAATGTCAAGAACAATTATTCCAAAACTACTATATCATGTTGCAGATGATAAATTGCACTAAAAAAGGGGGGGGGCATAGAGAACATAGGATTTGGAATATTAGTTAGTAACGACAAATGAAAAATTACCACATTCATTATCAATTTACTTCTCCATTTTTTAGAATCAATTTGTGCAGCATAGCATGTTTTGTGTTTCTTAATTAAATATCCTAAACACTGAATAAGAACTTCAACAATGTTGCAGATGATAAATTACACTCAAGAAGGGGAAAAAACACAGGGTTTGGAAAATCAGCCTGAAATGACAAGAGGAAATTGTGACATTCATCATCAATTTATCGCTCTGATTTTTAGACTCAATCTGTGCAGCGCAGCATGTTCTGTGTCCTTTAATGCAATACATTAAATACCGAATGAGAAATGGGCCAGATTATAACACAAACTAAATAACAGAATATCATATGGTGTTTCTTTCTTATCTTTTTTTTTTTATCTTTTAGAATACATCCTGAGGAATATCATCAAAATCTTTGACCTATACTAGACATATCTTAACAGCAACAAAGAGGAAGAGGAAAGATAATGTAGCTTTATGAGTATTGTAATTCTCAGAAGGTATCACCCACCTCATTGTCCTGTGCATTAGGATCTGCCTGGTTTTCTATCAACACAGACATACAGTTCACATAACCACCATAGGCAGCACACTGCAAGGGTGTACGCCTGAAATGAATGACATTAATAACATAAAATACATATGAAAATCCCATAATCTTTAAAAGAACAATGTATAAAGTGCTTAAAAGAGCATACAACTGAAATTTCTCTTCATGCGAATATGATTCATTAAACTGATTACATGATATTATCCTTAGAAGAAAACTTTTCACACCAAGGCGTCAAGTTAGCTGTACTTTGAGAGATAGAAAATTTAACAGCCTGGCTATTTCATACACCCCATTTCCATAGATTTTTAGATCGATCTATCCCTGTGGGGAGTCTCACTAGATTACTGTCAGCTTGGCCGGCTTAAGCGTCTGTCCCGCCTACTAAAAGCTGTAAAGGGGTAATTAACTATGGTGCCCGCTCAGCTGACTGCAATTTAGCGTGAACCCCCAGGGAGTTAGGTCGATCTAAATCTTAATCTTTAGATCGATCTAAATCTCTGGGAAAGCACCCATAGAGAGTCACGTATGCAGAGCCCCTATGCTGGACAAAGCCAATTAAATAACTAAACAGCAGGAAGCAAACTTATGATGAACTTGTAGTAAATCCCACTGTGGAGTAATGGCACGTAAGGATGTCCCAAAGTGGATGGGGGTACACTGGATCAGTTAAAGTATACTGCTTGACGTGAAATGGACCTTATAATCATCCAGCTTTCTATAAGGAAGTTATCTCTATATCTCAATTTCAGAAGCCATATCCCACTCACCCAGAGTGATCTCTGATGTTGGGATCAATGCCATACTTGATCACCGTCTGACATATGTAGGCATGACCACCAAGAGCAGCCCTGGAACCAAAACATAATTATGGAAATAAAATTATAAAGATAAGAATGTACATATTTTGCATACAAATAACATTCATTTATGAAAACATTCACCATGTCATAATGTTACCCCTTTTTTAACTGTGGATAAGAATAGACATTCATATATTCTATATTCAATATTGTGGCAGAATTCCTCACAAAATATGAAACTGTTGAAACGAAAAATAATTTCACAAAATCTGTAAGTCATTTCTGGTACAAGATACAAAATAGGTTAGCAACTGGCAGCATACCAGTGCAATGGAGATCTCCCATCCTGATCATAAATTTCTACTTTGGCACCATAGTCAATCAGTGTTTGGACCACGTCTGTGTGTCCCATCTCGCATGCACGAAATAACGGGGTGTGCTTCACCAAGTCCTCTGCATCTATGGGGGCTTTGTACTCCAGCAACAGATTCACTGTGGTCACATGGCCTGATAGAGCAGCAGCATGCATTGCTGTAAGAAGAAAATAAATATAGATGAAACAAAATTAAGGTAAAAATATGAAAACTGGTCAATAGAGAGCCATTGGATAATTATACAAATTTTATCTTCCCCTTCTGAAACATTTTCCTTTCATACCATTTTACTTTAAAAGATAATAAAAATGCACTTCTTCTGAACTATTGTAGAAACAGAGACCCCTATTAGAGGTCCACATATTTCACAAATTGTAATATACAGGGAAAATAATGTGAATTGACCTAACTCATTGATATTTATATAAAATGAAATCAACCCTTGCCTACCTTTTTTTTTTTTTGTTAAGGGGGCAGGGGCTTTAATGATGTATATTGTAATTTCATAAATTGTATCAATCTATAAATTTTACAAATCTTATCATGCTCTGTATAATCTTAAAGCTCATAAAAAGACATACCAGTTCCTCCATTTTTATCCACCTGCTGTAGGTCAGCCCCATACTTGATAAAGACCTTGATCACATCATCTGCTCCCTTTCCCGAGGCCCACATGAAAGCTGTTCTTCTTTCAACATCAGGCTCATCAGTCACACCCTTGTGACGCAGGAACACTTCCACTGTATCCTATAGTTAAAAGAAATCACACATTTTCATCATAACTGACAAGGTGTTGTATTCGAATGATACCTTTAACTGAAATTTGATATATCTATCTTATAATTATAAATTGAAAAAAAAAATGAATTAATAATCAGCTGGCACAAAAAATCAGCCAAAGCTTTACACACATACAGTTGTGCCTTATCATGTTACCTACCGCAAAGTTGTTTTGTGCTGCATAGTGGAGAGGAGTGGCGCCATTAGAATCTGAACTGGCATAATCAGCCTTCTTTGACAGAAGAAGCTCCACAATTTTTGAATGACCTGTAACAAATTTTCCATGTTATAAAATGATTGTGTAATTCTTGTTATCTTTTAGGCAATCTTGATATAGCAAAAATAACTTTTGGAAAAAAAAAACAATTTAAAGGGATAATAACTCTTCGTTTCGGCCAAAAAATGAATTTTCCTGGAGTAAACAACAATTTTCCCATACTTACCAATGGTTAATGAATCCATTTTTACATTCAAAGTTAGTCCCTGGTTTTTTTCTAAAAAGTTTGGTTTTTTGTTAAAATCTCTTAAGAGATTTTAACAGAGTATAGCCATCAATGGAGGTCACGTGGTCTAAAGACAAGCTCAGATATCAGAATAATAGCTATAACTGCCATTTTTGTGGTAAAACAGAATATATTATATTTCTGTGAGTTATTCACAATGTTTTTATTGTGAAATATAGATCTCATACGAAGAGTTATTATCCCTTTAAGTAACACAGAAATAAGTGATAAATCATTTAATTAACCCCATGAGACAGTCTCAATATAATTTCACTATCACAAATGCTGTATGCGAAAGCCATAGCAATCAAAATATCATTAAATGAGGTGAAGGTGTAACATTAACCATCTTATAACATGTTCCCATAAATTTATTTCTTCTAAATGCTTCACCTAATACTGCTGCCCAATGCAGAGGCGTCCTGAACATGTTGTCTAAGGCAGAAACATTGCACTTCTCAAGGGAGATCTGAAAGTATGACAAATTGTTCCTAGCATTACACAAACTGCAAACCAATTTCAACCTACTGAGACAAAAACTTTAAGAAATTGGTTTCAAGTAGCAATACATCATGCAAACAATCACCTAGCTTATATAAAATCTATGTGGTGATTTGTGTTTACTGCCAAGATATTCAATTACAAAGAGGAAGTGACATTTCAAACAGGCACAGAAATATATGTACATAAGACATCAGTCTTACCAAAGCATCAACCACAGCATAGTTTCCATCTGCCACTGCCAAATGTAGTGCTGTTCTTCCCTCATAATCCTGCCAGTTAATGACACTCCCTGCCATGTCCTTCAAACATAACAAAAGATCACCTGAGCTTACACCTGATTAATGATGAATACTACACCAAAGCTTACACTGATCAACTCTTCCATCACCTGAATTCGCAGTTACTTAAATGTTTTCAAACACTATAGCAGAATAATATCAACTGTTGACCAAAAGAAAAAAAAATAAAAATAAAAACATCTCACAGAGTTGGGTTTACTACCAATACTTACTAAGAGTAAGTTTACACAGCTGACGGCTTCAGCATCTCTACTGCTAGCCGCCCAGTGGAGGGGTGTCTTGCCTTCAACGTCAGGAATACCAATGTTTGCATCCTAGGAAGTGAAAGGTATAATTGTGAAAAAGATCAATATTTTGTGGTAAATTGGTACTCACTTTGATAAAAATGATATGAAATGGACAACATTTTCAAAACAAAAGTCAATTCTTAGAAAAAACTATTTAAATAAGGGACAACCTTACTGAATATCTGCATTTTTATCTTCATTTTTTGAGCTTTAAAATAAATGACCACCAAAAACTTTACTTAAGAGAGATATCCATCTGTATAACTAATAGATTAAATATGCAATTAATGGAGCCTAAAATGCAAAATATATCAATTAACAAAAATCAAACTCATGAACAAACCTGCTTTATAAGCATCTTGATGTGCTCTAGATTTCCATAAGATGCACTCCAGTGAAGAGCTGTCCTCTGTGAGAAAAAAAAAACATTATAAACCACAAAATCCTACATTCAAATCAGTGAGTGAAAAATAAATCTTAATGATGAAGTGTACAATCTTCATGTTTTTTAAAAATATTGTTGGGTGCAGGTTATTTAGTTTTATCTTCTGGTTTTTAATATTTGAGAAGCTGCATGTCAAATTTTAGGCTATTGTAATGAAGATAAGAGTTACATTCCTTAAAATTTTGAAACTATTTCTTTGCACCAATTTTTAGAAATATGTAATGAAGCTTTAACAAATGCTACCACAACCCAATAGAAGTAAAGTAGCAGAATACTGTGTAGTTTACAACTATTACTGCCTTGGTAAAAATAAAGAAAGAAAGAAATCATTTCTAAAGAGACTTAGACTGGGTTCCCATACCTAGATCACTCTAACAGGATCGATCCATCTCCAAGGGGTTTCTCGCTAAGCGGCTTAGATGTCTGGCACACCTACTGAAGCTGCTAAACGATAATTACCCCTTAGCAGCTTCAGTAGGCGTGACAGTTGATTGCAATTAAGCAAGAATATCCTACGAGATAGAATGATCAGCAGTTAGTACGATAGGGTCTGGAAATGGTCCCTTAATATATTTTACCCATAAGGCATGTGGTTTATACCTTTCATCAAAGGGCCTTGCTCACATGACTGACTCATCCATGTGAGCTTACCATACCTTATTTTTGTCCTGGTCATCTACCTCTCCAGGTGCCACTTGCTTCAAGAGCAGAGCCAAACATTTTGGAGACTTGTGTCGGGTGCACAGGTGAAGGGCAGTTTGACCTTCATTGTCCTTTTCCTTCCAGTTGGCATTTTTGGATAACAGCAGCTTCATGCATCGGAAGTTGCCCTAAATGATAGAACAGCAAAGATAATGTTTCATTGGACAACCATCTTAAAAGATTATAGAACCTTTAAATCATTTTTTTTTGCAGCAACCCTGCCATTCATCAAAATGACTCCCACTAATATGCATGAAATGAAAAATTTCTTAAAGTTGGTTAACAGCCTGATATCCAAGATACAAGCCACCTTCTGGGTCTTCTACCCTGAGTGTCAGAGCAACGTAAAAGCTAGCTTGTTAGGGTCTTCCAGAAGACAATCAGAATTTTTAAGTTTACAATGACGGGCATCTTATTTTTTCTGTCAGAAGACAGTCAAAAATGGAGGATGAATCAACAAAGATAATTTTGAAGACTGTCAGATAATATCTCTGGATCTACCCCTGATATCTAAAGGCCCTATTTCACACAGACCACGAATCCCACAAATCGCCAGGAATTGACAAATTTTAGGATTCGTGAGGATTCGTGAGATTTTGCCAATTTTCTGGTCTTATTCGACACGCTCACGATTCACTTACGATACAGGTACAATAGTGTTACGAATATTCGTGGGATTCGGCTGGAATCGTGAGATTTTGCCAATTTTCTGGTCTAATTCGACACGCTCTACGATTCAGTTACGATACAGGTGCGATAGTGTTACGAATATTCGTGGGATTCGGCTGGAATCGCACGAATATTGTCCAGAAATTCACTACGATTTTTTGGAATCGGGAGTTCGTGGCCAAAACTATGAACAGCTCAAAATTTTTGCCACGAATTCCCGATTGATCAAGAATTGCAAGAACTTGCTACGATTATATACGAATCTGTTAAGAACTTCACAAACTGATTATGATTCAACCAAATTTTCAATTCCTGGCGATTCGTGGGATTCGTGGTTTGTGTGAAATAGGGGCATCAAAGTTTTTGCCACCCATTCCTGTTGGTCAAGAAGTGCAAGAACTGACTACGAATAGATACGAATCTGTTAAGAACTTCGCGAACTGATTACAATTCAACCACGAATGGTGAAATTTGTCAATTCATGGCCATTCGTGGGATTCGTGGTCTGTGTGAAATAGGGCCTTAATCAAACAGTCTGAACTCCAAACTTGCTTTGTGTGCTCTAAGTTGAACCTGCACAACATATTAATAAACCACTGTTGTCTTGAGTTACCTTATGAGCTGCCCAGTGTAAGGCTGATCTCCCTCCCTTGTCCTTCTTGTCCAGGTGTGCTCCAGCTTTTAACAATAACTCCGCACAGTCTAGTCTATCTGCCAGCACACAGAACATTAGAGGAGTACGGCCAAACTGATCTCCTGTGTCTATATCCTTTGCATTGGCTGGAAGCATAGAGCAAAATACCTTACTCATTCTGATTTAATTTCATCTTGGCATGAAAAATGGCTGACAAAGTGGGCAATACTTCTGAATAAGAGATTGAGCACATGATAATGATTTTATTTTTTATTTTTTGATGAAAAATTGGGAATTTTACAAATAGTGTATTTTTTTCAAGTCAAGTCAAGTTTCTTAAAATTGGAAAATTCCCAAATCATCACGAGCTATAGAATCAAAACTAAAAATTTGGCTACCTTATAGTTTTATTCTGTATATTAAAAGCACCACAAACACCACACAGAAATATATATTTTTAATGATTCAAAAATTATGTGTCAGAAAGATAGATAACTTTTCCCCATTGAAAAGATTGAGTCATTACTGTACATTTTTTTAGTGTCCAAAAAGTATATACTTACTTCCTTACACTTAAATCAAAATAGATTTAAAACAACCATTATCACATTCACTTAAAGCTAAGACAATCTTGTGTACATACAAGTCAGTAATCTTGCTAGGGTAGCCTTGTCCCCATTCACTGCAGCAGCATGCATTTTAGTTGTCGAGCCCTCGGGCTGCACTGGGCTGGTGCGGTCAAATGGCCCAGCAGCCATCTATGACATAAAATATTCAACATAACTAAAGCAACTGAAAGCATTATTTTAAACCACACATCTCGTTTACATTCCCTTGAGATGCGTAAAATAGTCACAAAGTCATAAAATAGTCTGTAATCCATAATTTACAAAGTAAAGATTTATAGATCAGCAAAATGTTATGGGACCAGTACATGTATCACCTGAACAATTTCTTTAATTTTTTCTGTCAAATGTGTCCCTGCCCTCATGTCACACACAAAAACTTTTGCAGACTAAATCTACTGATAATAAAAAAGTAAATATACTCACTTTTTGCAAATGTTCACTAGCTATTACGGCTACTTCAAAGAGAGGCTGAAAATAAAGATGTACAGTACACAAATACACTGTAGTAAGTCAACAACACTGTACATTGCACGAGAAGATATGAAAAATGTAATCTTAATACCACTGGATATTATAATTGCATACCTTTCTAATCACCCCTGTTTGTAATGCTTCATGCTGACTTCCCCCCTCCTCCTCCTCTTCCAACATCTCCTCCTGGTATACAGGAGCAACTCGGGTGTTTTTTGACAGACAGAGACCATGACGGGACATAGCAACTGATCCACACGACACACAAGGCAATGGACTGACCAAACCCTTCTAACCTTTCCTCAGTCACCCTCTGTCATGTCTTAAGAAAATGCCCTTGTACTTCTAACATAGATCGAACAAGTACAAACAAACACAGTTCTCCCCAACAATTTTCCTGAAGTTTTCATTCAGACACTACTCGCCTCGTTTTCACGACAATGACCTTGGCCTACTTTTATTCACCACTGAAGTTCTTTCTTTCTTGTGTGTGTGTTTAATACAGTGTAACCACAGGTACTTACTTAGCACTTACTGCTCGAGCCATTTTAACAGACCAAGATTTATTTAATGGCTAAATAAATGCTGTCTATTTATATAAAATGGTGATAATTCTTTATATCTTTCTCTTTGTGAGAAGTGATGAAGTTACTATAAACCACGTAAAATACCAAAAAAGTACGTGAATTTGCAGTTTTACAGTATGTTAGCAACCACGTAATCTATACACACATAATGCATTACCATTGATCACAAATAAACATCTACAATGTATCAAAATGTATTTCTATCAGTTATTCAGTACAGGTAATATTAATGTGTGCACTAGCTGTCACTTGTTAAACTTGTGGAAAAAAAAATAATATCAACAGAAGAAATGCACCATGTATAACAAAGACAGTATACAAATTATACAAAACTTAAATGTATTAATCTTCATATTTAATATCAAAAATACAATATAGTTGACATTTGATTATGTGTAATGTGTTATTATATTGAAATGGTGTGCAAACCAATATTTTATACACAATTCAATTCGAAGCACAAAAAATTCTTAAAATGTTGGCAAACATTCATTTCACAGTCTACTAGTTTTGACAAGGAGCAGGAATTTGAAATTATCAATATTTGTGACAACGAAATAAAAGAATTCAATGGTCAATATATGGTGACTGGTGAATGTCAGCTATTAAGTAAATATACACTGTATGCCTTATTTGATTCTCATAATAACCTTTAGAAAAGTAAGACGAAACTTATATCTAATAAATAACTTCAATTTAGTCATGGAATTTATCACTGATCCCATCCACAGCAGATTAGAATGTCTGACCATTCAAATAAAGTTATCCTATATACACCCATGGGGTGTTTTAAAGATTTTGCTAAAGATGCTTGCCTCAGGCTACAACCTAATTTCTTTTTTAATTCACTCTACTTGATGATCAGGCTATTAAAGTAACATAAAGGATATGGGAGCTCTTTGTGGTTTTTACTGTAAGACTAGAATGATTTTCTTTATCCCTTCACTTATTGATGATGACTAATGTAATCATCATTACTGTCTTTTTTTTTTTTTGCTCACCATGTTTGGAGCATAAAAAAGGCACTGTAAAGGTTTAGATGTCACTTTGCTTTGCAAGATCATTTTGTCATTTAATCTGAGAGAGAAATGAATCTTTGCAGTGAAAATCTAGTATCCATCAACTCATTATTTTACAGTTACATTTCTGTATTGCATCATCTATTTAATGTGCACAATGATCTGCACATTTGATACATGTACTCTGTATTAGCTTCATGTCTGACAAGTCTGACAAGAAGTTGTTAGCATTTTGATTGTGAAAAAAAAAGACAGCACTTTCAGTTTACTCCACGCATTGAGAGGAAAAAAAATCAATTAACAGTAATTACTAAATCTTTTCAATTGGGGAAAATTGTGAATTTTATAGATATTGTATTTTTAAGTCATATTGTTTTAAATTACAACTTTCATATTGAATGGTTGCAGCAAAATTAAAATGCAGGCTACTTTATTGTTCTTTTCTGCAGTAAAAGCAACACAAATGTTCTAAAATATAATTTTGTGTTTATAATTATGTATCTGAATGTGTGAGCATTTTTGACCATTGAAAAAATTGAGTAATATGGTAATGATTGCTGATGTTAGCAGGGCCATAGATGAGGAACTTGCCTTTTGAAACTCCCTTATATTTGTTTTTCTGATAAAGTTGGCCTCAGGGAGATTGTCCACAACTTTCCACAGGGAGTCATTTGCCATAGTGAGTAGAGGAATTTTACCAGCACTAAGTTTTCATCATTAAGTCTTGCAAATCCACTTTGCACAGAATACATTTCCTGCCAATCAGATTTTTCTTGAAACCAGTGCTTAACCCATTTGGATTCAATGTTTTATACCTTTTCTAATTAAATAATCCACTTCTAAATAACTAGCCAGTCATTATACAACGGCCATATCTTCCTGTACACTACGGAAGGATATACCATCTTCAGATAATTTTATATGAAGTATTTTATTATTTTTAAGGTCTAAATCAGGAAAGGTAAGAAGTTTTGTGGGAAATTTACAAATTATAGTGAAATATGACTTTGGGACATTTTCAAATGTAGATCCTATATACCTTTCACAATCTGTTCATAGTTTGTTTTTGAGAAAATGTCAAGTCAAGTGATCACAGTGCTTATTTCTTTTAACAGAAATAGCCACACAGGAGGGAGATAACCAAATATATATATCTTCCATGGTTTGGGTTAAGATGTGTTAATTCTGTCAAGTCTGTCTTCAGAGATGAACCAAGGCAGAGGAACAATAGATGAGTAAAATTGATTTTCTGTGTTGTAGCACACCGTTGAAAAACTATACTAGTTCCAGTAGATCACATTGTCAAGGGGATGTGCTTATAATGTATACATGTACATGTACTGTACCAGCTCCTCATCTTGACACTTCATGATCATTTTTATAGTTATATACCTTTTCAGGTAATATGGTCATTTTACACTTGCTCTGAGAACTATATATAGCAATAGTTTAGTATGTGCAAATACGTACCGTTTGTTTTTCAAAAAACGCCCTAAAATTAATTAATTATAACAAGCCACAGAAATATTTATGAATTGGAATGTGTTTGAATATCTCTAATGGTTCATAATGGATAACAATATACTGAAATTAACTCAGAATTGTCAAAAGTTATACTTCCAATAGTAATAACATGTATTTAGCGCTATTTAAAGAAGCGGCAAAATAGACCAAAACCATTAAAATAGTGGGTCTACACAGATCGGATATGTTTCTTTATATTGTTCTTGGCTTACAAAACGATCGTGCTCCTGGTAATGCCCAATATTGTACATAACTGTACTTTATAACCCCCTTTTTAGTTATCATAACATATATCATCTAAGGCGATTTTAAGGGTCAGTGCTTCCGTTTAAGTCTGTATCACACATGTATATTTTATGTTATCGTCACTTAATTATAATTCCACAATCAATTGTCTGTACACAACTAACACAGAAGATAACCTACCTATCACTTGATTAATTACTTAAGGGTGTCTTCCCGTTATTTCCGCTGAAAATCGACCCGGCCATTACCATACACCTACAGGTAGTTTTGTTGTTAGGGAGAATATCGATTTCACGCACAATTAATCGTTACTGTAAATAATAGAATAAAAGGCAGTTTCTATTGGCTAAGCAACCGAGCCAACAATGTAAGACATAATGTCATTGGATAATTAGCAATATTGCAGCAGGTGCGTCTTTGTAAGAGCTCAACCCCAGAAAATGTAGTTTTGTGACATTTGACGCATCGATTAACGTGCTGAATGGATAAAACTGTTACACTACCAGTTTCCTTACGATAAAATTCGTGTTTTTTGTGCCTGCACTTTATTTGCTTCTAACTTTATTTGCCTCGGTCGTTTTCCAAATTACACCCGTAAATGAATAAAACACTTTAAACTGACCAATTTGTAAAATAGGCCTGTCAAAACTGAAAAGATGGGAATCGGAGTCGATAGACAAAGTTTTGTTTTTTAACGAGCATAGCAGCTAAGTTTCACGGTAAGTCGGTGTTTAATATTATTATTATTTTATCATAGGCCTATTTTATTATATTCATTTATTATATTTTAAAGATAATTTTTAAAAAGACGATGTGGGGGATTCAAGTGCATAAAACAACATCATGAAGGGGTTTCCTGGGTCAATTGTAAATTTCTCCCACTTACCAAACCAATACCTAATGCATTTTCCATCAAAAAAGGGGGTGAAAAATGATTTCCTCAAAATTGGGGTCGGTTGCACTCGTTAAATAACTTATTATAAATAACTTGACAAAAACCTTGGAACTACGATGATATTAAGTAATTTATAGGTTTCAGATGTGACTAAAAACTCACCTCTCTCCTATCAGTTGGCCTCTGCTATTTCCAGTCTTTAAGACTCTGGCTGGCCAAATTGCACTTTACAAAGTTTGTTTTTAAAGTTGGCTTACGCTTCTCCCTCAGCTATCAGTTATAGATATGACACTAGAGTATGGCTGTACATGAAGTGTATGTACAACCCCTTGATTAGATTAGGTTATGTTGATTGAACTCGATAAAAAATAATGATCCGGCTCACCCAACTTGCATTATATTGACGTTGCAGTATTGACGTTTCTTGACGGAATTAAAGGAGACAGCAGCCTACCATTTTATGCATAAAAACATTTTGTTGATTTTTTTTCTTTACGATAGAGTACACTTTACTGGCCACTGTTGCAAAAGTACTTGAAAGGACAGGGGCGGATCCAGGATTATTTGAAGAGGGGTCCACGGATGTGAAGCCGACCCCACCCCCCCAACTTGTCGTGGGGTTCGAGGCCCTCTGAAGAGCCACGAAAAATGTTGGTATTTTAGAGGGCGGTTGGTGCCATTTGGTACGGTTTAGAACTATGATTTAGCTAGTCAAAATTCTAAATTCAAGAGTGGACTTGAAATCAAAGGGGGGCAGGACCCCCCTTACCCCCTCTAAATCCGCCACTGAAAGGACGAACAAGAAGTTGCCCATAACATTTCATTCCCTAATTATGTTAACGTTTTATTTAAAGAGGGTACTTGTTTTCTCACAGGTAAATGAAAATAAAAAGACGGGCTCCCATGAAAAACGATATCTTTTTGTCGATGTATCTTATAAAATACATTGATCCCGTTAAGATAAAAATTAAATATTGGCACCATTTTTTTTTCTTCCAGAATACCCCCTTCTATTCCATTTCGATTAAATTTTATCAAACAAAAGCGTATGAGACGACATGGATGCGTGAGTCCAAGATACTGTTGTTACCCGATATCTGTGTGTAGCAATAGAACTTGGTCTCGTAGCAAGATACCATTCAAAGCCTTGGTATAGTTCAAGGAGCAGGTGATTTATATTGCTGGGTCTTCGGTCATAGACCACAATATTCTGTGTTATCGCTTCATTGATGACTGATGATATATGTTACCATTCTTACCTGTACGTTTCTAGTGCCTTTGTTTGTTTTTAAACCCATTGCTGCGTTAAGAATCTTTGTTGCAAAATATGTAAGGCTTCGGCGGCGTTTTATCCGAGCCGCCGATGTAATTTGATTCGGCAATATCTCACAATCGAGTATCACATATTAAAAGTGTTATGAGCCCTGTGCGAGTAGCTTTGTACATTCACCTTTAAGTACGACAAGAGCCCATTTCAATTATTCCCTGCCATCTGGGGTGTAATTACACGACAGGGGAGTGTAATTAAATCAGCGCGAGCCTATCAGCACGCGGCAGCCTCTCCTTGATTAACCGGCCAGAACCGATAGAGTGCCCGGCTGTTCACTTGGCAGTTCTCACATTATTGCTTACGGCTCGCGCAGCCAGAGGATGCGTTGCCTAACTTAACTACAAAAAATGGTGTTTTAAAGGGAACTCGTAAGGAGAGATCAATATGGGACAGTGGTGGGACTGTGTGTTGGTACTTGTGTTATTATTAAAGGTGAGTATTATTCTTATGTGCATTAGTAACAAAATTAATGCAGGGAATGGGAAGTTGAGTGGTTTAAACCTACTAGTTTAAACTATGAATTACAGGACTCTGCATGTAGCTGTTTACTAACCCAGCGCAGATGGTGCGATCGTTGTTTCCTTTTCACTGGGAGGTTAAATAAGTATGTGTGGTAGTAGTACCCGACAGGAAAGATAGAAGTATTAAGTCCGTGTTGCAGTATATGCAATAGTTGTTTTTCGTTTTTATTTTCCGTCTGTCTCATTGTATATTCAATGTTCTTTGATGGAGCGGCATCAAAAGAACCCATGCCATTGTGGACGTTTAATAAATGTTATTGTATCGTTTCCGAAGAGGATGCATTGTGGCTCAGTCAAGCAGAATACATTCAATTTAACTGATAACCCCAATTGTTAAAACGAGGAGTAGGCTGGGTTTCTATATGGAGCACAGGGAGAATAAATGCACGGAACAGTATCAAATTCGGGCAACTTACGTCCGCCACAGTTGTTACATAGGGTACCTGCCTATTGCAGAGATAGAGGGATGGAAAACGAATGAAAGAATAAGATCAGACCAGGGAATTGTTTTGAGTTTGAAGGGCGTTAGATTTTTCAGGCGGTACTGGAAAATTGGTTACACGTTTTCTATTGCCACTGGTAAGCCTGGCAATCCTCTACGTTTCTGATATAAAACATAAATATTGGTAGTTTCGTTAAACACTACAAGAGTGTTGTAAATTGAAGCCATATTTTGCAGGGGAAGAAAGAGAAAACCAGTTCCCATACGTGAGATTAAAACAGATGTGGGGCATGCTCTCTGTAATACGGATAACTTTGAACAAAATTGTCTTGCTGCTTTAGCCTTTTATTCCTCTCTTCCACTACCCTCTATCTTATCCCCTCCCTCTCTTCAAGCTATAAGCGGATACTCAAAGGCTATCTCACGTGTCTTGCTGCTTTTCTCTCTCTTTCTCCACCCTCTATCTACAACTACTATCCCTCTCCTCACGCCATAAGCGGATACTCAAAGGCTATCTCACAAGCCATATAGTGACTGTTGATAGCCCACCTTGATTTTATAGCTTTCGTTAAGTCATGAGTGTTTCTTATCTTGAATCCCCAACTTGGTTTAATTGCACATTCAGACTATTATACTGCTCTTTGATGTTATAAAGTGACTATTCGTCTTCACGGGAAACTGACAAACATACGCTGCATGCCATGGTGTGCACGTGTGTGACTTTGAAGGTATTAGGCACTTAATTTTACCTATACTAGTCTGTGTTGCTTATCACTTATCTTTCTTCTTAAACACGAGAGCTTTGCCAGCTAGCAATGAATGCTAAGAGAACCCATGGGAAAACGCGGCCTACAGCAGATTAATCAAAAATTAATTTACTCGCACGCATCTGAAACAGATTGATCTTTTGAAGCGTAACCAGAAACTCCTTCAAAAATGATCACGCCATCTAAAAATCCCAGGTTTCACAACACGAGATTAAACAACACGTACGCATATACAAAAGCCAAATGCTGGTAAAAGTGTTGTTTAAAACGTATCCCTACAAACTATCATGCAAAATAAGATGAGAAGGGGTGGAAGGCTTCTGTAGCACGCGAAGGAATGAAAGCATGTGTTGTATGTTTGACTCATGATTTTTACTGATACATTCAATGATTGAACTCGACTTTCATAGGAGCCTTTCTCTTTTTCTGCCGTAATCATAAAGGTCCCTTAAATGCAGTAAGTGGATGGAGGCAGAGCTAGGGTGCTATAGTTTTTATCTAGCGAAGTTTTTTTAAACATGTTAGTGGGTTTATCTTTTTAAAGATCAGTTCTAGAGACCATAAAACCTTATAATTTTACGAAAAACAGTCAAGATTCAAATTATGCAAAATTCACAAATTTTCTTCACATTTTCTCTTTCAAATAAAACTTAAAAGCGTAAAGATGAAGCAAACTTTATCAAACAGGCAATGTATTACAAATCAAACGATACTTGAAAGAATAACCTAATCATTTATCGAGTCGCTTCCGTCACTTTCATCTGACTAGATGAAATATGCAAGCAGCCGGACTAACTTTCATCCCAATGTGTAACTTCCCCTCAAAGTACAGTAACATTGAATGTGTGTTAGTTGAATGCAATTAAGGAGGTTTCATCAAACAAGCCGCCAACTTGTTCTTACCTGTTAATTATGTAGCAAGTATTATGTATAATACACTGAATATCTCTGTGCATTTACCTAGGGAAAGCAACCGTGGTGAAACCGCCACACTATCAGCGATAAAATACGAAATGTTATAAGATATATAGTAGATAAGGATAATGATATAACATTGTGCTCTTTTCGAATGATATATTTAAGTTGTCCAGAACAATATTGTTAAATGAATTAGGCAAATTATTCGCATAAATCACTTCATTATTTTTTTTCAATATCATCATTTCAAATCCAACAGTGTTAACTAAAAGATGCATAAGAAGCGAAAGTAAACGCCTGTAACGCGTATAGATTCTTAGTTCCCGTTTCTTACACAACGCAAATAAAATCCACGTGCCCAAAAATAAACTTAAATTAATTTCTCTGACTTTTTTTCCTCCTATCCGTAATGCACAGAAAGTAAGCATAAATATAATTTTTCGGAAAATAATTTAAAAACTCTGCTATTTCTTTATACTAGTTGAAACTGAATGGTGACATTCGGTCGGGTTTAACGGCAATAATTTGACATAAGCGCTCACTTAATACGGATCATTAACATTTTCCATCCATCAAAATAGATTGTATGTACGTGTACACCAAATCAATTTTAAAACCAAAATGATCACATTTTTGGATATAACCTCCTCGGAAAGACCTATTATGACAGTATTTTTTCGTTTACAATTTAAATGTAATGCTTTTTAGAAACGCAATTAATGCTATAATACTATAAAGCCTTTCAAATTCAAACAATTAAGTCCATATAAAGAAAACATTAACAAACACCAACATGGGTGTCCTTATTAAGGGACAGTGAGGACAGGGTAGGCACGGAAGGCAGACGATGGCGTGACTTATGTTAAGCTACGAGAATACATCAACAGGTGGTTTATATTCAAGAAGTGACTTGAAGAAAATCCAGGGATTGGATTTTTAGCAGTGGTCAGGGTCACAAGTGACTTAACCCCAGACAATAAAAGCTGTGAGCAAATACGTTATCATTTTGTTTATAAACGTAGCAATGAGTTAATAATTTTCTCTTTTTTTTCATTTTGCTCTTTGCTATCCTTAGGTCATACAACACAAACTTTTAAAAATAATTAAATAAATAACTATCTCTTCAGGTTCACGCCGAGTTGAGCTGCACTAGCAATGAGATTGAGTACGAAGGGGTCCGGTGCTGTTCTAAGTGCCCCCCAGGAAGAGGAGTCGCCGCACTCTGTTCTCCTGATAACGACACCGTATGCAGACCGTGCGATGTCGGAGTGACGTTTTCTTCATTACATAGCCACACGGAAGCATGCAGGCCGTGCTCCACATGTGGCGTCAATGCTCATGTCTTAAAAAAGTGCAATGGGACACACGACACCCAGTGTGAATGTGACAGTGGTTTTCATTATAACTTGTCCGAGAAACGGTGTGAGGAGTGTAACAGGTGTCACCCCGGGTGGGGCGCCTCTCTAGCTTGTAACCACCATTATAACACGGTGTGCAGACCGTGCCCTAATGGGACATACTCTGAATATGTGAGTGCCCACCTCGGGTGTATAGTGTGCACCAAGTGTTCTGATGATCACATCAAACTTCAGGACTGCACGCCGTACCAGGACACATTATGTATGGGTAGGTGATACCATTAATTTTCTTCGTAAATCTGCAGTGAAATACATAGACTCTTTATGTTAATGTGTAAAATGGACAACATGCGAAAATTAAATGTACTGCATGAGATATACCGTTTAAGGATTGTACGAAAGGATGTCAGAAATGGTTCCCAAAATGAGCATGGAAAACTTAAATAATGTACTGGGGTGACTAAACAACTATACTAATGCATGGATATGCGTTGAAGCTGGCTTTATTTTAAAGACTGGGTTCTGTGGAAATCATATCAGGTATTGTGAAGAAGACAAAAATGCTGATGGAGACGAATGCTTCATTTCTTTATATTGCGGTTGCGGCAAATGTAAATGGGAAGGGAGAGGGGCGTTGGAGAATACTTGGTTTGTTGAAAATTAATATAATAATAATAATAATAATAATAATAATAATGAAAAGAAAAACACATCAGAAAATTTATTTATTTGAAAAATCTTTTTCAGCCAAGTCCTTGTTGGGGTCTTCCAAGGTCGCCAGTAAAACGGCACCAGTGAGTCCGCCAGTTAACTACAACCCTGGTTACGACATCATTCCTCTGTATTGCGCGGTCCTAGGCTTGCTGGTGATAGGTCTGTTGGCGTACGTGGTGGTGAAACAGTGGCAGAGGAACGCGGCTCATCGCGCCAATAAGCTCAATACTACGGGGGTGACGCCGTCGTCCATACGGGTTGACCCCACGTGCCAAATCCAAGTGCCACCGAGCTCACACGGGTCAGATAGCGGGGTCTTCCTGGACAGCGATGGAAAGCCAGGTGAGAGCGAAAAAATTGGTTTTAAAATTTAAGTATTCGAAGTTAAGGTATATCTTCGGATTTAGGTAGAAGAAAATATTACGAAATTTTGACAGAGACAGAAAATGTTCTCATGAGATCTGTCAAAACTCGGAAAGATTTCAAGAACTGCTCCTGTGCCGACAGTGCGGGTAATAATTGCCAAATAATGGCTTCCTCATAAAGGTTATCTTAGAAATTGTATTACTGGGCTGTTAAGTTTGCCAGACTTACTGCGAGTAACTTATGACAGCGTGTCTGGTTAATTCCTGATAATATCCAGAAACCAGGAAAAGGAAATTGTTTATTCAGTTGTATACAGGAAAAATGCTTAAACGGCTTGTATTTGTACGTTTTCATAATTTTCAGTTACCAGCACGATGAAAGTCCGTGATCTACCGCCAAACAAAAAGAAAGAAATTGAAGTTCGTCTTCATCACAAACGTGGCGGACGAGGCGACTGGACGGGTTTAGCTAGAGAATTAGGTGAGGGCTTTTAATGTAAAAAAAAAATGCATGTTATCGATTTTTTTCTTTTTCCAGAGTTTTTGTGTGTGGTGTTTGTGGGAACGAAGATTCGATAAAATGAAAAAAATATGGGTTGCAAATACTCAGCACGCGATTTCAGTGTTTTTTAATGACCTCCAGTGTATTTTCCTAATGGATTTTGGTAAAGCACGTTCGTCCCTAAGTTGAATATTAAATTTGACCTTTTCTAGAAAAGAATGATTATATTCACTTCACAAAGCAACAGATTCCTCGTCTTACACTAAATGTGACGCAATGTAAAAACTGCTTTCACTTAACAGGAAAATAAATGGGTTCCGTGGTACATCTTACCAATTTCCGAAATGTAAACGCCGCGAGCGCCGTTGGTTATGGAGTCTACTTGTTTAAAGGAAATCTCATCCAGAATAATTTGCCACTAATTTCACAGAAGCGAAAGCCTGCAGACATAACATTTTGTCAAATTTACTTAAAATTGCAATAGCATAGTGCAAGACACGCTCTGTTTATTCTATTACTCCCATCTTGAATCATAGGTTAGTGTATTTTGGTGTTTGGAAGCGCCCTGGTCTTGAATGGATAAAAGAAACACTGGTTCTTTCATCATTCTTTCATACTCCTTCTACCGTAAATCCAAAGTTACAACTTGTCTGAAATGTCAGAAGTTCGAAATCAAACGTTTGTTGTGATATCTCACAAAACAAACACCGATAAAACCGCTACGTGGCCCCAAATCCCAAAGACGTGAGTTAAGAAATGTAAAGGAAGCCATGACCGCGGCGCTCATACTACAACATAGATCACAGTTGTTCTCTGTGTGTCAGACTGTCCCATCTTCAGGCGTTTTGTCTCCTGTTTATTCTATTGTGTTGTGTTTCTATTGTGTGTCCTGTATAAAACTTTGAATTAAGAAACGTGCACTAAAAAATTCTATGTAGGGTTTTATTTATTGCGGAAAGGAACTGCTAGTATTTGGACCAGTGGTACTCATAGTTAAAGCAGAGAAATCTGCTATGAAAAAGCTTAATAAAAACACTAGTTTTACTGCAAGATTGTTGATAAACGTGTAGTTGGTTATTGACTTTTTCATTACGTAAATAAGATGAACACTAGTAATACAATTTAGATCGACGTCACGTCTGATCACTAATGTACTGTGTCACTGTTTTAGGGAAATGTAGCTTTTATTAATTATTTCAGGTTCATTTAACTTTATCCTTCTTTATTTCAGGTTATACAAAGTCCCGTATCACAAGCTTAGAATCTCATGCATGCCGTGAGAACCACGTGCCAGCACGCTACCTGCTGTTGGAATGGAGCAAAAACGATAGCGCCACGGTGGGGATGCTGGTGCGTGCGCTCAAAAGTATAGGAAGACATGACGTTGTTAAAGTATTGAATGGACGCTCAAGGAAACTGTTTAGAGCACAGCCGGCAGAAATAGTGTAGTTGAGAGGCCTTCGGAACGTTGCCTTGTCAAACCATTTCAGACGAACCTCTATTATGTACCAGCGTGTATCTACAAAAACAAGGTGTAAACACGTATGAGCGATAAACTAGGGAGCTTAGTACTCGCTAAAATACTACGAGACTCATTAGCAAAAAAGAGAAGTCGCATCTTCATATTTTTGGCTTAGCAACAGCAAGTCATTTGTCAATTAGAAGAGTAAGTACGGTGCTCAGTTTTCTGGATTGTCTCTGGATGGTATAGAATACCAAAACTCCTTCTACAGGATCTGTTTACAAAACAGTTTAATTATGTCAATTGATAAGTAATGAAAAAAGATTGCGATAAATGCCAAGGTTAACCAAATAAAATATATTCTGACAAAGACACATGAAAAATGAATGACATGGTGTTTATTCATATTTCTCATAATTCTTATCTCACAATAAAATTCACCAGACGTACGACATTTTTACACATTATGTACATTATAACTGTTAAAAAATCGACATTTACTAAGTGTCTACTGAAAGGAATAATGAGTATAAAATTACAAAATATTTACCGCTGAATATCAACAGATCAAAACCTAAAATTCACCGATAATGCCTTCCCTTCAGGTGACATTTATAAAAGTCATATCGGAGGAAAAGACCTAGGAAAACAACCTATCTATCTTTTAATTTCTATGATCATGAGCTCTCTTTTTACCACGATTTCCAGATTTTACAGACAAACTTGTCAATTTGCAGAAACCAGTAAAAACGCTGCTAGTTTGACTAAGAAGGCCCGCTTTGGACTCGGGGTTACCTTGACAACTCGCTTCCATATTGGCGAGAATTATAAAACTGATGCAAATACAAGTGGACTTTGACAACTGAAACTCCTACACCTTAACCCAGATAATGAAGTATCACCTAGTATTCCTCATAACGAGGGCGTGTATAAATGTAGACATTTCTGAAATAATTTCAACAAATTTTTCAATGCCCTAAAAAAATTCACAAAAAGTACTTCACAAAATAAGATGGACGAATAGATGGATGAATATGGATGCCCAAGATAAACTATTTTTATCTGGCTCCACGTAGAATTTATTAGTTCTTCCAAAGACAAGTTTAAAAATGTCATCAGAGGCATTTTCTGAACTCAAAGTTCTGACAAAAAAAAGTAATGCAGAATAACACAATGAAGCTCAAATAGATTCATCTAATCTGATTCATAATCTTAACTTCCTCAAAGCTTCAATTTTCCATCATTCATACGTGAACATATTGCTGACCAGACAATTTGCAGCATAATTGTAAAAATAAAGGTATACTTGAAATGAGTTGCATAAGAAACCAATGCCTATATTTGTCTTTCAATTCCCCATGAGTTACCAGCAGGCTTACTTGCACAACCTGTAGCAACTCTGCAGAAAACTTGTTTTATCAGTGTCAAGAGAAAAGATTTCTCTATTAACTAACACTTTACAGATATCATATTCATTTTAATATGGTCACTGCTTCACCGGCTGTACATAGCCACCATCTTGAGTTCACATGAAGAGAAATTAGGCTGGATCTATAATACAAACTCATCTATCACATTTCAGTCTGGACAATTCAGGGAAAGAAAAGGATTTAAAAAAATTAAAAGTCCTCATAAATATCTTTCAACTTTAGAAAATTCTGGTGCTCAATTCAGTTTGTCCCTTTTGGACAGTTACATCTGTAGATTCCAGAACTTTATTTGATAGTGGGAGAAGCTGGATCACGTTTGTATATTTGCCCAAACTTGGACATGTACTTTTTGATGTAGTCTTTGGCTTTAGATTTGACATTCTCATTGACCTCCAAATCTTCTGGGTGCTTACAGTGCTTCAATTCTTTGGTCATTATGTGATGAGTGAGCTGAAAGGATAATTGTGTGTTCCAATTAGCATTACACAAAACTCAAATACAATTTTGATCACAGCTTTTAAAATTAGAACTAAGCACCTCAAATAAATATAACTAAATGATGCAACTGATTTTTAATCTAAAATAAAGAACAAACCTGTGTCTACACAAAAAGAATATTTTGATCAGAAAAAGAAAATACTTGATTGTCTGATGTGCAGAAAAGCTGGTTGAAAGACAGCTTTAAATATGAATTAGAAGAAAATACCTTTCTGGCCAGGTGTTTAAAATCATCAGTATTGGTGATTTTACCAAGTTTACAGTCTGGCCTCCTAAAGGGATTCAAACATGTCACAATGTACTGGGACATCTGAAAGAAATACTCAAAATGAATACCAAGTGCACCTTTTTATGGTAAATGCATATAGATACAGTTCACATCAGAGCAGAAGAACAGATAACCCATTCATTATTCATGGGTTAAAAACCAGTGATCACAGTCTCAAGAGTATCTATCAGCAGTAATGCAAAATCATGAAAGATGGATAAAAAACAACTTATGTGAAAAAACACAGATTTAGACTGAAGACACAAAAACTTATCTCTGCCGTTCATTATGTGATAAGTTGTATTACTTCTAGATAAAATCTGATTTCAGTCTTGAGGCATTAAAAGCCTATTTTTAAACAGATAACAAGGGTGAATATGTGCATTAACCAACGCCAGGTCTGCTTTCCAAGAAATTGTTCTCAGCAGATGTTATTTCCACATGAAAGCAATAATGCACCATGTACGGAATAAAGACGAAAAAGCTAATGATACCATACCTTTCCCCTAAAGGCTTCCTTGCATCTTTTAGCAACCTCACTTGAAGTGTCAGCAGCAGCAGTTGTGGTCTTCTTCTTGGCCTACAAGAATTTTATCAAACATTAAAAAAGCATACAAAATCTATAAAGATGGTGTTATGCAATTTAACCTTCTGGATGTTTATATCTGCTATAAATTCTTAAATGCACAGAATGCAATGCACACATTATTTAAGGAGATGGCATGGGTGTTACAGACAAGGTGATCTTTCACACATTCATTCTGTGCAAGGTGGACACAAGCACACCTGTATGGCACCATACACCAACCTTGATCCTTGGCTCATCATGTGTGGGCGTACCCAGGTCCATTTCATCCTGCTCGGCTCCCTCCCAGGTTGGTGGATCCCACTGGGTTTGTCTGAAGAAATATATGCAACGATAAATATCAAACATTTGCCTGTCTGCTAGGATTTACATGAAGTATTTAACAAAATTGAAGAAATCTCAAGTGAAGGCCAGTATATTAGGCAGAATGGTTGTTGCCAAATACCAATGAAATGAAATGACATGATTTTTTTTTAGAAAAACATGTCTATTGAAGATAAATATACTTTATATTGGTGCTTGAAGACTGAAACATTCTTTTTAAAAAAATTATATTAAAGAGAAATACATACAAATTACTTATTAACCTTGTGCCAAAATCATAAGCATTCTCTGTCAGTAATATTAAAACAAATATCAGCAACTCACCTTGTTCCAGTATGGTAATAGTAAGTCTTGCCCTCTGGGTCTTTGGCAGTCTTCCAGTTAGGAGGTAATTTCTGTTTTGGTGGGGGTGGAGCAGGTGGAGGAAGGGTATCCTCCTCAATATCTGCCTCCACGGCCTGGAGGGGCTGCGGCTGGACTTGCAATGGGTGCTGCAAGGGGACCTGACAGAACATTGTTTTAAATAACACTGCACTCATATTGAAAAATATGAGGGATTCAGCATTAAAAAAATAGTCACTGTCATTGGTTTTCTTTACCAATTTTTTTTTTTCAAATGAATTTAAGATTCAACTTCTATCATTTGCTGGTTAAGCGTTTAAGTAAAAAAAATTAGAGATAGAATTCAAACAAAAAATTCATTTACTAAAACTTATCAATAACTACTCATAAAAAAATCATTAAAACTAATCAATAACTACCTGCTGTAATCCTGTCTGAGTGGAGACCACAGGTTGATTGACCTGGCCATAAGGTTGCTGTACTACCACACCAGAGTGTGAGGCAGACACATAATACACTGGCTGCTGCTGGGGTAAATACTGCGGGGCTGGGCTTCCAGCTGCCACCTGCACATAACCACTGGGGGTCTGGATATACTGAGGCTGAACCTGAAATGGAAGTAATGGAGCCTCAATACAGTCCCTTTTCTTAACATGCAGAGTCACAGAAGCTCACAGAAGCAAATGATAACATCTACGAGTTATATCCAGGTTCAGTTACAGATGCAGGTCACGTATGCTGTGACTGTGAGTAAAAATCAATGACAAAAACAATCCCTTAACTTTCTTAAACTTAACATTAACATAACTACAACAATAAAGAGATGAAGTTGTAAACACTTGGAAAAAAAACATCAACCCTTTTCCATCCCAATTTCTCCAGACCCCTCACCTGATACTGTGCAGGCTGCTGTGTGGGCTGGTAGATGACCTGGGGCTGAGTGGGGTCAATATACTGTGGCTGGGCTGACATTGGCACTTGCTCCAAGTATTGTGGGATGACAGGACGGTTTGAGTCTAAGAACTGTGCTCCCTGAGGTGCTGTTTGCTGTTCATACTGAGAGCTAATGAAGGCTGCTGAAGGATCACCATACTGCTGATTGGGGTCTACACCTAGCAATTCAGGGGCAGCACCTGCGATGATGTTTGGGTCTTGAACATAAGGTATACCATTAGCATCCACTGGAATGAAATGTCTTTTGTTATACAAAAATATGTTTGATAAAATTGCAGCAAAAATGAAAGTCTGCTTTTTTAGATGCTACAATTTTACCCATTTTCACCTCTTTCAAAAAATATTCTTAAGGCCCAAAATACCTAAATATTCTTTTAATATCTGATCAAGAAGCACTGTGACAGTCCTATCCATGTGCTGCTGAGACAGTGGATTAGCTATTACTTGCTCTAGCATGAAACACATTGAATGGCACCTAACTGCCCAACATGTGACAATGACCACAGAAAGTGATAACTGATCAGACCGATTAGTTCTGCTTGAAATACTGGTCTGTCATGCAACTTAGACTATGAACTGAATAACATGAACTGTATGACCTGGATGGATATATTAGTGTACTATATGTCAGGTCAACTGGTGAGAAACAGTTCTTATTCATAAACTAATTTTTGTAGAATGATATTAAATTTTTGAATTATGTGAGCTCCACTTGTTAGTGAAATCAAATTAAATGAAATCAAGTCAACTTAACTGAAAACATTAAAATCCAAACATGAGATACACATGGAATTCTCCACTATTCTTTGCAAATAATAATAGTTTACAATAAAAAATATATAAAAAAAAGAATTAACAAATAAAAAGTAAAGCAAAACACCTACAAAGATTAGTCTTACCTGTAACAGGCACCCCATACTGGTCATAATACTGATACTGCATTGCTTGCTGTATGGCCTCCTGCTGGAGGGCTTCTTCCTGTTGTCTTGTCATCTCATCTTGAGCACGCACCTGAGCCTCAAACAGCTGACGGCGCTCTTCTTTGGACATTTTAGGTGGTGTGGGCAGCAATGGTTTCCTAAAAAAGAGACATACAACAGTAAGTGTACGTAAACAAGGCTGTTTTCAAAGAAAAGAATCTGAAAAAAGTAAATATGCATGGTGAACGTAGTTATAAGTGAAAGCATAGTTAAACTTGCTATAAAGTTAATTCAGAATATGTCAAATTACACAGCAAAACAACGATATACCTGGCTATATCATGTAATCAGAAAGAGTTATTTATGTGCAGAATGTATCATTCACCTAGGTTTATCATCATCATCTGTTTTTCGTCTTCGTTTTGTACGATCTCTGTCAGGTGAATCATCATAGCGTCTCTTTCTGTCATAATCTCTTTCTAAAATAATAAAAATATCTGTCTTTAAAACTCGTATTACTTTCCTTTTAATATTTAAATTCAAGTAAAACTATAACCACGCAAGTTAATTTAATATCTGTTTCTCTTCAATAGAGCAAAGCAAACTGTGCTGATGACATAGTTTTTACACTGTTCAAAATTATTGTAATAATTCATACTGCATATCACACATTTCCATTTACTTCACAAAAAAACATTGTCTAATATCCTTTAAAGAGACATGAGACCTAGCAATTATGAAAGAGGAATGAGATAATTGCATATCACAAGCCTCACATTCTACTAACCTCTGCTCCTATCCCTGTAATAGTCACTGTCTCGATCCTTGTCGTATCTTTTGTCTCGTCCACGATCACGGTCCCTCTCGTAGCTGTCCCTTCGATCCCTGTATCTTTCCTTATCTCTTTGATCTGAAAAGTGGAATTTTCATTGAAAAACTTGCAATATCAGTCAAACAACTTGAAATTCAAATTATCTTCAGAAAGAGATATTGCACTACTTTGTCTTTTTTATTCTCACTTTTCGCATTTCAGATAGAGGCACTGAGAAGTAATTCTTTCATGTACATAAAAATTGAAACAATTAGGTGTAAACTTACCCAGCTCTCTTTCAGTTTGTTTTCTTTCTTCAACCTCCTGTTTTTTGGGGATTCTAAATAATTCCTGGATATAAGAAAAAAGTTAAATCCATTCAGGTAATTTCCTTCATCAGACACAGACAAAAAATATCGTAAATGGAGACAATTATTCTGCTTCATCACTAATGAGGGATCAAAGAAATGCAAAACTAATTACATTTTATTGTAAGAAAGACTGTATTTTGTACAAACCTTGAGATTACTCCAGGACTCCAGCAATTCGGATGCAAAGTCTGCTAGCGAGGGTTCTTCTTGATTTACTGTTGATTCTGTTTGCTGTTCTCCTTGTGTTGTATCAGCCTGGATAGAGTCTGAAAACAGCAAATACATGATGTAACAACTATACATACTAAAAGTAACTTCTCCAGTGATCAACTTTGCTCTTTGCTTCTTTTATCAAAGGAAACTAAAAGCAGTATCTTTAAATGACAAATGGTATGGAAAATCATACAAAAAACATTACCTTGTGAAGATGAATCTTGTTCTGCAACTCCTATAGTTTTTTGGGCATCCAGACCCTCCTCAGATAAGGATGGTTCCTCATCTGCAGCCACATCACCTTCCCCACAAGGAGCAGGGGCACTTGGATTTTCTTCATCCACTACAGTGTCAACAATACTTTCAAATTCTGCCTCATCTTGTATGGATGGACCATCACCAGGAACATCCTCCTCCTGTTCAACATCACTGTCTTTCTTTGTATCCTGGGACTGACCTTGGTCTGGTGGGCAAATTTCATCACCTGCCGATGCCTGATCTTGGCTGATGTCAGAGTTTTCTTCTAAAACCTTTAGCTCTGCATCCAGCATCTCTTTTTCTTCATCTTTTGCAACCCCACGAAAACCCAGCAACTGTTCGGAGTCCTGTGAGGATGCCATTGTTGAATTGTAGGATTCTTGTAGTGTATTTAAACTAGCTGAGAGCCTGCTTGTTGCTAAAGAGCTGTCTAATGTGCTAATTGTGCTGTTAACTGATATGTCCAATGCATTTATAGTAGAATGTCTACTAGACTCTGACAACTCACTGTCAGAGCCACTGTTGATTTCATCTTGTTCTTTCACTCTCTGCAATATTCTCTTTTTGTTTGGTGTCTTTTGTAGAGCATCATCGCTGTCACTCTTATACTGTTCTGATAAGCGCAGACTATCAAGATGGCTGCTGCTACTAATGAGCGGAGTCTCAGAACGTGATGGCGGCTCACTTGCACATTCTTCATCTACATCTTTATCTACACCAAAGTCACTACCATCTGGCTTCTCCTCGTTGTTTTTAAGTTCCACAGCCCATTTTTGTACCACTGAAAGCACTTTGCTGTCCTCAAGCACAGTTTTATTAGTGATGGGCAACAACTTGAGCACAGTGAGGATTTGTTTCTTCAGTTCCAGGGACCCATCCCCAATGTCTGCCATCCAGCTCCACAACAGTGACAGCCCATGGTAGCCAAGAAACAGGCGATGGCATGCTGGTTCTTTTGTTTCCTGTCCAAGGTAAAAGTGACATGTGATGTCTCTTCTTTCTCAATTACGATATCTTTCACTCTTTTGTATCGAGTTTCCAAAAATTAGACTCATAATTATTAATCATATATTTAAGCTTCTATTAATAAGCAACTGTTTGTATATAGTGAAATGTCCAGGATTAATATAAGACCTTTCATGACCAGTTTTGTTATAAAACAAGAGAGCATATGATATATACTGACTAACCTGCATTATCTGTAACAGAGCCAGCTTTTGACTAGTGGTTTCTGCCCTCACCATTACTCGGCACAACTCTAACACATGCTTGTGATTCTTCAGACCATGCCACTCCTGCATGCGCTCAATTTCTTCCTCCAACTAAAATCATATGGAAAATATTTCCAAATGAAAAACTCAACTAAAAGACACCCCACTCTTTTTTTCAAAAACCAAGCTGTTTTGAACAATATAAGCTTCTGTTTGCCAAATCTAGTGAAATCTGTCAAAGAGATTTAATATAGGTTTTTCGCTGAATTCCTTAAATTTGAATAAAATGAAAAGAATGAGTAAAGTGCTAACCAAAATGTCATCAAATAATTCTTTTTTCCTCTTCTTTTCCCTTTTCTTATTTTCCAATGCAAGTTTCTGTGCTTCCGTCTGTTTCTTTTGTACACCCAAGACACCACGGCAGTTAGAGGAACCACAGTAACACTTCTGTGCTTCTTGACTGGAGGGACAAAGAAGGAAACCATTCTACATATTATGTATGATATTTATAATAGGTGTACAGTATATCAATTATGTAAATAATAAACATCATTACTGAGGAACTCTATCAGTTTAAAATTTTCATGATATTTGCAGGGTTTCTAACTACTGTGCTTTAAAAAGACACTTAACCTGGATAGCATTGATTATAAATCTCACCTCAATTTGCCCACTTACCCGTACACCTCAAACTGGTAGTCAAAAGTGAGTTCCGTCCCCTTGGGAATCTGTTGTCTTGTAAAGAATCCAACCCTCAACTGTCCATTCACTGTCCACTGAAAAAGACAAGGGTTTAATCATCCAGCTCCATTGCATGCATTTCTCAAAAATTTGACAAGATTTCCACTATATTATCAAACATATTTGTGCCAAATGACCCCAAAACAGTCCAACTTGAAGTGAACAAGATGGGTGTGTATTGATATTTAATAAGGTATTATTACATATTAATTTAAGACTGGAAATGCAGTCACATTTCAAAAGACATGCTTAAAATAAACTGAGCAAGATGCCATTTTTTAAAAATAGTGTTATTCATATGCAACCTTGAGAACTAGTTCAACATTGAACAAAAATGAAAAATTATTTAGCTAACATGTTTCAACTACCTTCTGTGTTTCACAATTGGGATCACAACTGTGGTTGATGAATCTAGAATCATTTCCTTTAACAGTAGCATCTATTATTTCATCTGCATTCAGGGCCATAAAATAGTGATGGGCGTGACCTTCTCTTGCATACTGCTTTGTGCGGGCCTTAAATTGCTTGTATCCCAACACCTCCCCTATATACTCCATGACAAATTGGCCTCTGTAAGTATGACCAAAATTAATTCATGTTATGGTCCATTTAATATTGCACATCTTACTCAAAATTATGGTTATAATAATTGCTTGCTTTATTCCCTTTTTTCAAATCATATTTAAGTAAATCCTGAAAACTACCAATGAAATGTGCGATAATTAAAACAACTTGCGCTAAAGATAGCACTTCATTTAGCATTCAAAAAGAGCCAGCTAAATAAGATATAATATATCATATGACAAGAAAAGATACATTATATTAAATAATGCATGATATGACATGGCATGTGATGTGTTATCACATAACATGACATGATGTAACATATAAAACTATAAGTCTAGATTACTTTGTTAAATCTTCATTGGCCTTGAGACCCCAGCCTTTCCAATCTGTCTGGAATGGTGCTACATTGGAATACTGAAACTGAAATCGAAGTAACAGAGTTGGTAAAAGTCTAGTCTAATTTCTCTAAACTTAAAGCATAGGGAGCAGCTCAATCTCAGGTTTCTCAAAGTGCTCACTCATACCTCCGCTGTTGCTCACTTCCTGTACAGTAACTACATGTTGGCTTATTCCATTTTTTTTCAATGAATAATTGATGTAATTGCCCCCAATTTCACATGTTTCTGTTACTGTCATACATCCACGTAAAATTATTCATGTAATAAATAGATTTATTGCACTAGGATAATCTTATTTCTGTTACTTGAAACTTAATCATTTTACTAATACCACATACTAAACACATTATTAACTTGGAAAAGATTATCAACTTAATAATATTGTGCTGCACACCCAAAATAAAACAGATCTTGTACATACTTTAAAATTGGGAGCTTCATTCCCTTCATTGACTTACCCTTTGAAATCTCTTATTTGTGCAGTAATCTCCACATGGGCATCTGGAACCACTGAAATAAAATACAGGTCATCAGCTTTATCCTGATCATTTCTCTTTTCAAATGAGATAAGTGATTTATATTTCCCAACAACTTTAAATATGTTAATTGTCCATGTAATTATGCAATAAATTGTTGTCAGAAACACATGTAAACCTACCATTCAATCATGAGCATTCTGTTAAGGCAGTCTTCTCCACAAGCTGCCATACCATACATACGGTCTTCCTTGGAGGTTGTACAATCACATACCATACGCCGGACCTCCTTAGATGCTTTGGACTTCTTTCTATTATAAGAATATAAATCTTCGTGTAAAAGGAAAATTTTTTCTCCAACAATGTAACAAGTATTCTGCTTCATGTAGGAGTTCTGTAATTAACATGCTCATTTTTATTCAAGTCTAAAATTTGGTTTGGGTTTGAATTCCATCTCTATCCATGATCTTGTTTGAAGTTTTGCTTTTGGTAAGTAAAAAAATAAGGCATGCCAGGGAATGCACTAAGTAATGTACTAAAAGCTTAGTCAATTGAATTGGCACTATCGAAATTTCAAAAGAAATTGTGACAAAAAACAATTCTTGAGCCCATAATTATGTACCTACCTCTCTGACAAGTAAACATTCTCTGTTATTTTCTCATAAACTGGTGGGGTTACTTTTTCTGGACTAGGTTCTCTTTTCTCAAGATCTTTGCTTGGAGACACATCCAAGTCCTTGAACCTGGGGTCATTTTCAATTCTCTCCAGTTTCAACACTGGCACTTTAAATGAACTATCTGAAGTTATACTGCTGGAATCTGTATTGTCTATAGCAATACCATCAACAAGCTCCTGTTTCACCACTGAAGCAGTCTCTCGTGAGGGTGATGACGGTGGGGGTGGGATCAGAGTTGTACCCTCATGGATATTAGAGTCTGTAGTGGACTGTGTGGCACTACTAGAATTAACCAAACTGGAGACTTCGTTATTCTCCACCTCACTGATCCAACGCCATCTTGACTTGGGCTTAACATTTGGGGACATCATCTCTTCTTTCCGAATTCCATCTTCTGCTTTCAGAGCTGATACAGCGTCAAATGGTTCTTTTCGCCCAGGCAGAGGGATGTGTACATCTCTAGCTTCTGAGGAGGAAACCTGCTTAATTAAACTTAAAATTGTTGGCCTTTCTTCTCCGTTTTCTTCATCTACAGTTCCTTTTGTGATTTTTTCTTTCTCAAGTTTTGCAAGCCTTATTTGTTCCATTGCTTTTCTTTCCCTTTCCTTCCTCTCCCATTCTTCCTTATCCCTTCGATCCTTTTCTTCTTTCTCCTGTTTTATTTTTTCTTCAATAGACCTGATCCTATTACTGCGCCTTCTCTGTGGAGTTCCTGCATCAGAATTTGAATCATCTGTGTCCACTTCTATTGCATCAGACCATCTTGTCTTTCTCTTTTTCCCTTTTGATCCGATGACTTCTCTTGTTTTGGTGTCCTCTGCATTGTCCTCTGTGACAGACTTATTCTCCGTAGCAGTTTCTTCTGGAGGTGTGCTAAATGTTACAGGTGCCCATCTTTGTGCCAGCTCATGTTTAAAATTTTGCACTTCTGCTGGGGTTGACTTGTCAAGAAGCTTCTTAATCTCACTGTTATCCCCAATATCTTTATCAACTGTATTAGGTTGTGTACTAATATCCTGAACAGAGTGATGTGACTGGGAGAGAGACTGCTGTTCAGCTACATAAACTGACTCTTTGACTGCAGTTTTAGAAGAATTGATATCATCTTGATCCTTTCTTTCTAATTCAAGTGATGCATCCGGTGACAGAGGGGCTTTTGGCAGAGCAGACAATTTTTTCACCTCTGTGTCATCTTCCCACAGATCACTCAGTGTAAGTTTTTGTTTTTGTGCCCTAAAAGATAATCTGAAAGGTGATGGCTGTGTAGGTTCTTGAGCCTGGGGCACAGTAGCTGACGGGGCTGGTAAATGACTAACAGGCAGAGAGATATCCGCTAAGGCTTCCTTGCCAATAGATGAGGTTGGCTGTTCGTCAGGTTGATCATTAGTTGGAGCTGGTGGTGGAGGTGGTGGTGGTGGTGGCTGGAGAAGAGATTTGCTCAAATCAGTCTGGTGGAATTCCTGTTCAGGAGAACTGATGTCCATATCTATACCAGACTCCTGAGGGGCACTGTTGCTTTCGCTGTCAGAATCGATGTCCATGTCTATCTCACCAATGTCATAATCCCCCTGGGAGGACTGAACCTCTGGGTTTTGAACTGGACTCCAGGGCCTTTGGGGTGCAGCAGTTGGGAGCTTCTTTCCCCAGGTGAGACCATCCTGAGACCCACTCACTTCTTGCTCATCGTAGCTACTGGAAAGGGGGTCTGCTGGTGGAGGGGGAGCTGGAATGTCATGCTTCTTACCCCACACAGTGCTTGGTTCCACTTCCTCAGTAGATAAATCTTCACTCAACGGTGGCAGGGATAATTCTTCAGGATTTGTTTTCTCCTTTGGAGGGGGAGGAGGTGGGGGTGGGGGTGGAGGTGGAATATCATCTTCTTCCTCCTCCTCCTCCTCTTCTGCAACCACTTTAGGCCGAGGAGGAGGAGGTGGAGGTGGAGGTGGTGGAGGGGGAGGCACATCATCATCCTCATCCTCATCGCTGTCCTGGTTGTACACATATTCATCCTCAATAATAGGTGGTGGAGGTGGGATCTCGTATTCATCATTCTGTTCTGAAAAAGTAACAGTCTTTTTCTTTGGAGCTGTAGCGGGAGGAGGGGGTATTTCTCCTTCTCCATTTTCTAGTACTACCTTCTTTTTATCAACAAATGATGTAACCAGCACTGGTTCTGGACTTGTTGGTGATTTTTGCTGAGTATTTGTGTCACAAATAGTTTCACTGGATTCAGACTGAGGGGCATTGGAGGTTGTGCTTGTGGCAGCAGGCAGGGGTATGCTGTCCAAGTCCGGCAAAGGCCCTACTAAAGGAGCTGCTCCTACAGGTAATGCTGAAGTAACTGTAGAAACCTTTACAGGTAATGCTGCTGGCACAACTTCCATCTGCAGTGATCTTGTTATTGGAATCCCTGACGATGATGCAGAAGGAAAGGAGTGGGATGGTTGAACAGTACCAGGAAGAAATAAGGAAGGTGCTGTCCCTGTATTAAGAATGGAGGATGGTTTTGGTATAGGAGGACCAGGAGCTGGCGGTGGTAATGGAATCTGCATTACACCCATTGCACTGCTACTAGTAACCTGGGGCACTTTTTGCACATATTGTCCTGGAAAATGAGGATAAGAAGGAACATTTGGTAGGGCTGTCATTACTTTCTCTATGACTGGTTCTATGCTTGACCTGGATGTTGTTCTAACAGAACTCTGGAAACCACCAGCAGGTTCAATTACAGTTCTGGCAACATTTTGTGGAGTATTTTGGTTTTGAAGAAAAACAGGTTCATTCTGTTTATAAGGTGCTGCATACATGTCATGGGCAATTCCACTGGGGTCATTCCCTGTTACTTCTCCTTCATTTTCCCCAGTGTAAGGAGCTTGGTCAACAAAATGCTGTTTATGTAATAAATCTCCTTGGTTCTTATTTCTCTCATCACATTCCCTACTTTTTGCACTGTCTCTACGATCATCATCCCTGCTGCTGTATTTATCATGCCTGCTATATTCATCTCTAGACCGCCTTCTATCATCTCTCGGTCTATATCTGTCATCCCGATATCGCGACCTGTCACTCTCTCTTCTGTATCTTGACCTGTCATCCCTGTGCCGAGTTCTTTCAGGAGAGGTGTCTCTATGTCTATTACTACCTAAATTTCGACGCCTCTCATTTGCTGGTGAAGGTGACCGTTTTCTATTAACTGGGGACAAGGGTGATTTATGGCGTTCAACAGGAGAAATCTGTTTAGCTTCAGAAGAGACAGGTGATGTGCCTCTGGCAGGTGATGGTGAATTTGACCTTTTTCTCACATTTTCAGGAGTTACAGATCTAGTATGAGTTACAGTGGGAGAGGATGGCCTTTGCTGCCCACCAGTGATGGGTGGTGACCTTCGCCTTCTACCAATGGGTGATGGAGATCTTCGCCTGGAATCTCCAGGTGAAGGTGATCTGCGCCTAGCATTGGTAGGAGATGGTGATCTCCTTCTTACACGGACAGGTGATTGAGATCTTCTCGACTTGGAAGGCGATGGTGATCTCCTTCGCCTGCTAGGTGATGGTGACCTTCTGCGAGACCTCACTGGAGATATTCTTCGTGGAGATCTACGGCGTGACCTAGGAGGGGAAGGGGACCTTCTTCTCCTACCACCTGAAGGTGACCTTCGTCTCCTTTCAACTGATGTTGACCTTTGCCTCCTTCCTGAAGGTGACCGTGACCTCCTTCTACCTCCTGAAGGTGATGGGGACCTTCTTCCACTAGATGGAGATGGAGATCTTTTCCTTCTGCCAGGTGATGATGACCTGCGCCTACTTCTTGCAGGTGATGTTGACCTATTTCTGCCAACAGGGGAAGGCGACTTGTGCCTGCCACTTGATGGAGATGGAGACTTCCTTCGTTCTGCTGGTGACAATGATCTTCGTTTTCTCCCAGGTGATTGTGACTTTGTTTTTTCTTCTTTATCCTCTTTAGGAGTAACATGCTCTGTACTCAAAGACTGACATTCCTTCTGGCTGTTAACCTGTTCTGTCAGAACATTAATGTCAGAGCCAAAACTGGATTCAGGTAACGATTCAGCTTCCACTTTTATAGTTCTTGGTTTCTCAGATGAATCACTGGCCTCCAAGTCAGCAGAAACCATTTGAATCTCATCCTGAGCTTGCAAAGAAGTATCTTTAAATGATACATGCTTTGCCTTATTTGTGGTCACATCCATGTCTTTGTCACCAGGAACATCAAGCTGAGACTGAATTTCTTTATTGACTAAAGCAGCTGCCCTTTTAGCAGCCATTATAGGTGACATAATTGAACTGATGGCTGGAATATTTTCTAAATCTTGATCTGGTTTTATCGGAATTTTCTCAGATTTCTGATCCTGTTCCTCATCATCGGAATCATCCTCAAAAACTTTCAATTTTTTAACAGTCTTTATCTGAAATTTCAACACTTTGGGTTTAACAGCATTTGCTGCAGGCTTCACACCAGAGTTAACTGACAAAGGTGGTGCTGATATCTCTTTCTCTGTCTGTAAGTTAAGTTTAGACATTTTACTCTGAATCAACATGTTTATTTTACTTTTTGGACCCTTGGGGGCCTCTGGTACAGCAGAGGGTGCCACAGCTTCAGTTTTTGTCACAGTTTGTGCCTTTTCTGGAGACTGGTTATGTTTTTCTACATCTTCTTTTAGGTCTGTAATATCAGATTGCACTGACTTTGTATTGTCCTCTTTGGTTTCACTGGGTGCTGAAGACTGTGCTGGTGGTGGAGGGTGTGGAGGTGGAGGTGGCTGTTCTGGAGGTGGAGGCTGACTGGGCAGTGGGATGCTAGATGGTGAGGGCAGAGCTGGTATCTTGTTTGCTTTCTTTGATTTTGGCTGCGCTGGTGGCAGTGGTGGGGCTGGAGTCGTTTGTAGAGACGTGTACTGAGGTGCTGACAGATCCGGTGCCATCATAACTTGAGTCTGATCAGTTGTAACACTGCTACCATATGCCTGTGGGATGACACCAGGCATAACACCCCCATAAGACCCTGGCATAAAATGTTGCTGATCAGGAGGCAGTGAGGCTCCAGGATATGGAGGATGATTGTGAACACCAGGTAATCTAGCATAATATGGCAACTGCTGTCCTGGATATTGAGCTTCCATTGGTGTCGGAAAATGAGGTTGTGGTGTTGGCAGTAGTGGCCCTTTGAAGCCAGGGCGTTGTGTACCTGGGTTGAAATATTTGGATTCTAATGAGGGTCCACCAGGAAAACCTGAATGCCCTGAATGAAATTCCATAAGTTGCTCTTGAGGTTCCTCATGAAACTTAGGAAACTGGGGATGCCCTGGTGGTAAAAGTGTCAGTAGGTCCACACCAGATGGAACAGTATCTGGACTTTCAATATCCAATTTTTTCTTTTTCTTCTTCTTTTTCTTTTTACCAGCTCTAGGGGTACTATTCTCTGGAGATTCTGCCTGACTTGGTTTGGGCATTGGAGGTAGAGGTATGTGTGCTGCTGGACTTAAAGTGGGCTGCCCACCCGGTATGGGTATATTGTCTAAGCAATATTCATCTGGTTTCTGTGTCAGAGGTTGAGAAACGGCCTGGTCAGGGATGGGAATCTCCATTGAAGAGGGTGTCTCGGTGATGGATGTATCAGAATGAGGGCATAAAATAGAATCTTGCTGCTTTCCTTCACTGTTCAATGAAATTGAGGCATCAGTTGCATTTTCATTTAATTTTTGTATATCTGGTATCACAGGTGGCATTTCTGTTGAGTCAAATGTGGGAAAGTCATGATCGTCATTTGTAAAATCCTGCGTGTCAATTAAGTGAGTTTTTTTTCTAAATGAACTATTTTTGTCATTTTGTTCATCAAAACTGGTATGCCCAGTTTCTGTTTTATCCACCATATGATTAAGGGGTGGTGATGTCTCCATCTTAAGCAGTTGCTCTGTGACTTCGGCAGCCTCCTTCACTTGTTCTGTCAAGGCTGTGATTTGCTTCTTTTCATTTTCCTCCCCTCCTTCTCCCATTAAATGACTGTCTTCATCTTTGGCACACTTGCGCCATGAGACTGCATCTTCTGCAGTTGAGGACACTGAATGTGAAATATCCTCCTCATCCCCTTCTTCTACTGTTGGTTTAGGCGAGAGAGCAGGCGAATCCACATCCCTGCAAGGAAATTGAAAATATTACATTCAAAATGACTTGTAATATGATACTCACATATTATCTTTTTAAAAAATATTGTACTCTAAATTCTTTACATTTAAATCTCACATTCAAATGTGTGATTTACATTAAACAATCACATTTCCTTCTATATGCATTTAAAGAAGATTGTCAGTATGTTAAAGGGATAATAACTCTTTGTATGAGATCCATATTTCACAATAAAAACATTGTTAACAACTCAAAGAAATAGAATATATTCTGTTTTACCACAAAAAACGGCAGTTATAGCTATTTTTCTGATATCTTAGCTTGTCAACGGACCACGTGACCTCTACAGAAGTCTTTACTCTGTAATAATCTCTTAAGGGATTATTACAAAAAAAAAAAAACTTTTAAGAAAAAAAAATATAGAGACTAACTTTGAATGTAGAAATGGATTCATTAACCATTGGTAAGTATGGGAAAATTGTGTTTTCATCCATGAAAATTCATTTTTTTGGCCAAACAAACAGTTATTATCCCTTCAACATCATGAACATTATTTAAAATTCAACACAGGAAATTCAAACATGACACATATTCATAGAAATATACAGTTTGCACGAAAAAAAAACATAAAATATGAATCCCTGAAAAAAAAAACATTTAACCAGAGAATATGCATCATATGGGGTGGTGGCCATATTGACTCATAAAAGACACCCCATGGTGATGCAAACATTAGGGGCACATACCATACATATTACCCTAATATATATATATATATATAATTATAATCTTCAGGATCTTTAAAAACTGGCCTATTAAGTTAATGGGGTAAGTATAATATATAAATCTGTATTTCTTTCATACCTTCTTGACTCAACAAGTTTTATTGGTTAATCCACAAATAAATGGTGGTGCTCATGATAAGGAAAAATAGGGAATATTCAACTCTGCATAGACCATGTTAAGAAATTTGAATAATATAATAATAAACATATATTTTATATATAATAATAATATAAAATATTAAACAACATTAAAAATCTGAAAGTAAATCAATATTTGCAATCTGAAAAGAAGGTATGGAAATGTTTTTCTGTGGAGACATGAATAAAAAAAAATCAAACATATTTTGCAGAAAACAAGTAAACCTGAAATAAATCAATGTTATCAATAAATTAAAGCATAT